ATATAGCACGATGCTGATGCATCTTTCGTGCAGCTATGAAACACAAAGTAACTCTCCCACTGCGGAAGTATTAAATGATTAAGTTTAAACGCAAAGAGAATAGCACCTACTGAAACAGCCTAGTTGTTAAGCTGTCTGACAGTGAACCCAGGGGTTAGGGGTTCGAACCCGCTTGGTGTCATTTTTTTGGTTTGCGATGCCCGCGGTCTGTCATTTAAGAGTATTAATTTCCCGTCGTCATTTACCAACAGCAGTTAGCTCGGTCGGTCGGTAAGCTGACTCACAAGTTGGGACTGTCTGCGAAGTCCAGGTTGGCATCTGCGTATAGGTACGGGGTTCTTTTGCTGACTCGGCAGCAAGGCTTAGGGTGCCACCTCGTTTCCTCCCTTTATGGTGCCTGACTCTCGAGTTACATGGATGGACAGGGAAGGAGGTGTGGTGGGCCGGGTACCGAGTCCCAGAAGAGTTCTATATGGAAGTCGGTAAGGGGCTCATTGAGTTAGGGTCATAAGTCCGACTCCTGAAGACTTGGCCATCGCCACATAACTTTTTGTTTTATTTTCTTTCTTTTCTATCGGAGGACAATTGAAAGAATGATTAATTTGTTGTATTGAGAGCTTGAACTGTAATCGTTCGAAATTAATTTTAAAATTGATCGAAAATACAAAATTCAATCCAGCTATGATGTTTTTTATTTCATTGTCGCAAAACTGCATGTACATGCTCAGTACCTTAGCGCATACCTTGTTCAGGCCTGTTCCTTGATCCCAGACTGCAGGGGGGTTCTTTAAATCCTAAAGTGGAAAGTTTTATGTTTTTTTTATATTTTTATATGCACAGCTGCAGCTGTCAACTCTCGTATAAGCGACTTCGCGCGGCAGCTTGTGCCGACATGACAGAATATGTACAATTTGTTGACATGGGTTTCAGAACCGGATTTTAGCTTTGCGGAGTTTTGAGCAGTGGTGTTTATTATTTACATTCTCCACTTTGTTCTTAATCACTCTTCCTTTCCCCTTTCTTCTCCATTCTTCGGAACACTGGTGCCTAGGGCCTACGAAACACTTAATCCGGGCCTGCTGGTGACGCTTCAGGGCCCCTCGAAAATAATAATTAATGTTTAAAAGTCAGAGTTTTGAAAATTAGTTTGGTATATTGATTTCTTAAAAAAATCACCCGCGGAATTTTATGGAAACTGAAAAATCGCATGATGAGAAAGTAGAAATATCCTGCAAAAAAATGGACCTGTCACTTCCAAAAACTTCCGTGTGGACTCGTGGAACTCGATCACTCTTTAAGCATGAATAATCATGGAATTATTTTGTGGCAGACAATTTTTTTTGTACAAACTTGAAGGATTTATTTTTTATTTACAAACAAATCTCAAATGACCGTTGATAAGAACTGTATTAAAACGTGATCCAAACGAAATCTAGAATCCATCAGATGTAGGTAGGTATTAAAATCTTCGCGTCGTTATCATTTTCGTTCTCACGCAAGTACGCGATGTGAAAACAGACGTGATCGAACAAGGAGACCTAGCTACAAAAATAGGTCGTAGGTAAAATTCGCTTTTGCCCATTTCCAACTGATTTCTCATCTATTCTGAGGCAATTTTGTCGGTGTTGTTAATAAACAGATCTTATAACTTAACCCGTTAAAACAGTTGATAAAATTGTTCACAATTTGATAGGTGTGATTTCTGAATTTTATGATTTATTTCTTCCTGTCCTTTCATCTTTGCCGTATCCCAATAATTTTGGACTAGCCAGCCAGGCTACTTAAGGAATAGTTTGACTAGCCCGCCGCTGTTTTGACTAGCATTTGGCTAGCGGGCTACCGCTAATTTTCGAACCCTGGATGTATGGGAGGGGGGTTACACCTTCGGCCGCACAAAAAACATAGTGAACTCATGCACAACATAGTACACATGACGTCAACCTCCCATCCCCTCCCGAGCCCAGAACCCCTCCCCCCTTCGGCTGCAAAAAGAAATAGTGAATTCATGTACAAAATAGTGCACATGACGTCAACCCCCACCCCCCTCCCGAGCCCAGCCCCCCCACCTTCGGCTGCAAAAAACATAGTGAATTCATGCACAAAATAGTGCACATGACGTCAAGCCCCCCACCCCCCTCCCGAGCCGAGCCCCCCCCCCCTTCGGCTGCAAAAAAACATAGTGAATTCAAGCACAAAATAGTACACATGACGTCAACCCCCACCCCCCTCCCGAGCCCAGCCCCCCCCCCCCACCTTCGGCTGCAAAAAACATAGTGAATTCATGCACAAAATAGTGCACATGACGTCAAGCCCCCCACCCCCCTCCCTAGCCCAGCCCCCCCCCCCGCCCCCCCCCCGCCCCCCCCCCCCCCCCCCACCATGAGCCAAAGTTGAATCCGCCCCTCTACCTCATTGGGTATTGAAGGCGGTTCGTGTCTTCCTGTCGTCAAGGGACTGTCATTTTGGATGTTATGTTATTAAAAGCCAACGTTGTTAAAATCCGAATATTATGAAAACTAAATCGTTCGCCTGTTTTGTTTATGGGATAATGCGTGAGGTAAGTTGAGGTATATGACAACATCAGTGCAGATTATTATTAAAAAAGTGAACATATTAATTAAGGCATCTTCTTTGCCAAGTTATGATTGAACGGTACAGCAAAATGTTTTTCATTGTGGCACCCTCAATCATCATTCGTTGTCACTGCACAGGTAACTAATCATGTAATAATAGACACAATGGCTGCATAGTGTATCAGTGTATAGTTTGTGACAATAGTACGTATACATCACATAAGGGCAGATCGGGGGGGGGGGGGCAATTGGGCCTCTCTCCCCCCCCCCCCAAAAAAAAAACAAGCCGTAATTTTTGGACCCCCCAAAAATGGTGTTCTGGATACGCCCTTGACAACCTAAAACTTGGAGATCGTATACACATGTCTATTTATTTTGTTTGGTTTGACGCATCCGTTTATAATCTTACCGGATCTTACACATGTCTTCTTAATTTAAGAGAATCTGCCACCTGTCCTTGTCAAAGAACTACTTATTGATGGGCATTTGAGATAAGCAGATATTTCCTCTAGCTTAATCCCGTAACTGTCATCGACGTCTATTTCATGGGGGATTAGACGAAGCTTTCTGATTTTCCACTACGATTTTCTTAGAAATCTATGAGCAGGTGAGTTTAGCCATCCCCGTTATTACAACATATACACACTTGATCTCCGTATAATTCCCGCATTCGATGGGGCGCACAAGTTACATTTTTATTCAAGTGAAAGCGGTGTGTTTTTGTCATTTCAAGATGTCTCTGATTCTCTCAAGATATCTCCATGCATTATTGTTACAAGATACCCTTGATCATTTTGACAAATGAAACGCCCTGGAATGTTTTTTTTTAGACATGTTTGGAATCTATTTCAAATTTATCTCGAAATCCATTTCAAGATATCTCTAAACGTATTTCAGGATCTCTCTAAATGCTTTAAGACATATCTTGAATTGCATCTAGAGATATAGATAGGCCTAGCTCTAACATTTAAGACACTGTTGATGTGAAAAAAAGTGTCACTTATGATCGCCAAAAGTTTCTTTTCCTCATCAATACGATGTGTTTCGTGCAGAGCAACATGTTTAAAACTCGTCTCTCCTGTTTTATTGGTTTAGAAAAAAATAATGGTATTCTCAGATTCACTCCTCGATTACTGTTTCCGTTGAGATTGGACTGTGTGCTGTAATCTGAATTGCCTCAGAAAATATACTACAGTTTTGGAATGAATTATAAAAAAAAATGTAATGCAAATACCTGGTCCCCCCCCCCCCCAAAAAAAATTATACCAAAATATTAGGTCCAGTAGTTTTGCTGCAGAGCCTAATTTTGTGAGGCACACTTCTTTCAAGTGGGTAAAACAATCACTCTATCAATTGCAACGCATGTCAAATTCCTGGGTGAGATTTAGTAATTCATCAGTTAATGGCCCCTGTACCTTGCTTCGCAAAATAGGCTCTAGAACAAAAACTGCTGGACCGAATCGGGGGATCTTGGTTTCATTTTTTTTCCTAAAAAGATTCTCCATGCATGTGTTTGAGTCCGGTAGTTGAAGTATGCCATTCCGTTTTTTTTTTTACTTCCCTTTACTCTTCGTGTCAACAATTTCAAAGCATGTTCCAATAAATTATTCCCCCGTTCACCTGGCGACGAGATCACTCGGAAGCCGATATATCAGCACACATTCGGTTGTTTACCCTCACAGGTACCCATTCGGACTCATGGGTGGAGAGAGGCAATTGTGGTTAAGTGTCTTGCCCAAGGGCACAGACGTCATGCATGTTCATGACAGGGTTGGAACCCACTACCATCGAACATGAGTCAAACACCGTAATGTGTGGACTGTGGTATCTATATAATTCTACAACATCGTCTCTCCTGTAAAGCTAATTCTCAATTAGGTCGAACATTTGGAACTCTTTGCAGTTACCAACGAAACCCTGTGCTGAATGTTACTGTTGTAATACAAAGCACCTTGCTAACGTAACTCGACCAAGATATATCCTAGATACATGCGTTCAACCAAAATTCCCACAGAGGTTCAAAATCAGCTCATCATGCATACCCAACGGCGGATCCGGGGGAGGGGCGCAAAGGGGGCCACCCCCACCACCACCACCACCACCACAGCAACCCCCCCCCCCTCCCAAAAAGAACCAATTTTTAATGTTTCTTTTTTTTTTTATTTAACGTCACAAAAAAGGCAGCCATGCGTACACCAGTAAAAAAACTCAACAAAAGCAGTACATTTGCACCCCTGCACTTTTTCGGGAACAATAGTTGTTTTGCCTCCCCCCCCCTCCCAACAAGAAAAACGTGTTCTGGATCCAGCCTTGACATTCATACCTCGAATCGACAGCGGAATTCTGACACTTCCTCTACAAATGCTTAACACACGTTTTTGTGACCAAAAAAATGTAAAATGGGAAAACTTCATCGTAGCAACTTACCTGCTCCAACGCCGCCAACGCTCCACATTCCAACAACAGAACACACTAGAAAAATAGCACAGGAGCTGTACAGACGACATCCAACGTACGTCGTCATTTTTAACAGACGACAAGAATACGCTTCCGCAAAATCAAGAATATAGCTGGAAAACGCGTAGGGAAACAACCCAGTGGAGTATTCGAGAGGGACTAATAACAAGAAACGAATGTCCCCTTTATATACGTGTACTTTGTGTATCACTGCGCCCCGTGAAAACATAGTCCTCATTGAAAATAAAATTAGCTCATGGGTACATTCGCACAGGATCAAAGCTATTATTTAACGTTCATCACTTTTGTGCCATAAGAGGGCGCTGTTATCGAGGGCGAATCATTTCGCTCGCACGATCGGTGTAAATTAAAAACGTTCTTTCGCATGACTGTAAATAATTGAAATGGTCTGCGTTTCGTGCAAATAACGACTTATCAAACTGAAATGGACGGTTATGGTTTCCACGACACGTCCTTTTTCAATTAATTTCGGCGGCGAAGACATTTTCTTAACTTGTTTTCAAAATAGTCTTTGGAGAGGTCTAATGAGGGGGCATTTTTTTTGGGTGGGGTGGATACGTCTATGGGTATCTCAGTTCATTCGACCAATAATGTAGGTTACAGCACTTTTTCTTTGAATAGTTGTTATTTTACTAATGATTAATTCATTGAGTGTGTAGCAGCTAGTTTGATCGATGTTGGAGCCCACGCACGCGAACGTGTCCAATCTAATAGACATGGCTGTGTTCTCTGGTTGATGATGACATTTCTAAAAACTGGTTGATTTTATTTTACAAAAGCAAAATCATACAATTTCAATGTGTGACAACTAATGTTGTTAAAAGAGAGTGGCTGACGTGTCCACAGGCAAGGTAGTTTACCGCAATATCTCTGCAGTTGGCAAAGGGTTAGGCTATTACTTGCGCCTCGGGAACTTTTCTGTAATTTCCTGGGAATAAGCCTACAGTGCACTATGGGAAATTGAGACGGGCCCATTTTGCTGATAGATTTAGTGGTCTTTGTCGTCTCCTTCGATGACGTCATTTGTCTAATGCTTAGCAAAATATGACTGGTCACCACGACATGTCGGATATTACCATTTTGCAAAACAGTGGCAGGGGCGGATCCAGGAATGTTTGTAGGGGGGGGTTCAGGACCGTCAGATTTTGTTATGTCCAATTGTTGCGGACAGGCATAATGTCAATATTACATAGTTTGTGTCTGAGCAGGGGGGGGGGGGGGCTCTGGATCCGCGCCTAAGTGGGGCAAAACCAACATTTTAAGGGGTCGTTTTTTTAAGTGAATTAGTTCATTCTGTGTGTCCAGTTCTCTTTCCCATGTTGATAATGTTCTATGAAATATCTTTAAAACCTACTACTTTCATCCGGCTTTACTAGTCGGATGTTCATTTTTTTAGTGACATTTTCTCAAAAATTACTTGTACAATTTCAATTTAGTTCGCGATTAAGTTATGCATGAACTCAGTACAAGCCCGGGTTAAGTGTTTCGTAGGTCCTATAGCACCATGTGTTCCGTAGGCCCTACTCTCCACCCTAGGCAACGGCACAAAATCCATGTTATTAAAGTACACTGTACACATCAAGCCAGGGCAAACTGGTATAGGTCCTATAGCTCTAAAGGCATGTCGACACCAAGACCGTCAGTAGCTTCTCAAAAGTGGGGATACATAACATTATGTATCTTGATCAGAACTAATATGAGTGGAAAGCCTAACGGCTCTTGATTCGGGGCCCGCATGAGGGCCCAGAAAAAACACGTAGATACTGGATGCTCTGTGGTGCGGTCTGGGGGCAATTTCTGACCAGTTTATCCAAAAGATCACCTTTTTAAACATCATTTTCGAGTTTGGAGTCATTGTATTATCTATTCTGTGCTATATAATTAAATTTAGGACACAATTGTTTGTTCGGGGACGAAATCAGTGGAAGGGGGTGGGAAACGACATGTCCCCCGTCCGCTCATCGATCGACGCCCATGGTTGGCACCGTGCTTCAGAACGACAGACTTACACGTACATTTTATATGGCCTATACACGTATGCCTATACATGCTGTACAGCGTCAGTTGGTGAAGTGGAAAATTTCGAGAGACACCCTTCAACTTTTTTTAAAAAGTAACTGTGCTCTGTGGGTGGGTGTGTAGTGCAGGGTAGACCTATTTAAGTGTTTTATTGCACCCTGCAGTATTTTTTTCGTACTGCCACTGAAGTCTCGTAGTAGGCCCTAGGCACAGTGCTTCTATTGGATAATCTGGGCCTGTAATTTTGCCTGAAATGTATTAAGCTGCATTTATCGTGGAACTGCTAAAGGTGCCGGACCAGGTTAGACATTGTTGGAAACTTGTCATAGAAATAAGAGCTACCGATATCAGAGAGTTCCTCCTAAATACCTTATAACCGTTGGAGAAATAGATAGACTGTGTGGATGTAATCGCGTAAGATTAGCGTTCTCATGTACACATTTTTTGCAGATTCGCTGACCTATTATGCTTCCATTTTGTTTTAATTTACAAATTGATAATTTTATTGAATCTTGTTGCCGATTGTATTTTAGGCAAGTGCGGAGACTGTATTTTGCTTCTTTTCTGAAAAGGGGTAAAAATGTATTTTGTGAATACTTGCAAGTATTTGAACAAAACAGTGAATATAACAAAAAGTTATGTGCTAGCCAAGCATTCAGGGATCGGTCTGAGCCATAACAATGCCCCAGCCAATCCCTTAGGGCTCTTCCGGGTTCTCGGCGTTCCTGGCCAATACACACTTCCTTCCCTATCCATCCATGTAACCCCGGAGGGCCAGGCACCATGTAAAAGCAAAGAGCTAAGGGAGGAACAGGGCGGCACCCTAAGCCCTGATCCTCCGAGTGGACCACATGCCCTGAATCTGTACGAAGGCGCCAACCTGGAATTCGTGGACAGTCCCAGCAGCAGTGCTTACCGATTAAGCTAAGGTACTGTTGGTGTTTTAGGACGGTAAATTAAATCCTTTATAGAAAGTGTCGAACAGCGCGTGTTGAAAACTAAAATGACACATGCGGGATCGAACCCGCGTTCCTCCAACCGTGGGTCAGCAATTTAACCACTAGGCTATTTCACTAGTTGCAGAATACGTTTGAATTCAAAACCTAAGAAGCATTCCTTGTGTTCTTAAGCTCGGGCGTTGAATTGGTTTCAATTATTGACGGGTTATTTTGTCCTTTCCGGTGTAGCGCTCGATGGAGCCTATAGTTGCGATCTGTTGCGTAACGTATTTTGTGTGTGTGTTTTTAAACGCCCATTCCCTAATTCTTCGCTCTCGATTTCTTTGAATTAGGCAAACTGCCCCCCCCCCCGCCAATGCGGGCCTCAGTCACTACGTTCCAATTTCAGCTCAATAAGCTTCACGTACAACAGGCTCGGATGAAGTGTTTCATAGGCTCCATAATTATATAGGCACCAGTGTTCCGTAGGCACTAGTACTATTACTGTGCCCGGCACTGGCACCAAATTCATGTTGATGCTATTAAAGTATACAAAGCAGTGCAAATGTCGTCAATCGCCTCTCAAAATTGGGAGTTTCTACACATGTGAATCTTGATTAGAACTAATGTGAGTGCGAAGCCTAACGGCGTGGGGTTCGGGGCCCGCTTAACCCTTTTAATAACCCCGGGTTATTTGACCATTACATCTCTCAGCCCCGCCCCCCCCCCCCCCCCCCAAGGTCGCGGCCATCAAGTGACGAAAAATTTTGAAACTCCGCACATACATAGAAAAACTCATCATGAACCCACCAAAGAAATTTCATGACTATAGGTCAAAGGGTTTTGGAATTATGGCTAATTAATTATTATGTACGAACGGCGCGTAGCGCCGGAAAATTTTTCGCTGCGCGGCAACCCGATCTTTATGTTTTTTTGTATCAAAAGATGCATCATTAACCATCATTTTCGAGTTTGGGGTGACAGAAGCAGCTACTCTGAGCTATAGAATCACACGTAGGCTACATTGTTTTATTCGAAAAAAACTCGGGAGGAACGGCATGTGTCCCGCCCCCACGGACGTACGTCCATGGTTGGCAATGAGCTTCAATGAGCTTCAAAAACGCGGACAGACATTACACGTTAATTTTATACGTGGAACCTGTACACATTGTATGCACACGCATACAACGTCAGTTGGTGAAATCAGAAATTCTGAGAGAGACCAAACAAAATCCTATATTTACACCGTGTCTGGCTGTGTGGGTGTTTTATGCCACACTGAACAATGTTCCCCCGCCGCTGAACATAACTGGAAATATTCCTTTCTTCACCGAATTATGCACCGAACATTTATAAATTATTGAATAGGAGCAGCATTCATTGCCTAACACTTTGTTGGAGCACCAAATATCGATTTAAGCTGTTATTAGGTTAGGTAGACCTAACCCATTATCGGGAGCATAATTATATTATACGGAGGTCAGTTAGTATCATTATGAAAAAAACAACAATTCAGTGTGGGATTAAAGGATGGGGGTATAATTAACCATTATTTGGTCTATAGCGTACGGTCGCACGCACGTATAAGAACCCTCATTTCATTAACTTTATAAGTAGGCCTATCTCAACACTAAATGAGGGAAAACAGTTGGAAATATCTAAGCACTTTAAGGGGAGCTAGGGAGAGAAAAGAATAGAAATAAAATTAACGTAAATGAAAATCGTGTTCAACATTTCACTGAAAAGCTTGAAATAGGTATACGGGAGAGCCAGCCCACCATGGGCGTCGCCAGGATTTTTTTCTAGAGGGGGGCAAAACATAATTTTCCCAAACAATTCTTGTATTTCTCGACATATTCTCGATTAATCAGTTTTAGAGGGGGGCAGGGACATTTGCCCCAACCCATTACATTTACACCACTATGACTTTGCGCCTCTTTTTCTTTTCGTTTTTTTCTCTCTCTTTTTTGGGGTGCTTTTCCAGGGGGGGGGGGGGGGGGGGGGGGCAAGCGCCCCCTTGCTCCCCCCCCCTCCCCTCGCGACGCCCATGCAGCCCACCCGCCTGCAGCCTCATGCCCCTCCCACCCCACCCCCATCCCCGTTTGGTCCTTGCTCAGAATGTGGAAGGAAAAATTGTATCTGAATCACGACAAAATGTCATGTAACGATGACCTTCAAGAAAGTTACACCATCATATTTGCCTCAAGATGAGCCACAATTTACTTCGATATGCCGGACAGTGACAATCAATTCAAGTAAGCTCTATTTCGCCCCGCTATTTTCGAGTTTCACACCAAATATAGGTTTTGATTTTAAAGTATGTTTTTTTTTCTTGCAATACACATTCAGTTCTTTACTTTTGAATGAGAAATCGAGAAAAAAAAACCCGCGTTAATAATTTACATGTGGAATTTGAACTACTACAACAATCATTCAAGCATTTTTGTCTGTTACGGGCGCAAAAAGATAACCCAAAAAACTCAGCGTATTCTCAACGGGATGAAAACGTCCAAAATAGAACAGAACAAAAGCGGTTTTTTTCTTCCTTTTAATAATACAAATATTAAACTTCATTGCGGGAGAAAATTGAATAGGCCCTGTTGAAGAAGCAGGGTACATAAACCTTAGGTTTCATTAAACCGTCTAAAAATGTCATCACGGTCCTATTATAAGAAAATAGGACTTACCGGTTTTCAATCAACTTCATTATATAGCTTTCAATTTTCCAAAACGCTCAATTGAAACAAAGGCGCACGTTTATTGCACCCCATCTTAGACTGTTTACTCAGGTGCAACCCAAAATTCAGTTTTAGGTTTTTTGCGTCCGATTAAAAAAAAAAGGGTTATCAGGTAAGAAGGAGAAGGAATGATCTATCACTTCCTGTTAATATTTTTCTTTTCTGATTTTTTTCTCTCGTTTTTGAGGTCCTTATACCTAGGCATTGCAGTTCTTTATACTGTAGGCCTAATAAGCTATAAACGGTTTAATATGCTAGGGCTATAAAGCTAATGTTTGGTCGGCCCTATTTCTATTACGTTTAGCTTTTGTATTGATAATGTCTTTTATTTGTAAATATACATGACGGTCTATATTTCGGTGTAGCCAACGTAGTGTTGCGAATGTGAAGTTTAAAGTGCTCATGCAATTTTTTTTTTTTAAATACAATCCTCATAATGCAGTTTTGTGTCCAATTTAACATTATTTTCAATTTCGTTTTGTCATTTGCAAGGGTATTTTTTGCCTTTTTTGTTTTTATGCTAATGCAAACTGAACAAAACTGTGATGTCATTTCGGACAAATTAAATGCTTCAATGTTCCAGCTATTTTAGCAAAAAAGTTGCTAGAATTTGGGATATTTTGCTGTGACGTAGATTTTCTTTTCTTTTGTATTCGTTGTTGAGTCAGTACTCAGGCAGTAATTAAGGCAATGAATTCTCATAACATTTTTTTTCAATGAGCAAATTTTGGGTTAATAGAGCTTGAACATTCCCCTAAACTGAACAGTGCCTTCCTGAAATGACGTCAAGGCAACAGCACCCGCAGTTGTCCAAAAATGCATGGAACATTTTAAATGTTTCAAGAAGTACACTTTTCAATCAAATTAACCAAAACGGGACGTCAAACAGTTTTCATACGTTAATTGTAAGAGGAGTAGAAAGCTGCACAAAACTGTGACTTGAAAAATCACATTATGAATACGCGAAGTGACCGAGTTTATTGAATTGAAGTTTAGAGAAATATATATTTAGCCGGAAACAAATTACACTTCATTTTCGCTGTCCTTATACCGCGAACAGAATTTATATAATTAGTATAGCTAATAGCTTTTTACAAATAATAGATAAGCTTTGTGCTTATATCCGGAGTGAGTCTTGGTTGATGCGGCGCGGGAATAATTCACTTGTGTTAGTGCATGCAGCCGTGTGCACTGCAACGACTGAACCCTTTGGAAAGTTGAAGGTTTATATCTATCAATTTTTTTGTTATGTCCTTCGGAAAAATCTATGCCTCCCTTTTCAGTTTGACTACAATCCATAATAAGACTTTCGACACCATTAGCACAGCCAAGCACACAAACGACCCGCTTTGATGTGCAGCACTTTCCGTGCCATTTGCCACGAGGGGACGTGTCGGCGCATGTGGCAGTCTGCGATCCGTTTCTTGCGACTCGCTCTCCAAATTGAATAGCAACTAGGATTTGGTATTTTCTTGCCGCTGGCCAAAATACAGATAAAGGGATCTGAGTTCCATGCATATTGATAAGTGAAGTAGAGAGACTTTACAGTCGGGTCGTGGATGGAGATATTAGTCTTATACTGTGCCGTAATGATGACTTTCATCCTTGCTAAATGATGTTCATCTGAGATTTGCCATACGGGATTATGCACAAACTCTCGCTCCACGCATCAGACGAAATGGGCTGCCCTGGGCAAATGCACAGTTTTGCAAGCAACTAGATCTCAATTATCATTATACAGGGCGGTGCAAAAAGAAGGAAACTCACTTTAATTTTGACAGCAATTTCACCCACTTGTTGAGCATATTTCAAACAGTCCATTTAATGATATCAAAATATTGATCATTAAACATATGTGACGAAAAAAAGTGATTGCAATTGCATATTTTGTGTCTGAAATGGTATAGTTTGAAAATGTCGTGTGCCAAACCTGTTTGTAATTGTCTACGGACGGCTTTATTCCATCCGCTTGACTAAGTTCCGGAGCTTGCCGACAAAAAAAACAGTGATTTTGGTGACCTGTATTCAAATTAGCATAATCAACTATTTTTTACGATTTTTAAAAGATTTTTGTTCAACACGTATAGTTGAGGAGATAATTCACTACATTAACAAACAAAAATAAGTTAAGTAGGCCTATATAAGTAGGTTAAAATTCCTGTTAAAGTGGGTTTCGTTCTTATCGCACCACCCCGCTGTATGATACACGCAATCGTGTTTTGGGAATTTATTTAGGCACACAGTTCATGAATTCTTTAAGAGAGGTAAAATTGAATTTAAAGAAGTACCATTGGTTTTCCACTGTGCCTTGCCGAAAGTGTTCTAAAATTGACTTCGATCGATCACTAAATTCTGCCCAACCGATTCGAACGCTACGTACGGTCGTTTGCGTATATCGTCCAACTCTGAAACAATATTTGGGAGATATTGATCTCTAAAAATTACTAAGTCCCCTCGGGTAATCTAGGATTATGAATTTATGATAGACGTGTGCGTTAATTATCTCGCAGTATAGCAATAATTCAAGATGGATTTTCTTTCTCTGAACCGAAATTGAGGCCTATACCGTTGAGCGCGCTACTCAAAACAGAAGGTGGTGATTTTGATCTTGATTTTGATCTTTCCGCGAATAGAAGTAGAATCTATAATTATTAGTCACTGTCTATCAATTTGATCAGGGGTTGGAGATTTCACTCCTCCAAAAAGATATCTGATTGAGTTTTATTCATGAAGTTCTCACAAACTAGAGCTAATGCGTCACGTATGAGGCTCATGGCAGTGACGTACCCAGCGGGGGGGGGGGGGGGACTTTTTGTTGTCAGCAATGATTTAAATATTTTTTTCTAGAGTTTTTCTGACCCGCTCAACAACCATTACAATGAAAAGTATGCATAATAATGGTCAGTTTCGAAGAGCGCCCCCATTTGGAAGATGGGGACCCCCCCCCCCCCCCCGCTTTTTGTTTTTACGGAGGCCAAGTGTCCGGAGAAAAACGAGTACATTTCGGCGCGGATGTGCGGTTGCCCCCCCCCCCCCCCCCCGACGACAAAAGCTGTATACGCTGCTGGCTCATGCCATGGTCTGAACAAATGGGACGAGAAGATTGAGAAGAAAACGGCAAGTTGATCGAGTTACGTTGTTTGTTTTAAAAAAATTTTAAACAAACAAAACCAATTATTTCACCCGAAGCATGTCCTTTCCACTTTAAACAGCCGCCGCCGGTTATAATCATACCCCCCCCCCCCCACTTGTGCCATGGGCCTACTTAGCTAGTTTTATAAATTTTCATGAGACATTTAGTGGAAATAAAATTGCACAATTCAAAATTCAACGATCTGAAAGTTCTACACTTCTATGTTTTCACTACGATTCACTTCACTTCAGACTATATTTTCCACACAAAACGGAAATGTCGGTAGGCCTAGGCTTATTACATGTATGTGTTGTGATTTTACTACAATTTTGTGAATGCTGAATGACGCAGCACATTTATTATGTTTAGTGCTATAATACTTATTAATAGTTTCTATCCATTTTATGAATAATCGCTGACATTTTCAAGGCTCTCCTCCCCGAAATTGTACATGGGCCGGGAGTTCGTGTCAATGACACCGTGTACCGTCACAGCCTGTCATGTGTGACGTGATTAACTTTGGGGTGACACAGCAAATTCCTTTTTCACTGTGCACTACTCATGCAGAATCATCACGAGCGATAATTCTCTGTTGTCGATTCTGCCTGTTGTGATTTTTTTAGTACCGGAATACGTGTAATCGATATGTTTGAGGTGCAGGAAAAGCATATTTCAGTATCGATACCAAAGTAAACGATTTCGTAACTGTGTTTACATAACATATAGCAGGATAGGAAAGGCAATCTCATCCATTGGCAACACCGCGTCGTCAAACTATCGGAAAATTATTGCTGTTTCTTCTTGTAGACGAACAATTCGAGACAAATCAGCGAAAGGATGGTCTGAGTGATAATTGATGGTAAGACTTTACAATCTGAAGATGCTCAAATAATCCTCAATTTGTTTGTTGTCGGATGCCATGTTGGGCATTGATATTTTTGCATTGCACTAGTTTCGTGAAACATTTCAATTCCCTTGTTCAACATTAGGCTATTCAAGTTTCAACATATTTGATCTTCCTTTAAGGCACCTTACATTGTCGTTGTGACTTGCCTTCAGCATTTTCAGGGGATTCAAATCAAGCCTAATAATTAGTAATTATATGATTATGAGTCAATATGAGACATTTTAGGCCTAGGCTACTTTTCTTTAAAAAAAAATGACATTGACATATTCTGCAGTTGAATGTTTGAATCAATTAAAAACAAAAAGGAGGAAACCCATACCCTTTGGAAATTTAAAAAAAGGAAAGAATGTAGTATCCAGACGCCACTTGTGTAGGTCCTTTGTGTTGTATATGCACGTAAAAGAACCCAGCAAACACTAATCGCTAATAGAAGGGGTTCACCCCGGTGTTTCTGGCAGTTATTCTTATCACTGCACTGTGACTATGAGGCGATACGCGAAAGCTACACCAGGCGTTTGTACAAAAGCTAACAGATACTACAGATGCACAATCTATGGAGAGTCCAGAACATTTTCTAAGTATTTCCTAACAAAGTTGGAAATGTTTCTCAGTCCTAGATACTCTGTTCAGCATTTTTGTAATGTTGATTGACCATTATTGATATGAATGTCGGACACTTCGCCCCATTTCCACGTCGCCCCATGTCACTTCGCCCCTAACCACTTCGCCCCATCCCCACTTCGCCCCATCCCCACATCGCCCCATCCCCACTTCGCCCCATTCCCACTTCGCCCCATTATCACTTCGCCCCATCCCCAATTCGCCCCATCCCCACTTCGCCCCAGCTGTTACATGTAAAAAATAAAAATCTCATCTATTTTATTGGCTCAAAAACAATTCCAACAGATTCACTAATTGCTAACCAACGGAAAGAATTAGCCCACCAAATGAACAATTCATAACCAACCTCTCAAGCTATCACTCTCCCCTACCGAGAAAAAAAAGCTTGAAGTAAAAGATCCAACTTTGTTCCCAACCCGGCTATACCAACCCGTCTCCCACTTATCTGAGAACCAATACCTTTGACATCCTAATTTCACTCTTGGAGGAACCAATCTACATGGGGCGAAGTGGGGATGGGGCGAAGTGGGGATGGGGCGAAGTGGGAATGGGGCGAAGTAGGGATGGGGCAAAGCGGGGATGGGGCGAAGTGGGGATGGGGCGAAGTGGTTAGGGGCGAAGTGACATGGGGCGACGTGGAAATGGGGCGAAGCGTCCGACACCCATTGATATGATACATGTATGTCTGGTAACTGTAAGCAGAGTCATGGAATTGGGCCCATTTTTTTGGGCTCGAGCAAGATAAGGCATGCATGTATGTCAACCCATCCAGGTGCAATATTTCACCACACTGTTAATTTTGTTATTCGATTCCTTACGTTTAGCTTGTGCCTATGTTGGCAACAAGATCTCGCAGGCAATCAGCTCCAAGAAGTTGAAGGGCAAGGAGGAGGATGTGGAGCCCAAGACAGAGACCGTGGGTCAGAGGAGCTGTGTGCTGAAGGGCAAAAAGCCCAGCCAGAATGGTAAACACCTCAATCCCCTGAAACATCCTCCTCCCACCCCACCCCGACTTTTATCCCAGAATGGTTTAGGGAATAACAACAGAAGACAATCAGCAACTGACATATATACATGTATTTGATCTTCATGAGTGCTGAAGTGGAGCAAGCAGTGTTGTAGTTGAGTACTTTTTCCGAGTACCGAGTACTGACGGGTACTTAGGTTACCGAGTACAAGTACGAGTACGAGTACTTGTAATTCCGAGTACAATTTCAGGTCTCCAAGTACGAGTACTTGTATTCTGAGTACGAGTACGAGTACGAGTACAAAATGTACTTCTATTTCCGAATACGGCCATACCGCAAGTGGTTCATTGTGCGTAATTGGCCCAGGCCCAGTCAGACTGACATACAGACCCACTCACGGCTAGCTGTTAAATGTATTTGTCCGGACGTGCACAGAGAAAAATCAGGAATCTTTGATTTCTCTACAAGCCAATCAACCATTTCCAACTGAATATTATTGGTAATAAAATAAGACCGTGATAAGTCAAGCTATACCATTTGTTTTGTTGTACTACTGTTTGAGTACGAGTACTTTGATGATCGAGTACAATTTCGACATGTCGAGTACGAGTACTTTGCTGCCCGAGTACGAGTACCGTCATTTCGAGTACGAGTACTTTGACATTCGAGTACGAGTACGAGTACTCCAAAAAAGTACTCGAGTAGTACTAGAGTACGAGTACCAAGTACGAGTACTACAACACTGGGAGCAAGCCCAGGCAGAATGGTTAACACGTCCATCCTCTGAAACATTCCTCTCCCCCCCCCCCCCCCCCCCCCCCCCCCCCCCCCCCCCCCCCCCCCCCCGGCCCGTCTATGTGGAATTGTTTTCCTAGGATGGATGAGGGAATAAAAAATGTACATGTTACAAGAAAGGGTGCTGACTAAGAACGGTCACAGTGAGAAGTGAAGGGGAGCAAACTCATGCAGAATTATCAACCCCTCCCTAATAATCCAGTGTTCTCCAACCTGTAAAAATACCCTGGTGCCCCACCATGCATTCTGAGGCACCAGCCATGCTTTAAAAGTTGCCTCCATGTTCAAAACAAATTTAAAAAGACAAACAAGTGGGACTACCCATGTTGGCTAGAAACTCTGCCAAAAGCAGTAACATGCAACACTTGTCAAAATGACAAGCCTGCCCATTGTAGCAATCCATCAGGTCAAAAGTCTCAAGGCCAAACCATTTTGAGCTAATTGTATCAGTACCCTTATCACTATGAAATGCTATACCCGATTTGTTATTCACAAAAGCAATATTTTTTTCTATTTTTCTCCCAGGTGCTACTTACATGCAGCATTCAGAGCCAAGCCAGGACCACCCTTATGATGCCCCACCACCCTACTACAAGTAGTCAGGGGCGGTTTTCTTAGAAAGGCAGTTATAATTGTGGTGTTACTACGTGTACCAACCTGAGAACCCTTCAACATAGTCACAATCAGCAACTGTGTACATCTTTTGTTTATGGCGCAAGTCCGGGACACGCACGTGCAACATCGTCGATGTATCCAGGACAGGAACCAAATCGAGGACTCCTGGGTCAGAAAACTGTCCAAATCCAATGAGAGCTGTTGCAAAAAAGTATAAACAAAGGAAAAGGGAAGAGAAACAAAAGAAATATCCTTGATTTACACCATAAACAAACGTGCATGCACATGTGTGTTTAATAAACCCCCTCAAAAGTGAGAAAGAATAAGAAATTAAGGACACTTTGGCGCCATTATTGCTGCCGTGTGTCCACCATCAGGTGCCTTCCTCTGCAAGAATGCTGCAGGTCTGTGCACATTCAGTTGCAAATATTAAGTGTGTGGTGTGTGCACGAACCAATGTGCTGGAATTTACATGCACACAATAGGAAACAAAAGATTGTATACGTCTCCGCAAGAACATTTCTATAGATGAATACGTCTCCACAAGAATTTCACGAAATAGATATATGGATTTTACTCAAAAACTAGGAATTTCCAAGGTAGGTTGATCCGTCGCAAATGGAAGAGTTTTAGAAAAGGGATATTTAGTCCAAATTTCAGCCCAGGAAATTAATTCTGGTTAAAATAAGAGCATTTTGAAACTTTAATTTCAAACACGAAATCTTTACTACACGAGAACAAAGAAATGTCTCCACAGGAATACAAATTCCAGAATGGGTGGGCGCATCTGTGCACAAACCAATGGGCACATGTATGCACTTTGTTCTTCTCATACCGTCTCTTAAAGTAGGCCTAGCAGCATCATCCAATATTTCTGCAGAGTCCATTATATGACATGTTACAAAATCCTTGAAATTCAAAGATGCAAATGCTTTGCCTTTGTGCCTTCAAATCATTTTGAGTTAACTTGGAGGGTTAAATTCATGATAGTGCTGCTCAAGCAAGAACATTGGAGGGTCTGTGGTTCCACTACGAACTTATACATGTAAGCAGTTTTTATTTGGGGTTATATGTGTGGCTCTGAGTACATGAATTACATACTCCCCGAGGAATGACAGACAAAGGCAGAACTTCAAGAGTTCATCTTTTATTGAAAACGGTCCTCAGTTTGTGTGCGTAGTCTATGGGAGAGTGTTATATTATACAGACAAAGGGAACAACAACACCTTGTCCTCGAGAGTTATGTAAAACACAACTGTGTATACAGACAGTGTGCAATGCACATCCTCTAATAGACCTAAGACGTCATGCTTTGTTTACATGTGCGCTTTTCTATGGGAGCTTGGTGGATCTCGTCCGACCTGGCTCTCGTAGAAAAGCGCACATGTAAACAAAGCTTGACGTCATTATGTCTCCGTCTGTTGATCCTCTAAAGAACACAGCATATTATTTTGGAATGTCAAGTTCTTTACAGAAACACACGTAAATTATAAAGAATACTGCAGGCTTCCCTACTATCTGATAAACTTGCACCACAATTGTCCACAGCCTTTCTGCTCTGCCAAAAGAGGGAACTAAAACTGGTCCATAACGAATCGATGATGGCGCTGTTTTAAAGTTACAGAACAACCTGTAAAAGAACAGAGCCTGAAATAAAAAAAGTCGGCATGGAGTAGTTTTAGATTTCTCTCAGAGTAACACAAGAATAAATATTGTTTAAAGGTTTACATATGGGTTATGCATTATACTCTTTTTTTTGTGATTTATTAATATGTAAATGTCAAGAGTTGGTTTGTAAATCGTTCTAGTGTACATCTACAGTATAAATATCTTTTTATGATGAACAGGATTCCAATGTTGTAAGGAGAATTTCATATTGTTTTCCTGTGTATATTGATAAACTTTATTTTGTTGAATATAAATGCACATTACACTGGTTAAAACGTAAACACATTGTATTGTAAGTGAAGTAGACACTTCATGTATCTCACCAATGTCTCTCAGGAATGTTGTATAGCCAAGAACCCACTGCCTAGATCTCTGTTTCCTAAAGTATCTGAATTACAAGACAGGAGGAGTTGAGCCCTTGCACGGTGCGCCCTCTCTGGGGGCACATTCCGTGAAATTGTTAAAGGGAATATACAACATTTGCAAACATCGAAAAATAAAACTACCAAGTTTTTACAAAATACCTTACTAGGATGTTGGTAAATGACAGTCTAACTATTTTTCAACTACTGCTTCAACTCTACACTTTTTTCAGTCCAAATTTTGTTTGCTATTGGTTACATGTTCGTGAACGGGTGCAGGCCAGCTAGACTGGTTTTACCTTACAATTTTCCGGCATCTATACATTGATCCATTTTATCTTTAGTGGAGTCAAGGAACCAGACTACTTGAACATTTTTGTTTTTCTTGGTTTTTCCAGCATTTTCGAACACAAAACTTCAAACATGTCAGTGTAACAATATTTGATCTATTATACTAACCCCTCAAATAGTTCATTTCTGAAAATTACAGCCAATGATGTGCATTCCCTAGTATTTACTCAGGCACATTCAATAGGAATCATTAAATACCTGCCGTCAGTCACGTCAGATGTAAGGTTAAATGCAATGGATCGACTGAGATAAGTTTCCTAAATAAATGTAACATCTTGTTTAAAAATTAAAACATGCAATATATCTCTTTAAATTTTTAGAATTAATATATGGAATGCTATTTGTATAAATTGTTCACGTTTTCACACTTAATTTGTCTATCAACTTCACTCGAGTTACAAATGTACTCATCAACATTTTGGTGACGCTGGTTGGACTGGTTTGATTGATCAAGGGCTGATCAATATAAGTGCTTGCTCATTTATTGGGCAGGCAGGCAAAAACGCATTGGCCGGATTTGCATTACATGTACATTGGCCGGTGGAATCTTTCATGAGCTGCATGTTGTTCATCAAGTTTGCAAACACAACACAAATCATGACCTGCTGGTACGTGGTTTAAACAATCTAATGTTACCAGTGATAACTTTCCAGAAACTTTCATTCTGGGAACAATAAAGAAAAGTTTCGATCAATCCATTTTTCTTCTTGTGTCATTGGCTACTCCTCTTTTAAGTAAAACAACAAAGATGCGGTGCGATGAGTTGAAATTACTCGCGCCGAATTAATTTAAAAAAAAACCCCAAAACACCTAGTTTTGTCACGAGTTCGAGGGTACTGCCGGGAGAATCGTCAATCGATTTCGTTTATATCCATCGGACCGCACCATCTTTATTAAGGGTGATTTTCAGTCGACAAGTTTTTTAAAACTTAAACAAGTTGTGTACTCGGATTGAAAAACGAACAACAAACGGTGTTCGTTTGGGGCGCCACCTTGTGTTGCAGCGGATAACTTCACTGGTGCCCGTTAATCCCTCAGCGATTCGAATATGCATTGATGGGAACCTTTCAAAACAACATGGCGGCCTCCATGGACACAGGAAAGCATGAATGGTAAGAAATTGTTAAGTTATGTAGATTTTTGATATGCATATCGTGCCCGTTTTTTACATCTGTGTAATTAAAATTGGAAAGACTAAATTGATGAAGACTTCTCTCAATATAATGACACCTTTTACATAATTTTTGAACAGTTTCTTGGGGTAGAAATTACGATTTAGAAATGTACTTTACTCGGTTTGTCATGTTTGTTAATGTTGTTTGGCATGGTGCCGTGCGCGTGCGTGCGACTGTGCGATTCATTCAGCATGTTCAGCGCAATTTGCGCGTTCATGATCAGGGTCGTAGTATAGTACCAACTACCATGGAGCTAAATGGCTCCATGATAGTACTACTATGTTGTTAGTACTAAAATGCGTCAAAATGGCGTGAACAGCGTCAACAAAAAAATATCTTTTTGGAGAAAAGATCTTCGAAGAATGTTGGATTGTTGCAACCTGACACCACTTTTTTTAGGCCTACATGTATATCATCTATAATAAGGTGTTTCACGGTAATGCGCCATCTTGTTCGCGGGGCAGAAAGAACATGCGTTGCAAGACAGGGGGGCATTTTGGAATGACTGTGTGATGACTTGGAAGCGCCAAAGCTTTCCAATGACGCTGCGTACACAGCAACGCGTGTTAAATTGCCCCGCGTTTAAAAGACATGAATTTGGGACTGAGAAACATTTCCAATTTTGTTAAGAAATACTTAAAAAATGTTTTTTGACTCTCCATAGACTTTGTACACAACTGCTGAAGTGGCCTCAGGATGCACCATATTCTTTCCAACACTAATTAACATAATGATAAGGCGAAAAACTTGGAAACTACAAATATTGTAGTACAATAGTAGAGCCTAGGCATTGCTAGGGGCTTTGGTCTAGTATAAGAACTTTATCTCCAATACATATTGCCATGAATACCATCTCACTGTCTGGCGGATAAGCACAAATTAAGTTCTTAACTCAATATTTAATTTAATACCAACCCCCTTAGGGCTCTTTGGGGTCAAGTACCAAATACCACAGAATAATACATGTGTTGTGCACTCTTGTAAGTCACAGAAATGCATACTGAGGTTACTGCTCCATAGTTTTTGTAGCTTTAGGTGAGGTTAGTGCTAAATGGCTAATGATGTAAAGGTCTGCTGCACCTGAATTTATACGAGACAGTATTGCATGCTCTTTTTTTGGTTTATCTTACCCAGTGACCTGAGCATACCGTTCCCCTCAGCCAGAGAGGCAGAAATTGCCTACAACACCCTGAGAGTCGACAAGGAACCCAGGAAAGAAATTACAAAGGAGCTCCAACTTGTTGAGAATACTTTAAAAGTGTGAGTTTAAATGAGGGCCAAGTCACACAAGGCAATTTTTTTCACAGGGAACTTAGAGGCAACTAAATGCACATTGCAAGCTAAAGGAATCCTCACAAAGAACACATTATTTTTTTTAACAGTTGATGGAAAACTCCTTAGAACATTACATGGAATTAAAATTAGCTTTCTGCTTTCTTCTTGGAGATTGCCAAAAACAGGTTGCCTCTAAATTGCCTTGTGTGTCATGGCGTCTAAGACCTGTTCTGAACTTATGACATGTTAACATTTTCTAAAGTTAACATTTTCTAAAGTTTTGACTTTTGTGTTTGAATGGTTGTTTTAAAAGTTAGATCCCCAATTGCAAGTTTATCACATACAAAATTATGTACAATGTACATTCAAGTAGACATCCATTTTACACGGAATACAATGCCCACTACAGATTGCCTAAAAACCCCTAGGCCCGCTTTGCTAGGAACTATCCTCAATCTTCCAAAATCCTCCCCAATTTTGAAATAGTGTTTAAATGAAGGATACCCACTGCCTCAATCCTTCAAAATTCTCCAACAGCCCTGCCTCTCGAAATACATTTAGCCTCAATTCTCCTATACCCTCCTCTTCTTGAAAACACCATTCAGCCTCAATCTTCCATAGTCAACCAATAGGCCTACTGAATGTTCATGTGCCCTCAATCATCCGGAATCCTCCAAAATTGTTTGTTGCATTCAACCTTAATCCTCCAAAATCTTCCAAAACCTCTCCGATGTCTTTGGAGGATTGAGGACGGTTAGGGTTACTTCTCAGTTTTACTGGCCTGAGTTAAGCTTCAATGTTGTAAACTTGAGATTCCTAACAGTGACACTCCATCAGTTGCCCAATCGTTGCATTATTCCCAATAATTCCCAGTTTTCCCCTAACAGGGGGAAATTTATAGAGAGGTATACTTTAACTTAAATGATTGTGCATTACAATTTGTTGTTTTAACTCTTCATTAATTTGTATATTTCCCCCTTCTTTTATTTGTATATATAGGAGGTTTACAGCAACTGAGGCCAGACTACTGAGAGTGGCTGTTGGATCTTTCATGGATTACTTGAATCTGACCATCCAGACGATGGAACACTTTGGCCCTCCCATGAAGAGAGTTCGACCAACTGAAGTCCAGGAACAGAGCACGGATGAGGTGGCATCATGACTTCAACTTCTCAAGTAGGCACTGTGTGATTGAAACTACAATGGCAATCTTTATGAGAAGTAGTCATTGCATCATATGGATACCATCTTTAACCGAAGCTCCATTTGGACCTTAACGTTGAGCGAAGGATTTTCAACGCTCCCTCCTACTTGAGAAGATCCACACTATGGCCTGCATTAAAGTGACATGTTTTCCACAGGTATGTGGAAGAAGAATGGTTTCTGTAATTGCTGATACATATATTATGTGTGGTGTGTCTGGAAATGTTCAGATTTCAAGTATATGTACTTCAGTGACCCACTGTTTGCACAGTTTCCACCGTTGGAATTTGATGTCAGTGTTCTTCAAAAAAAGTTTATTCACAATTCCTCATAGATGTAATGAGTCGGCTAATTTGGTTGACCCTTAGCCTTTTTGTCCAATAAGCAGACTGAAATAACATCTATAGTTAGCTTGCACTAAAACCTTAAAGGGAAATAACAACATTTGCAAACATTGAATAATAAAACTACCGAGTTTTTACGAAATATCATAGTAGGATGTTGGTAAATGACAGTCTAAAGCATCCTGTAAAAGTATGGCACCTGGTGTGAAGTCATTTTCAAGAAAATGGTATTTTTGTATACATTTCCAACGGTGGTCGGCCGACCACCGTTGGAAAAACCTAACTATTTTTCAACTTCTGCTCCAAGTTTACCTTTTTTTCAGTTCAAATTTTGTTTGCTATTGGTTACATGTTTATGAACGGGTGCAGGCCAGCTAGACTGGTTCCCTTACCTTACAATTTTCCGGCATCTATAAATTGATCCATTTCATTTTTAGTGGAGTCAGGGAACAGACTACTTGAACACTTTTGTTTTTGTTGGGTTTTCCAGCATTTTCGAACACAAAACTTCAATGTCAGTGTAACAATATTTGATCCATTATACTAACCCCTCAAATACTTCATTGCTGAAAATAGCAGCAAAAGCCAATGATGTACATTCCCCTTTAAAATGTAGAGTGCGGGGGGGGGGGGGGGGGGGGGGCAAAAACCAACTAGGGTGCCCACTACCATAAAAATACAAAAATACAAATTGTATGGCTTTTGCTGTTGGGTGGGGGGGGGGGGGGGCAGTTGCTCGCCAAGGGCCCCCCCCCCGCGACGGACCTGATTAAAATATACGTACATGTTTTAAAGTGCATGTATTAAGACTTCGATTTCATTGTCTAAACACATTATAGAATAGTTACAATGTAGTTTGCGTGTACACGTCACGTGACCTCTCTTTGTGAAGAAGTTTGGTTCTGATGAGAACCAGGGGTGAGATGTGATCTAAACGGTTCGACTTGTGTACCCGAGTCTTCAGAATATTTCTCAAGCACAGTGCACACTTAATCAGAAAATGTTCACAAGCCAACATGTCCAAGGATGTATATGCAGATAATTCTTGCTTGTCACAACAATTTGTTAATAATAAGCAGTACAGTTGCTCAGCAGCTCAAGTGTCCAAAAAAATGCTGGTCTTAAGTTCCCCCGCAAACAGTTATTACTTGAGAAAGTTTTTTTTAAGGTGTGCGAGTAAGATAATTCAAAGTAGAACAAACAGGAACTTAGCTTCAAAACAAACGCACACAAAATCCTAGTCAAAAGCCGAGCCATCTTCGCTTTTGTAAAGCAATTAGGCATTGCAATAATAATAGTAAAAAACCTGAACAATATGGTATGTTAGAAATCGTCATTTACACGAACAGGTCTAGTAATGAGTTACTACAAGTTAACAATGTTTATCTTGCTTGAAGAAGTGTCATCAGACATATATGTTCAATATTGCCGCACATTTTTGACGAAAATAAATACTGAGATTAAGGCGGAAGGAAGATCATTTTGACGTGTTTAAATTGCATTGTCTTCATTAATTCCCCGAAGGCGGTGTTCGGGCCAGGCAGTCGAAATCAAAAGCCGAGAGAGATAATTACATTCGAGACAACCGGAGATTAGTGACTTCCTCTCGTATACCGGGGCAAAGACAAAGTCCACGGCGGGCGACTCCGGTACGGCGCGCTCGGTGACTTTCCCCTGCGATCTGGCGACACGCATCGCGGCGAGCGTGGCGAGAGGTTGTGCTTTGGCTTTTGTCGTGTACAATGTATACATGTAAGTGAAATTGTACCTTGAGTGGACGACCGAGTTAAGGATGATCGGACGCCCGCAGATTTTTTTTAAAGTCTCCTACAGCATGATTCAACGATCACGATTATAGTGCCATAGACGTTCTCTGAAGAAAAAAAAGATATCTGGAGAAGTGAGGCATTGATTGGACTACATGTAATTGTGTCACCGTTTTCGCCCACGGAGATGAAAAACAGGACATATAAAAAGATTTGTTGACATCTTCGGATTTCATTCGTTGATCCATGAACTTTGGCGATCGTGCAGACCTTTTTCATATTTCACGCCGTTAATTTGGCTCATCACCGACTATTTATCGTTCTCTCTTACACGAAAGAGTTGATTTGTACAAATGTAGTACGATACGACGATACTCCGCTTGATCACACCACGTCACTTTGCTTGAAATCAGGAGTAAGCCAGCAGTTTCTCCCGAAGTTATCTGCTTCACATATATTAAACTTGACACCAAATGTGATTAGAGATCCAGACGACAACGGCTCGATTAGTGCTGACGAACAAGCGTGCGTGAAGTTGATTAAACGTATCGCATTCACAGATACCGAATTCATCATGACTGCATGTCCCATTCTCTCGCACTTGATTCTCCCATGAGTTGACTCTATGTACAAACACTGCGTGAGGCATTAAACTGGCAGTGAGTGATAAATACGCGGTGATTTATTCAGCTGTCCGCTGACCGAAAAAAGAGTATTTTTCTTGTGTAACTGCGACGAAGCCCGCATCCACTGCCTGTCTGCGAGAGTTCATTTGTAACGCCACACGCCATTAGTCAGAGATAATCGATGTACAAGTCAACACCCGTTGATATGTTAACAGTATTTTCCTCGGAATGATCCTACTTTCATTTTCCGTTTACCGTGTTGCGATGTACTTTGCATATGTCTGCGGAAAATTCAACAGTAAATTCAGCTTAATGCTTTTGGTACCATATTTCGTCACCCACGCAGAAATTTGTTTGACTATTTCTCTGTGTATGGCGTCAGACTTCGACTATCTGCCAGTGCCGTAATGTTTGAGCTGGACCTAGACCCGCTAGAAATGGAAGCCATGAATTCCGGGGAGTCATCGATGTACTGTCAGAACCTGACGGTCCTGAACAAGACCAACGAGATGGCGGCTAGAATGCTGCTGTATGACGCGACATCTTCTGGACTCATTACAATCGCCCTGCCCATCATTGGCACCATCGGCTGCCTGATCAACGCTTCGTTCCTCTTCGTCGTGTTTCGCATCCGTCGCATGCGGACCATCACCAATGCCTACCTGTGCAACCTAGCCGCGTCTGATATACTGTTCCTTCTGACTGCCACCGCCGCCGGCTCGCTCCAGTACCACTCCTCCCCGGTCAACTTCGACAAGTACCAGACTGGTATTGCCGGCTGCGTCCTCTTCAACTTCCTCATCTACACATTCTTCTTCGCCTCCATCGCGTTGGTCACGCTGGTCTCCTTAGAGCGGTACTACGCCATCTGCAGCCCCTTGAAGCAGTGGCTGATCAGCGGTAAGGCGCGCACGGCTAAGCTTCTACTCGTCACCTGGATGATCTCGGCCAGCATGGCGGCTCTCAACGTGCCGGCCTTCATCGTTCTGAAGCCCCTCTGCGTGGACTGGCCTGACACGGAAGACTTCCAGGACTTCCCGGACATCGTGGGCGATTGCAAGCCCGTCACGCCTTGGTTCACCCAGGTCTCCTGCGTCTCCCGCATGATTCCCTTCTTCGTGGCCATGATAGGCAACATCTACATGTACTCTCGCATCATCCTGACCCTCAAGCGCCGCTTCATCGTAAACCCGAATGACGCAGCAGCCAGCGGTCAGGCCATCAACCACGTGCAGAGCGTCCGGAGACAAGTCTCTGCCATGCTGATCGCCACTGGCACGGCCTTCTTTCTCTGCCAGGTCTCAACACAGGTCTACGTTCTGCTCGGGATGGTCACCAGTCTCACCGGAATCCGGTTCTTCTCCCCACAGCAGCGCGTGGTCATCCTCTGGATCAACCGCATGCTCCTGTATGCCAACTCCACCATCAACCCCATCGTGTACAACGTGACCAACCAGCGCTACCGGAGTGCCTTCAACACGGCTATAATTCACTGCGACACCCACATGACCACCAGACAACGAGGTAGTCGTAGGCCGTACATGGAGAGAGGCGACACGGCACAACAGACCATACACACCTCGCTCATGTGAATCTATACACGTAAAGCTCCAAAACTCTCACCAAGTGCGTATAGCACGGCCCATATTACAAAGTGCCTGAATCCATTTTAGGAGAACTCTCTTGGGATTGTATCCGACAGAAGCCAAGAACATTCGTATCACGAGTTGAATCTTACATTTTAGATAGTGGCGGGAGTATGTACTATGTATGGTTTGCAATTACGTGTATACTTAAACTACATATTATTGATAAGGCAGCTTACGTTTGTGTTTTGTAACACGTTGCGTTGTTGGAACCACGACACAATATTGATGTTCCTAATTACAGAGATGTTACAAATTATCAGAAAGAAAAAAACAAACAAATATATATAACTATATTTATGTGTACTGTGCACACAGAAAAGCTATGGGTAACTGTGTATTGTGACGTATGAGTGTTTACCTATGGATTTTATTTTAATACATGTACTACAAAACAAAATCAAAATCTGCTTTATTTTGACACTAGACAGTGAACAACACATGTCTTAAATTAATGTGGTTATTTTTTTACGGTGTAAGATAGTATGCGCCTAATACGTGCCTACTACATAACAAATTTGACATTCCACATTTATATTTCCACATTTAACTGACAAATATTGAAGGTTTCAAGTGATCAGCCGGGTTACACTTGGTCTTCTCAGGACCCAGGGCAGGGGAGAGAGACATTCGTACCTCCCCTACCCAAGAAAAATTCTAACCTTCTGTCGAGTTGTCCAGTTTAGTAAAAAAAAAATTATAATAATACTAATAATAACCTTGGCTGTAACCTGTACATGTACTCTTGCCTTGTTGCTACAAAAGGGGACTTGCACTCGACAACTTGTGCTTTTTGTGGGTTCCCTGTATCTCTTTGCAGTGTCAGTCTTATGTAATGTTTCTGTTTTTCCCTCAAATTATAGTATATCGGAATACCATCTAAGTGTATGTTTGCTTTGTCTGTGCCTCACGATGAAATAAAGTAAAGTATACAAAGTAAAGTAAAAAGTAAAGGTGTTTTACCCTATATCTCGAATTCACCTGTGTGTGATTTTGACTCACTATTTAATCAACTGAATTCAGGACAAAGTAACAATTGGGAAGTCTATGACTTCTTTGGATTCACAATGCAGTAACTGCCAAAAAAAATGTATTCAATGGAAGAAAATAGTGCAGGAAAAGTAAGGATCAGGTGAATATATAGTTTTCGCGTCAGTGGATAAATATATGTACAGTATTTTAAAAAGTGTAAACTTTCATTTTACCAGAATACATCGCAGTCGAAAACCTGGCCGTGTTGCTTTGCCTATTAAAGGTGAATTCAAGAAGTTTGAGAACAAAAGAGTGTTTTTTTTTAATAACAAAGTACATGTAGGCGTACGTGTTTACCATTTATTTATATGAAACGGGAAACTACAATTGCAGTCGATCATGTTGCTTTGTCTATGTACATGTACATGTACATGTTGCCTCAGCTTTATTTATGTAAAACGTATGCTATTGAAAGTTGTCGTTTAATCGGTTGCCATAGCGACCCCGCAAAACCCTTATTCCACGTTAATACAGAGGTACATTATGGAACACCGGTGCTTGTCGGAAATTGATGTAAAACTAATTGATCATCAGGACTCCGCCAGAAAGGCGCACTTAGATTCTCTTAATTAAAGTGTTTGCATGCACATTAAATACCGCATGCCTCGGTGTATGTTGTCAAATCTCTAGTCCCAAGTTGATATTTGACGTGTTGTACAACTTGTATCCTTCATCAGCTTGTCGACGTTAATAAGTGGGCCTCTTTATTTTAAGCCTGACCACGTTTGGGCTTCCGTAGCACAAGCTTACTGCTACTTTGAAAACAAAAATGCATACCATTTCGTATTCATGTTCTCTCTGCCTATAGACAACCTCACGGTCTTTTTGTTTTCGAAATAAACCCGCTCCATATAACGCAGGGCTTTCGTTATCAACACTGGCATTGGAGCTTGCCCGGAAACCTGCCGTGCCATCCGCTATCGGATGGATTCTCTTCAATCTCTGGCAACGGGCTGATTAAAAGCAGCTATAAATCTCTCTTAGCCACTGTTAAGCAATATCTTCAAAGCAAAGACCGGCTGGTGCTATACACCGACGGGTCTTAAAAGGTAAGACCGGTTTCGGAAACGGGGCTGTGTGTACAAGCGCATCGGATGTGACAATTAATCTTAAGGGTCCCTTGTATAGTCTTCGGGGTTTTTTTTCTGGGGAGCTTTAAGCTTTGTTGATGAAGCAGTAATACTCGGCCCATGACAACATCCATCAGGCGGGCCGGGGAAATGCGTTTCTTGCGTGTAGGCTAGGGGACCGTTGTTGCAGGATGGGATGGAGGGGTTATCAGAAAAAAGGGGAAAGAAGTAGGCCTGTATTTAGGTTAATGTGTATTTATGGGTCTCCAGTATGCATGCTGGCTCGGACTAATTTCACAGACGCCTAGTAAACAGGTTTCCTGTGGACCAATCGGGTCACGCCATCGCTTCTATCACGGTGGCCCCCTTCAATGGCGAAAGCATTGGGCTAGCTATTGATCAGAAAATCCGTTATGGGGCAGTTTTTCATTGAAGGGGGCATCTTGAGTATATACAGTGATCATGTGCCCAAATTCGTCTATATCAACGCAGCTAGCGTTGGCACATCATGCATAGTTTCTATTATTTTCTCTATTTAACTTCAGTGCAATAAATAATTATCCTATTGCAAAGATTTATTATTATATAAGACAGTTGAACAAAACCTACAATTTATTGTTAATGGTAACTGTGATAACCACAGTTAGCTTAGGAAAACTTGCCCCAGTTTACCTTTCCGCCATCTTGAAACTGTGACGTAAATCGCGAATTGACTAGAGAAACACTGCTCCGGGGATAGGTTGATCCAGTTGGAGTAGCTAGTCAAACCACGCAGCGTTTGAGTGACATCTAAATCGACTATAGTCCAGTCTAGTCGACTCTAGTCACCCAACCGAACTTGCTCTTTGCCTTAGCTAAGATAAACCCTCATGCTCTGGTGTTTCAGAGGCAACAGTGGCGTTGGTTCGAGTCCGGGTCTGGACACTGTCTTGTGCCCTTCAGCAAGGCACTTTAATAAGTGCCCTTCAGCAAGGCACTTAACCATTATTGCTTTGTTCTTCGGATGGGATGTAAAGCCGAAGGTCCCGTGTGCTGTGTAATGCAATGCACGTAAAAAAAACCCAGTAAAGTATCGCCAAGAGAAGGGGTTTGCCCCGGGATTTCTGGCCTCCTGGTAACACTCCACTGCGGAGTCCTTAGGAGAGGAGCCAAGTGACCAAGTAAACCCTTACAGGGCTCCCTCAACGAGGAACAGAGGCCTGCTCTCCATGAGGGCGCTCTGTGCACGGGGTCTGTGGCTTAACCACCAAAAGGTGATAGTGGTTTATATTTGAATCTATATAGCTGATTTTCTTTAGCACATCAGGTGTTTCTTTACCACCATGTTTCAGTTTAACAGCTCCGTGAAATTCGGCCAAGGGCTTGAGATGTCTTAAGTCGTTGGGTCATGAACTGTCTTATCTGGGGCACACCTTCCGCCGTCCAATCGTCTGCTTGGAAAACTCATTCGCAAATGATTGCGATTGTCTTCCATTTACACTGCGTTTTTTTGGCAAGCGATGGAGCGAACTTTATTTAGGGAAAATCACCCACCGTCAATTCCAGAAATCGGAATAGTTATGAGAACGAGCGGTGTTGGCAATTTACCTTCGGTTTGTAAATTTATACAAATGGGCCCTAATGCTTGCCGTCATTCACACCTGTCTCGTTAAAATTTATCGAAAATCATATTAGTGCTTCTAAACGTGACATGTTCTTGCTTTATTCGATGTGCTGCGTAGGTTGTGCACATGCAACGCGGTTATTTGTGTTCCGCCGCGGCGAAAGTAAGTGATCACTTTGGCCGATATTAAGGAGCAACCGCTTATCATGATTAACAACCGGATGGGCAGGGAAGAGCAAGTTTAAGGACGGGCTCAGCTCAAGGAAATATCAGCGGCATCACCGGATGATCATCACCCGTCTGCGCGAGGGGAGCGGCCATTAGTCTTCCATGGGGGAGGATGTAGCTGACAGACGGTAAGACCGACCGGTAGGAACTAATGTCCGCCGGGACCTCATGGGCCGGCGTGTCGCGGGGGCGTCGCAGCACCGGTCGCCGGAGCAACAGCCGGTCCCGTTTTCGTGCAGTTGAAAAGATCCGGAACGGAGAATGTAGGGGCCTATTTGATTTGAAAAAACCTACAGCAGCCGATTTCACCAAACTTTTCGCAATGGCCCAACTCCGCTTGCGCCACAATTTATTGCGTAAAAGCTGCTTTGCGCAACATTTCACGCTGCGCAACATTTCACTTATGACACATTTCCCGAAAGTCTCATATTAGTGCGTAAGTCCGAGACTTGCGCTATCATTTTAGGTGGCGTACGTTGTGGTGTAGCAACTGAAAATTACATTTGACCAGCAAATCGTGATCGTCGTGTCTGTTATCGCACAACGTATCAAGGTTGGAACAAGGCACTCGCATGCAGCTTCTTAATTAAAGTAAATTAAATTCTGTATTACTAATGACTACTTTTAGAGTTGCCGCACGATTCCGGAAGAAAATGGAACAAAATAATTTTCAAATGGTGAGCTGAGCTGATTCAACGAATGTTTTGTGAACGAAGAAGTTCATACACAAACAGCCGTCGTAAATACTGCAATTATCCTCGTCCGAGATGTTTAAATGATTTAAAACGTGAAATCAATCGTAAGTTTATTGCGCGATACCTGCGCAACAAATTTGTTGCTGAAGTCTTACGCATGGGGCAAGCTACATCTTTTTTTCGTGAAATCGGATGCTGTACGTCGACTTAGAAACTTTCGCTTCTACCAACTGTCCCTATCTTACCAACTGTATACTTATGGTGACCATAAATATTTCAGGGCTATGATCCATATCAGCTTAATACTTGAAGTCCTATTTGCAAGGGTGTTTAGGGGTCCAGAATTTCGGGAGAGGGGCACTCAACGGCTTTGGTAATTGCTTCCCAATATACGCCTAGAGGTTTTTTTTCCGTGTTGGATTTTCTGATACATGTTGGTTATTAATTTTGCTCTGCGATTATGTAATACAACTCGGCAATTAGCTTTTTTTGCGAAGCTGGGTGTTATACGACTGTACTCGATTCGAACAAGATCTGTCGGACTTAGAAACTTTTGCTCTTACAGACTGTACTTATCCAGGGGTGCAGGTGATAAATCTTTCAGAGCTATCCATATCAGCTTACTTAGAGTCCGACTTACAAGGCCAAGGACGATAGAGGTCCAGAATTTCGAGAGAAGGGCACTCAATGACCTGGTCGTTGATTCACAATATGAAGGTTTTTTTCGAGTTGGATTTTCTTATACAAAAAGGTGATTAATTATGCTTGTGGTCTGCGATTGTGCAATGGAGCTTGACAATTAGTTTTTGGAGGAGCCGTATAGGACACCACAGTACAGAATATTTGGAGACTGAATTATTGTGGCTATTGGTTGGTTTATTTTCAATCAATCTGTTTTATTGGATGACTAATATTGTTGGATAAAATACAATTGTAAACTCTAACATAATCACCTGAATCGTAACAATGATACGATCTATTAATAGTATAAAACTTTCGAGGATACATATACATTAAAAACATATGTGGAGTGCCATGGCGTCGTTGTCTGGAGCACCGAATTCGTGGTCTGCGGGTAATTCTGCAGGTTTTGAGATCGAGTCCAGCCTGGGGTTATGGTGCGTGTGCCCTTGGGCAAGACACTCATTGCTTCTCCCCACCCAGAAGAAAAACGGGTAGGCCTATACCTGTTAGGGCAGTGATAGTTATTGTATTGTGATGGATTGTAGCTGCTTTACGCCGAAATGGCAGCATCGAGCTGTATACTTTCCAGGGAGCTGAGATTGTCTTTGGAATGTTTCATTGTCCCAATGAGCAGTTAATATGTAATAATGATGTAGCGCCTAGAGTACCAATACTTGCAGATATGCGTGCGCTTTATAAATACACGCGCTCTAAAAAATATTACTTGCAAAATAATTCTTGTATAAATGTTACAAAGGTCTTTAAAAGTATCAAACAACTATTTACTCTACACATAATTTGAGTATTAGGAAAGCTATGTACATTTGTTGTGGTTGAAACAGTACTCAAGATTACTTTGTCAACTGATAAGGGAATTGTACACGTTGATTAATGATCCTGCATGTACTGGTTGATCCACCGAAGGAACTTGACAAGCCTGGTATAAAACCCATACTTCCCCGGCCGACCACACCCCTCACCCCAACTAACGATTCCCAGCTGATACCATCTCCCCTCGTGCTCCATCGCTAAAGGGCCCCCGCTATCTCCCCTGCAAGCGTCCCCTTTCTTCTTCTTGTAACCCGCGCAGAACATGTTGTCGGTGACCAGGTACTTGGTGGACTTGATGCACTTCTGTTGGCCAACCACAGGCACGTCCACCTCGGTCAGGTAGCGCGGGTACGGCCCGCCTTCCACCAGCCGGCCCCACCCGGCCACTTTCCCCATGGCGCCCGCCTTGAGGAGCTGCCGCGCCAGGGCTTTGCTCGGCAGGCACAAGGGGCGCAGGTAGTCCGAAAACTGCCCGACGGGCTTGGCTAGCTTCACCAACGCCAGGTCGATGTCGTAGTCGCTGTCTACAAACTCGTCATGCACCTTGATGTGTTGTACGCCTATGAGTTGCTCACTCTCCTCAGTCGAGTACGAGTCGTGGTCTCCTAGCCGGATGCGTATATCCTCCTTGCTGACCGAGTGTTCAGTTATGCAGTGAGCACCTGTCAGGACCCAGTAGCGATTCAGCAGCGTACCGCCGCAGTAGTGCGTACGGCCTTCGTTAAACCAAAACCGGGCGATCCATGGGGAGGAGCCCCGCTTGGCCGTGGTGCCTCCCGTTATACGGAATGTCCGGTTCCCCTCCTCAGCACTGAGTGCCTCCAATGACGTAACCTTGCCACAAACTATAAAAAAAAAACCCAGCAAGGATATGTAAGGCACATCGGAATTACAAGTTCCTTGCGCACACAAAAATTCTGGTGGAAGTGGGATAGATATAAGCCATGTGCGTAAGAACCGTACCTACGAAATTAAAATGTTTTGGTGGTAGCGACCCACTTAGAATACCACAAGGGTATTTTGGTATACAAGTAAATAACATAAATTGGGTTATCACGAAAGCATTAGACCGAATCTAAGTAAACATCGTCATGGGTTAATAATGTTCACTATCAACCATTTTATGTTATGGGTATCACATAACTCATATTATACAACCCCTGAATGAATCCTGTCTTCTGATTGGTTGCTCGTTGATCACATGTCATTGAATTATTCATCCCAACCCACGGCCCAGCCGCACCGCAAAAGTATAAGTTCTATTCCACGGTAAATAGAAATTCTATTGCACGGTCAGACAATTGGCTCTGACCAATCAGATGGCAAATATTTATTCATGTGTTGTATAAAACCAATTATATAACGCCCAAGTCAATCCTTGTCATTTGATTGGAGGATTGTAGGTCACGCGGCATTCATTAATCGAACCATTGCACGGCCTACGTCAGAACCATGTATTTTTGCTTCCATTCACCGTGCATTTTCGCCACGTCCCTTTCGATTTATTGCACGCCCCACGCACGCTAAGACGCGCAGTGGCCCGGCGCTATACATCTGTGCGCTATTTAGACCATATCAAGCATTATAGCAGTACAAAACTTGCCTTCGAAGTTGATGCAGTTGCCTTGATGATTTTTTGCATTGTTTTAAGAACTTACAATGTTAATTTTCATTGTTGTCAACGATTTTACTTTTAAACCTGAAAAACAGTAGTTGATATGATACAATTTTGTGAGTTTTGTTTGTTCTTAAAGTTTTATCCTCCAATCGAATGACAAAGATCTTCTTGGATGTTATATAAAACAAATAGTGAATGTTTTGCATTCGTGTAATGTTGAGAATATTTTCATTCGTTGAAAGATGGAATGTTCCATTCAACTCGGCGACATTCAATCTTTCAACTCATGAAAATATTCTCACCATTGCACTCATAAACATTCATTATTTGTATAATAATGAATGTTTCACATTAATGGAAAGAATAATTTCATTCGGTAACAAATGGAATATTCCATTCCACTCGACTTCGCCTCGTGGACTGGAACATTCCATCTGTCACCTCATGAAATTATTCTTACCATTGCAGTCATCAATGAACTTTATTATGTTTATACCACCAGTCCTTGCATACCACGAACAAGTACGTTCATTTCATGGGTATTACTTTGATACCACCGATACTTTTACCATTCGATGGGTTGTTCGTAAATTAATACAATTATACGGTCTATAACCTACCTTCCTCAACGACCTGTTGTGACGTTACCGTGACCTGCGCCGTGACCTCGGCCACGCGCACGCCGCCCAGCGTCTGTGCCACGCAGGTGTACTTGCCACTGTCCGAGACCAAAGCTTCCCGTATGAACAGGCTGTCCCCTGAGATCACGTGGACCATGTCCGTCAGCTGCACGGGGTGGCCGTTCTTTTCCCAGCGGATGGCGTAGGAGGCAGGCCGGGCGGTGCAGGTGAGGATGTAGTCCTCCCCCTCCGGAACAACAGCCGCTTCAGGGGTCATCAGGAACACGTCCTCTTGGTCAAATTCTGGGACAAAAGAGAAGGCAAACCGAGTACACTTATAATGCTTATTTAAAAACTATTGTGAACCGTCAGGACGACCCAAATTTTTTTTTTTTTTAAATATCGATATTTTTGGTGGCGGACAATTGCAAAGACTCACGGAAATCAGCAGTAGCCTCAATGACGTCACCGCTGGTACCCGTTACAGTGCACGTATACAGGCCCCGGTGAGTCTCGTCAACATCGAGGATCACCAGCGCCCCGTCCGATAACACGTAAATGCCACCAGTCTTACCTGCAATATTACAAGGTGGAAAAATATATTAATTAGCGTTGTTATCAGCATGATTGATTTTTAGTAAAGGAATAGTTTTCCTTGATACACTGATCTGCTCTCACTCTCAGAATACCGATTTGAATAGTAACCACCTCAAGGAAAAATGCGATTGCAAAACATCAGCCTTTTCAATATGGCGGACGCAAGAGGTGGGGGCTAATAGGTTACATTAATTTGGGTAATAGTACAAAAGAGTTCAACAAAATCAAATTCACATAATTTGCGGCAGTTTCAGTCATTTTCACTGCAAATGTAACTTGGTGCCCGATTATACAAAGCCACCTATAGCTTTGCAATCAGATCTGGTTTTAAACAAAACTTCTCAAACTTCATGTTTTTTTTTCCAAATATTGAAAAACTGTCACAGATCCAAGTTTTTTCCGCATCAAAATCTTATACAAATGGTTGCACTTACCCAGCGGCAACGGCATGAAGTCCTTCATCCAGTCGACTCTAGCCGACGGCTGATTGCTGCTACATATCTGGTGGATCTTCATACCCACTACCAGTGTGACGTCACGTGGTCGACTAGTGAATTCAAGCCCTTCACTGTTATCAACTGTATCATCCACTAAGGTTAAAGAAATGAAGGAACAAAATCAATATTTACAGAAGAATGTTTGTATATCTGTCCTTTTAAAATTACCAATTTCGGAATAACAGTGTAAGGATCCGGTCTTCACTGCGTGATAATGACCGGGTTGGGGATGGCAGCTGTTAATGGACCGAGTCTCGACCAATCAGAAGCTGTCAACTCTCCAAGGTATTTATTAATTTGAACTTGCAAAGTAATGATGTGTATCTATAAAGGGCACGTATCCACCAGTAATGGTGCTCAAGGCGCTACATCATTATTACCCTGCTCATTGGGCCCATGAAACATTCCAAAGACAATCTCAGCTCCCTTATGGAGTCAACAGCTTGATGCTGCCATTTCGGCGCAAAGCAGCTAAAATCTGTCACAATAACCATCTCTGCCCTCACAGATACTCAATTTACTCCTGGGTGGAGAGAAGCAATGAGTAACAAAGTGCCTTGCCCAAGGGCACACCCAGGCTGGACTCGAACCCACAACCTGCAATTACCCGCAGACCACCAATTCAATGCTCCAGACCACGAAGCCACGGCACTCCACAAAGTGGCAAGAAATTGTCTCATTTCCAAACTGTTTTGTTTTGCAGGCCGATAGATGATTATTTACTCAAAACCGTCAGAAAAATAAACCAAAGTAACTCTTATAGTTGCCTCTCAAGCTGACCAAAATGGTTTTTACACATTTGTGTTAACACATAAAACAGTAGTTTAATATTGGAAAGAAAACAGTCAAACCTATATATCCACCCATGGCCGGTTGAAGCAAATGTGTCTGATCTCCGTTTCAAATCTTACTACAGTGTTTATACGAGTGCAATCCCTTTGTTGCCCTCAATTAATATGTGACCCGATTCACATTTACTAAGTGATGCCGATATCCACATTTTTTTTGTTCGTAAATCATGATTATTAAAAAAGAAAATGCTAATTTTGTTTGATCTTTCTGTTCAACCATGACGTGTCCCGCTTTAATGTACAGTGTATTTAGGCACACCAATAACAACCTTTTTGGTACGGAAATATATTTAAATGCCTATTTTGGGAAACTGAAATTTTTAATAATTTCAAACAGGACAGGACTCTTAAAACTGAAATGACTCACCTGTGGGGCAGGTTCCGTCTTCGTTTGCTGTAAGGCCAGAAGCGCATGCGCATGTTCTACCAGCGGGTGTCGGTAGGCAGAGCCCGCTACATCCGCCATTATTCAGAGAGCAAGCGTTGTTCACTGTTCAAACAAACGGGGCTGTCTTCATTAAGAAAATCTACATTATATGGTCTCTCAGAAATATTATACATATTTAAACATAACAAAAGAAAAATGAATAATTGAGAAAAAAATCAACAATTGGTATTAAAAGAAAAAAATGAAATAATTGAAGACAAAACTGACGTTGGTGTTGATGACAGTCGAAATTGTCTTAAGAATTTCCATAAACACGGAAAACACATGAAGTATACGTGATTCAAATTTGTTATTAACCAGAGGCACATTTCTAAGTTAGAGCTTCAATGAAAACGCACAATTACTTAATGCACACCGAAAACTGCGAGGTTTTCAAAGGGACAAAAATCAGTTCGTGTCTTTAATAAACCTATATTTCCGCGACATGGGGTGGGCAAATGTCCCCCGCCCACCCCCGAAAAAAAATGATAAATTATGCTAAAGAAAGTACAAGGATTTTAGGAAGTATTGTGCTTTGGCCCCCTCAAGAAAACAATCATGGCGACGCCCATGAGGATAAGTAGACTACTTGCAAAGTGTAATTTTTTTTCGAATGCGAATGTCGATGTATTGGAAGGCTCCCGACTACATTATGAGCAGTCATCATAAAATTGGCATTGGCCTTTCATAAACATGCATATCAACGTATTCTCATTTGGTAATTAAAGGAAAGATACAACGTTTGCAAACATCAAACAACGAAATGATCAAATTAGCACGAAATACCTAACTGGATTGTTAGGGAATAACAGTCTAAAGCATCCTGTAAAATCGTGGCTCCTGGTTTGCTGACATTTTCAAGAAAAAGTTTACTTTTCCAACGCTGGTCGGCCGACCAGCGTTGGAGAAAACTGTCCTTTTTTCAAAAATTGCTCCTAATTTTTTCATATTTAGTTATTCCACATTTTCTTTGTAATTGATTACACACCTGTGAAGGAGTACAAGCCTACTAGACTGATTCTCTGACCTTACGATTCCCCAAAGACTATAAATTGATCTGTTTCATCTTAAGTTGGGTCAGGGAACCAGACTACAAGAACATGGTTGGTTTTCTGTGTTTTTCCAGCATCCCCAAGCCCAAAAAGTGAAACAATTTAGTTTAACAATATTTGCTATAACATACCAATCCTCAAAATCCATTTATTTCTGAAAATTGCAGCAAAAGCAAAATGTTGTATATTCCCTTTAATACCTGCCGGAAATCGTCACTCACCGACACTTGTCGTGCTCCTCGCCCGACTGTGCAGACCGTTGGGCCGGGCCAGGTCAAGCGTACCGACGGTCACTGCGTTCGATCCCGTTGTCATATCTGCCTTCATCAACTTCCGTGACGCCTGGTCGGTCCAGTAGACGTGGGCGACGCTCAGGGCCAGGCCGAAGGGTCGCGAGCCCACGCCCAGCGGTAGGGTCTGCCGGTCGCGTCCCGTGTCCAGATCCATGGACTCAATCGTGTGGGTACGGGCGTCGGTCCAGTACACACGCCTTCCTGTATAATGACATCATGGGCCAATTTCAGAAAATGCTTTGACAAAAAAAATGGTTTCCCGGACCAAATTATCATACATATACTGACCTGGCTCATCCCTTTCTTCTGTACATGCTGGTTAATAACACACATAATAATGTACACATCTCTATAATGCAAATGCTGCCGTTACATTTACAAAATGTTCCTTGGTTATTGGACTATTTAGGCTTTAATTATGGGCGTATAGTCAGCCCCCATCTCCCCTCCCCCGGCCGAGGCCTGTTCCCCTTGTGCCCCCCTTCCCGCTAAGAAATTTGACGGACGTCAGAAATAAGCTTTTTGAACTGTGAAAACCAATTGCAAGTCCCTTCAGAAAAGCAGCCCCCCTTCCCAAAATCCCCCACCTCCACCCCCCCAATCAGCCAATATTCGGCACGATGTAATTGTAACACCACCGTTTTTATAGTGCATTATTTCTGTAACATGAACAATATTTTTTTTCACTGCAGACACGCAGAAATGCAGCTGCATGTTAACTTTCGATTAATGGCCATAATTACCACTATACCACATACTCAACAATAAACATTTGCGTACCTAGGATGTCGACGGCAAGTCCGTGAAGAAAGCCTTCCTCGATCGAGAGCAAAACCTCGACATCCTGCCCGTCAACGGAAGCTTTGCCGATGCCTGCGCCATCTCCACCCCACCAGGTCCAGAAAAGCAGCCTAGATATACAGACATAAAAGCGAGGAAGGCTTGAACTTCGAAGTTATACCCACTACTTCTTATGAAGCTTCCCATCATATTCAGTGGCTACTTTCATTGAATCCGTGTCCCATAGAAGGACCGTGGCAGGACTTGGTCTGGTTTACGAATTGCATACAGCATAAACGGAGTCCGCCTGATAGTCCGAAGGTTCGATAGTCCGAAGGCTCTTTAGTTCGAAGGCTCGATGGTCCGAATACACACATTTCCCATAAGAGGGGGTTCGTTAGTCCGAAAATGAAATAAGGTGCGTTAACATTTGATGCAATAGTCCGAAAGTTCATTAGTCCTTAGATTCGATAATCCGAAAGTTCACTATCTGAAGGTTCGGTAGTCCGAATTTAGAATATGGTTGATTAAGCGGAAGGTTGAATAGCCGAAACGAAAATAAGGTTTAGTTATCCGAAGGTTAATTTTCCGAATTGACAATGAGGTTCGATGGTCCGAAAAGACTAAGGTCCGATAGTCCGAATCGACACTAAGGTCCGATAGTCCGAAGCGTCAGACCGACAAACTGTATTGTCCATTTGTACCATCGAAACTTATTGTCAATTCGGACTATCGAACCCTACCGTATATTCGGACTTTTGAACCTTCGGATTAATTAAAATTATTCTCTTTTCGGACAAATGGGCCCTTCGGACTATCGAATCTTCGGAATATAGAGCCTTCGGACTAATAAGCCATTTGCGAGTTACATTTGAATAAAATCTGGAACGCTGACTTAATCCAATGCTTTGCACGTTTTAACTTTGCATTCTCCCGACCAAAGAGACTGTTACTATATCACGTGATTCGGGGCAAGCCTTATGCTAGCAACCGCCAGCTCCGGTATGGTCTGGTGTCTTTGTGCCATCCTCTCCCATTGTGAACAATGTATTGGTGCTGAACGTCTCTTACGTAACTATGCAAGAGCTTGCCCCGAATCATGTGATAGTCAACAGTGTCTTTGGTCTGGAGAATTCAAAGTTCAAATGTGCCAAGCATTCTGAGCAAGTCAGTGTACCAGATGTTTTTCAAATGTAAATCCCAAAGGGTATTGGTTACTCGCATATGGTTTATTACCCTTCGGACTAAAGAACCTTTGGAAAATCGTGCTGTCACCGCACAGTGCCTGACTGCAGTCTGGTCGCTGGTCTCTGCATCAATATGACACATCCTCCCTGTCTGCCAAAGTGACTTTCCCTGTTTAGAATAGTCCCTCAAATGAGATCGTGGGACAACCTTATCAGGATGGCATGAAGATGTTCTGTCAGAAATCACATCACCTTTTGTCCCACTTGATTTAGTGAATATTTACCTAATAACATGTAATATCTTGAATGTTGAGTAGGCCTACTTTGTCTAATTTATTTTTGGTTCGTCATTTTTGATCAAATTAGGATGCACAGGGTGATGCAAAAAGAAGGAAACCCACTTTTCACAGGAATTTTAACCTACTTTATACTTAACTTATTTGAACTGTTTTTTTTTTAAAATAATGTAGTGAAGTATAGCTCTTCACGTGTAGGTCTAGTGTAGTGTTTATTTGTCTTCCAATCAAGTTCAGTCAAGCGGATGGAATAAAGCCGTCCGTGGACAAATAGGTTTGGCACATGATTTTTTTCTACTACCATATCCCAGAGACAAATATGCTATTGTAATCATTTTTTCGTCACTTATGTTTAAAGATCAATATTTTACATTCTTATTTACATATAAAAGGACAGCGCCCTTACCAACGCTAGACAGTGCTTTCATTATCCGTGCATAATCATATAGACTTTGGGAACGTTTTTGTTTTTAGTTTCATTCTGTGTGGTATTTATAACCATTAGAGGCACGATCACCTCAACAGCCTAGCAAATTAAACCTCCTGGTGCAAGAGCACACACAATGTCATGTCGTATTTGATGGAATCAGAATGGTTATGCACTGGCAGTCTTTGCATGCATCTGGTGTTCACAATGGGACGGTCTTTTTTTTACAGCTCTGGCAGGACCTTCTACATGTCACTTGGCGGTCGGTCGGTCGGTCAGTCGGTCTGTCCCCGGAAAATTGACCAAAATAAGGCCCCAGAAGTTTCGCACAACATAAATAACTACCAAATGTTTAATTTATAAAAAAAGCAAACAAAATAAATTACATCTTCAACAAAAATTGTTTCTAACATTTGGGAAAATTTGTATGAAAAGCTTGTAAATGGAGGCAAAATATGCAGTGATGTTATCGTCACGCGGTTTTTATCGCAAATCGCTATCTAGGTAAACATCTAAAGCATGGTGTTCCATATGTGCGCATTTTTGAGCTGTGGCAGGGATCATTTTGATAGATTAAAAGGACAGGGGTGTGAGTGACCACTGATAAGAATAGCTGAAAACAGCTGAAAAAGGTGCAAAACGGCTGAACTTTGGAAATCTCCTATACTTTGGAGCACAGCAACAGAAATCCAAACCAAACAATGCTGAAAAAAGCTTTAAAGATGAGATTCTTTTAACACCCCTGTAGATTTCATGCAAAACTTTCATGCAAGACGGCCAGAGCTTATTGTGCAGTCGCATTTGTTTACCAGCTAGTTCAGGAGTGACAGTCAGTAAGTCAGCGATGCAGTCAGTAAGTCAGTCGGTCAATCAGTCAGGCACAAATAGGACTTCTGTGACCAGCGAAAAATGCCTGGGTTTACTGATGAACATTTCTTCCTTATTCTCAACCAATGGTTATTGACGTGATGAGGTAAAACATCGCTCACACACTTATATTATGGTTGCGCATGACACCTGCGCACAAATGTAATACGGACAGCGATGATGGGTGTGTGCTACCCATAATGCTTTGCGAAGTCTGTCGCTTCCGTGATTAAATGTTTTGTACGCGATTAGCGGTGACCAGTGCCCTTGGATTTATAGGGCTGTAGGCAAAGGCAAAATCAGTCGATCACTCGTCTCCTTGATACCAACACAGCGCCCTCTCCCTCTGTAGATTATCACTTAAGGAGTGTCCTGGATAGTTCGAGAAATTAATGTGTATCACAAACTAGGAATTTCTGGATTTTAATACAGACATTCCCCATTCTCAATCCATTCCAATTGATAATTCGAATAAGCAGAACAGTTTTGATTATCGACCACGCAAACACACATAACAATGTCACTGTAAAGTATTTGACACAAAATCAGATTCTACAATAAAAAAAATAAGTAAAGGGAATATGATCTTTTAAGACCCACCCATCATTTGGGGAAGTTGCAAGAGCACGAGGACTCGCAGACGTGTTCACAAGCGTCCTCTTGTATGCGCCGTCTAGACGACACACTTTGATGCTGTTCGATTCGACGTCTGTCCAGAAGAGCAGCCTGGAGTCCACGACTATGGAATAAGGGGCTGGTGGGAAGAAAATAACATTGTCAGTGTTTACGACAATGTGGACAGACTAGAACTTTGATAATAATGTGAGAAATCTGGGACTTCCCAGTCAGGTAACCTTTGAGCTTGATTTTGACCCACACGTGCACCTGAATTACAAAACGTTTTCCGATGACACTCCCGTCTACCGGCAGTGGCTTTGCAAGTGTAATGTATACAAATGTATACATTGTATACATGTGTATACATTGCACATTACATGCAAAGTTTTGCACTGGCAATTAGTATCGTTCGGAGACAGCTCCCACGCTTGACTCCTGTAGCTTGGAAGCAAGGCCTGTTTGCTGTGATGGCTCCTTGTGGGATAACGAAAGTATCTAACGTTTTTGAATATTCTGGTCAACTTTAAGACATCAGGACTAAACTAGAAAGTTATGTTCATATTTCGTACTGAAAGTCTTCCTTTCTGCTGAATGAATTGTAGACTTTCAGCGTGTGAAATGCATACACTGTAGAAAACTCAAAATAATGTTTTTTTCTGCTTCTTTGTAAGGTTTTGTACTTTTGGCTTAATTGTGATTGTAAGCTTCCCCTCATACTGGATGTCACCGTAATTAAATCATCAACTTATTGAGAGAATAACCAAGCTTGATCTAACTCTTTTACCTTCACCGAGGTCAGAGGTCACAATAACTTCTTGGGTACCACCAGTCAGCAACGTCCTACTAATGGTTCCCTCCGTGACGTCACTCCAGTAGACCATTCCCAGTAACGGATCGTAGTCCACCGACAGCGGGCTGGACACGTTGACCAATGAGAGGGCTTGCAGCGTGGGGTCAGGGGTCGAAAGGTCAACTTGGTAGATTCCGTGGAGGTAGGCGTCGGTCACAAGAATGAAGTTGTCCTTCACTAGATCTGAAAACGGCAACGGGGTTAGGATGCAATACAAAATAAGCCAGTTCGGTATTCAAAAATAGTCTGATGCACAGCCAGATACAACGATTTTTTTTCGGGATTACCGCGGCAGATACACACAAAGCTATGGGGACATGGTTAACCGAATCTGCATTCTGTGCAGTTTTTCGTGCAATCGAAAAGAGATGGAACTTTCGTTCGTACAAAGGTTTTGACACACAAGACACTCTCCAATGCAAAATGTTAAACTTCATAACACGATGATCTCTTCAATTTTGCTGGTACCCCGCTATGTTTTTTGCACGTATACGATGAAATTTTTATCCCGAAAAAAAAATCGGCAAATCTTGATGTGCACATGCGCAGTTAGAATACCGAACTCGCTGATTGAAGGACTTGAAGGACCACGCCACTGATTGAAGACGGAATTTACGTACCATCTTATGCTAATCACACATAGATTTAGCAAATTAATTTGTTTCTTTTAGTCCGCGCTAATGCCATGTGAACTTCCAAACCTTAAGCAGAAGCTATATTGTATTGCTACTGGAGCACACCTTCCCAAAGTGTGGTCAAACATGCTTTGAAAAAAATATAGGTTTTCTCGGTCAATTTCGGCAAATGAGCAGCCAATTTAATTTTCGTGCGTTCGAATTGAAGCTATTTTGCCTCTCCAGTTGTTACTGCGTTTCAAATTCAGAATTCGGCCATTCAATTTCGTTTTGAGGCATTCAAATTCCTTTAGCACTGTGTTCAATTTAGCATATCGTCATCCTTTTTCGTGACACACAATCATCATTCAATTTAGCAAAGCTGGTTCGACTGGAGATTTTACTGATTTAATTTTTTCCAATTTCGTAAAGAGGCAATCAATTTCACTTAAAGAGAATTCAAATAAGTACGACTAAAGAAATACGAATAATCAGATAAACTGTACTAGGCAACTGTTTCGTATCTTCACTTTAATTCAGGCAAACCTTGTTTTCTTTATTTATGCTTCCAGTAGACATGGGGCCAATGAGGTTTTTTCTTCTTCTTTGTTTTCTTCTTCATTCTTTTTTTTTTGGGGGGGGGGATCTTTATTGGTTAACTGACCAAGACCTAATTTTGTATTGCGTTTGAATGGGGTGTTTCTTTATGTTTTTCCTGGTTTTTTTTATTGTTTATGTTGTTTCTTCCTCAACCATCAATCTGTTGGCGTGCCAGACATCTTGGCATATATGTTTGGGTATGGTTGTACCACTGCATGCACTTCACTTGGGTGATGACATCAACGCTCTGGATGGCTGCTTGTTGAAGGAGATCGCACCTCCACTGCTGCATGTTCATTCCTGCTTGCTGGGCAGCCTGTCTGTCTCCGACACGTTGTTGCCACTCAGGTAACCCAAGGATGCGTTTAACTGCAGCCTTGAATGCAGAGTGTGCCATCCCCGTGCTGTTCAGGAATGGGGAGTAGGGAGGGAGGCGCTTCAGCTGGATCATTGGGTTGGCACCTTCAGGGAGTTGGGCTCGCACGTGAGGCCTCGCATTGTCGTATATGAGGTAAATGGGTTCGTCGTCTGGGAAAACTGCATCACACTCTTGAATTGTGTCCGCAAGAAACTCCTCGAATCTCTCTCGCGTCACAGTTTCGAATGCGATTCGGTGGTGCACCAAGCCTACTTCACTAGAAACAGCGAAGGTGACATTGCAATTTCTCCCTCATTGTCTGTCGACGACTCGTCTTGCAGCGATCCCTCGTGGAGCTCTACCCTGGGAGCGTCGAGTCCAGACGTTATAACCTGTCTCGTCAATGAAGACTAGATGCGCCAGAACACCATGCTGCAGGAACCACTCACCATACTGGACGCGTTGATCAAGAACTTTAGGGGAATTTCTTGCATCAGGGACGTCCTCCACTAGTTTCAGTGTTATCATCATTCCATCCAAGGCCCTGGCTATGGTGGCAGTAGAAACCTGGGGCTTCTCTGGCAGATGCTCACTCAAACTAGCCTTCATTTGTTGAAGTGTCAAGACGGGATTAGCGTCAAGGATGCCTTGCAGATGGTTTCGCATGTCATCATCCATCTTGCTGTGGGTTGCTCCTCCTCTTGCCAGCGTCTCTCGCCTTCCAGTCCTCAAATATGTTGCAACAATTGATCTGGCTGTGGACTTGTTGATGTTCAAATTGACCGCAAGCTCAAGGTAGTCTTGCTCGTTTCCCTCGAAGGCCTCAATCAACCTTTCTCGATCTACCTGGGCCACTCTAGCGTAGCGACCACGAGCTGCCATTTCTAGAAATATGCGTGTAAAACTGTAGCGAAAGCTCGTCTTCGAAGTACATCGGCAAAGTGACTCAAGTGCCAAAAAGTGAACCATATTTATGCCTTCAACATTCTTAAGGAAACAAAAATTTAACAAAGCGTTTTTTAGATTGCACAAATTCCAGAAATGACTGCCCAAAAATGAATTTGAATGACTAAACACACGCCTCAAAAAGCTCCTGCGAATTTGAATGCTGCTTTGTTGAATTGTTAAATTGCATGATTATTTTGTTAAATCGAATGACGCAACAGTACATTTGACTGGTCATAAAACGAAATCGAATGACCCTTTTCAGTAGCATTTGATTTCGCGCGAAATAGAATAGCGTAGTGGTTAAATTGGCTGCTCATTTGCCGAAATTGACCGAGAAAACCTATATTACCCTGTACGGCATATATATATTTGTTGGCATTCTATTTATCTAAGAGAATGAAATGTGGGGAACATGCTCCAAAATGTCATTAAAACCGAGATACTCGAATGTATTGAAGGTAAACTGATTCCCTCCCTTTTTTTCAGCTACATCTCGCAAGGATTTTCGCCAGGGTCCGCCTATTATTGAGCAAAATGAGCTCAATATGATACAGTGGAACCTCTTTGTAAAATGATGATTAACTTATTTCGCCAGACTAAGTGCTGGGCCGTATAGGCCTACATCCCAATCGGGTATTTCAAGACTATGGCTTCGGTTCTTTATCAATGACGAGTTACGCCAAATATCCACAATGCCCGTTTCGGTCGTATTATTCAAGCAATACCAGAAGTACAGGAGGCTCCATCCTGACTCAAGGTGTAGCCGACGGCGCAGGCGCACACGAAGTCAGACGGCAGTGGGGCGGGGAGACAAAACTGCTGGCATCCATGACTGCTGTTTGAACAGGAACCTAAAGGAATGAATGCAATACATTGAGAATAACTGTTTTCTAGAGATGTTGGTCCCAAAACTGTACCATATGTTGTGGGGATAATTACCATTGCCTATGTACAAAAACCATTTAAGTGAATTTCAGCTTCACTGGAAGAGGACCACTCGGTTCTCTTGGTTGGTTTATCTCCTAAATACTCCGCCTGGGAGTTTTTACAGGAGACCAGAAACACAGGGGGAAACCCCTTCTCTTAGCGATAAGTGTCACTGGGTTCTTTTACGTGCATTGGATTACACAACACACGGGACCTACGGCTTTACGTCCCATCCGAAGGACGGAGCAATAATGGTTAAGTGCCTTGCTCAAGGGCACATGTGTCCACCCGGCGGGCTCGAACCCACGCCACTGTTGCCTCTGAAACACCAGAGCATGAGTCCGGTGTTCTTAACCGCTAGGCCATGACCACTCCCAACCTTGGGGTCATAAACGGTGGTTAAACCCGTTATGAGATACACACACGGGCAGAGCGGAGTTCAACAACGGTCACCGCGAAGTCGGCATTCCTGAGGTATACACAATTATGTATGTTCCAATAAACATTTCAAAAGCCCAAACACTCCATGTACCTAAACCTAATTGAACCTCTATACCATCATGAAATTCGCTTTTACATTATCACAATTTGAAGACATTCTGTAGGGCCTATGTGATTGGTCATTTTTCAGATGCTTGGAAAATAGCATAAAACTTGTGTAAAAGTATATCGTACTCTTCAGAAATCCTACTCGATTAACTGAAGGAAAGATACTAAAACACACTGTCTCAGCCTTATAATACGTACTGTACCACTCTGTTTCAATTTATGTAGGCCTATATACTCAATCTAATTGTTGAATAAATCACTCAAAAAGTCTTCTCTCCAGGTTCAGTCGGACAAAGAGTGAATTTTGATTCTTGAGAGACAAGACAGTTCAAGTGAAAAAAACAAATACATGAAATATGACTGACTTTGTCCGTGCGGTTGTCTACTTTCGGCGTACATGGCGACGCCGTAGGCGGACTCTGTGACGCCGTCCAGGGGGAGCTGGCGAACGTGTTTTCCCGTCAATCGGTTTACGGCATGCAGCTCGTTGGTGGGACTCCATTCCGTCCAAAACAGATAGTCCTGCAGTTTGGAATGAACGGAAAATGATCATTTGATAGTTTTTCTCAATATTGTTTTATAAAAGTTATTGAAATATTTAGTGTCATGATTTCCGAAGTAACTTTACATACTTTACAAAAACGCAGTTTGAAAATCTACAACCTGTAATTTGTTTTTGTTTTACCTTAACAAGTGTATCTTGCCCTTTTGTTTCATTTGTGCTTCATTTCTTCGGTTTAGTATTACAACATGTACAAGCACGTACTTGGCTCTAGGTCTCATACTTAAAATGTCGGTACTCATTTTGTAGGAGCAGGTGCTGTACAATGGTGCATGTTTCCAAATTGCGATCGGGGAGTAACAAAAATGCTGGAGCCACTTTTGTCTGAAAAAAAGTGGCCCCACCTTTTTTTATCTTAAAAAAAAAAGGCACAAAATGTGTCTGTTCCGATTCAAGGAACAACAATAATGTCAAGCAGGATATTAAATTTTTTTTTCGAAATTTCAGCTCAGTATAGACATCACGCTTTTTGAGAAAATTGTGAAAATGCATCTTCATTTTTCTCGACGCAAAGCATAGGTTTCCGTTCGGAAAGTGCGATAGTTTGGTCAAATATCCATCACGAGAAAATGATGGTTATTCCTCTTTTCTCGAAAATGACAGCAGAGTATGATTTCACAAGATGGATGATCCTGTTATTGGGTACTTTTATTTAAGTTGCCTTTCTTTTTATAAACCATCAACCTGAAAAATAGAGGGCGCCACGACAGAAACCCAGGAAATACAGGCACAGAGTCCAGGCATGCGATCACTGTACATTCACGATGCCCCCTTCAATGGAGAAACCATCGCGCACCTTACAGTACAAAGGGATTGCCCCGTGACGGCTTATCTGAACAATAGCTAGCACAATGCTTTTTGGCCATTGAAGGGGGCCTCCGTGATAGAAGTGCATAGCGTGCCCAGATTGGTCTATATACCATACCTTGTAGAGCTCCAATCCTGTAAACATGGCATCTCTCTTCTCAAACACCTTACGCCGACCTCTACCCGTGTAATCCACGGCGAGTATCGTGCCCGTGGCTCTTTCAGCAAGGTACAATCTGACAAAGAAAAATACAGCATAAACAAAGAGAATTAATTAAAACATTGCTTATACAGGTTGTCCCAAACAAAGATAGCCCCCAAAACAACGGATAATATGAACTAATTCAGAAATCAATGACCATTATTACGGGATATATGTGTGCTTTAGGAGGTTTTAAAACTCTGTTTAAGGCCGGTTGGAGTCTGGATGCTGATTCGGCTATGGTAATTAAGACCAGTTGGAGTCTGGATGCTGATAATTAGCATCCAGACTCCAACCGGTCTTAAAAATAGCGTTTCATACTGACCAAGCACATATTTATTCCCATTCGTATATACCTTTTGGCAAAAAAATACTTTACGGTGCGAAAGTCAAAATTGTTTGTATTTTTTTGTTTTGTATTTTTTTTTCTTAAAGTGTGCGCCATGAGCGTCTTGCTTGGCGGATACCAGTGCCTTATAAATGTTCATTATTAAAAAAAAGTTAAAAATAAAATTTGTTAAACGATTTTGTTCAACAATTTCACTTAATGTTTTTCAAAACAACCCTCTAGCTGTAAAATGGAATGTCCAGCTCGCGAGTAAGTTGTAAACAACTCCTTTTTATGGAGATTGGCGCGCGCGTCGCGCGTACTGTGCGATGTCGCGAAGAATGCAGCTGTGGCGGTGCGCTGTGAATTTTAGACTATGAGTATATTTGCGCATATCGATACGTGAGGATTGTGAACGTTCAACCAATAAAACGATAGTTTAAGACCGGGCACGAGACGGGTCCTCGATCAATAGGAATTGACAAAACTGTCTCAGGTATTTATGAATACGGTTGTATCATCAACTAGGGGCACTAAGCTTTCCAGTATCCCCCCCCCCCCCCTCCCCGCGCTGATATCTCAAAAAAAGAAATGACAATTATACGTGTATTTATGTCCAACATTGCACAACCCTTCGGACTGATCCAGCTGGGGTACGGGGGTATTTGTACACTATTATGACACAGTGTTTATGATCGTCGGATTTGAACAGCCCCCCCCCCCCCCCCCCCCCCCCCCCCCCCCCCCCCCCCAGTGATTTTACGGAGGCCAAGTGTCCGGGAAAAAAAGTCTACATTTCAGCACTGATTTGCTGATGAATCCCCGACCAAAATTTCCGGATCCGCCTCTGCTGCCCCCCCCCCTTAAATACCGACACGCAAGTAATGCCGACCATCTCATATGAACTACCCTGGGCAAATCGCTTTGTGTTGTGACCATTGTCTCTCACTAGTAAGATTACATCAAATTTACATAAACCCGACACTCCTCTGTGCAAACATTGCAGAGGCCCCTAATCTTCGTTCAAACATTAAAGAACGCAGCATGTAGAAGGAGAATACGCCGGTATCTCTACAATGTTCCATTGCAATTTTGTTTCGGCTGTGCATATTTCTGGAAAACGCCAAGGCGTGCAAAATATTTTAAAGGGAGAAAACTATGGTTTTTAAAATGGGATGTTTGACAATCAGGAAATAATGTAGCATCCTGACGCTACTTTCGATACAGAAAAAAAAGACAATATTTTTTTGCTTATCTTGATCCTCAGAGAGTATACTTTCATGTGAGAACTGTAAGGAATATGTTGACAAAGTCTTTAAGAGAGACTTGTAGGCGAATGTGTGGCCAACTTAGTGAATTCATTTTGTACATGTCACGGGGCGGTTGAGGGCTTCAACATGCAGTGACATGTAAAAATTCACTAAGTTGGCCACACATTCGCCTACAATACAGTTCTCACATGAAAGTATACTCTCTGAGGTACAAGATAAGCACAACAAATTGTCGATTTCTGTTTCGAAAGTAGCGTCAGGATGCAACATTCTTTCCTGGCGAATTGCTTTTAGGGCCTATTTTTTTCTTTATTGAGGAGATTTCAATTTTGTTAAAAAATGTTTGCTTCTTTAACTCGGTTTAAATACTCTTCATGGGGAAATATGTGCGTAGAAAAAAAATTACAAAATCTATTTTACCAGCCCTGTTTCATTTCTAGTACAGGACCTATTAAAACGTGTAATCAACATCCATTCATATTCTGGTTATGTTGAGTCGGTAAAATTCACTCAAGAATATCACACCAACTTTTCAATATCAACACACCAATATTAACCACAGCAACATGTTTTTCGGGGACAATAATGTCGAATGCCCCTTTAAGGTTCGACGGTATTAGACTTCGGACCGTATTTGACCTCGGACCGTATTTGACCACAGACAATGAGTGGCACTGCATGCTCACTTCTTGGTTTCGTAATCTAGTGTGATACCACGCGGTTCCATCACTTCACGTAGGATCACCAGCCGGTTGCTCCCGTCCAGACCAGCTCTCTCGACCTGCACTGCCCCGGAGCCAAGGTAAGTCCAGAATATGAACCTGTCATTGAGAAATAATCAAAAATATCAGGTGCCATTTTCGCAGTGAAGTTTGGTGCATAGACATTCCCCCCCCCAAATAAAAAGCACCGAGTCTGCATGCTTAACATGCTGACCCCAGACACCAGTAATCTGTATACACTGTGCATGGTACTATATGCGCTGCGGATGTCTCAGCCGATATTATTTTAATAACAATGAATGCATACGGAGTTTATCCACGCTTAAACCATTGCGTCAAAAGAAGTATTGTCACGGACTGTTGAGTTGAGTCGAGATGAAAAGGCCAGCGTGGTTATACATTAAAGGCGTCTGCGAGGAGCCCACGTGATCAAGCTCATAAGTAACAGAGGCGAAGTCAGGGGGTGGGGCTGTTTTGTGTCTCCGCGATCCTAGGCCATGGATAATTCAGACCATGGATAATTCAGACGATTAGTTGATTTTACTCGTCCAGAGTTTTCGCAGTGATGATCTCATATCGGGAGAATCTGATCTAGTGGAAACGTCGTTTATAATATTTTGAGGGGAAAATGGCTTCAAGACCTTAATGCTAAGCCCCTATATCTCCGATGTTTCGGATACATGAATTGATGAATGTCAAACAGCAGTATAGCACCAGACAGGGCTATGAAGTGCTCTGAAACGTGCCAAACTAAATCAGGCCCACTTTACTCACAGTTTAGCCGGGACATTTCTCCAAAAATTCCACTAGGGCAAAGAAAATGTCCTCAGTATTTCACCGACCAAGTTTGCAGATCTCAATTCAATTTTTAAAGGAGATTTTTCTTCAATATTTTGCACATGAGAGGGAAGTCAAGTGACTTCAGAATGGGGCTAAATACTAGACTGGTACATGTCCAACCATGGTCCAACTATTTGAAAAGACTGACCTCTTCATTCAGTGTAAGTAGTCTGGTGGCTTGACTATGGAGAAATGTGTAGTAAATTGAGACTAGTTCCCGCTTCATGCCACATGTTTCTTAAATTCTTTTGGCATGGTTGATTGATGCAGTACTGAAGCTGTGTTGGACTGGTTGTTTTAGGTGCCAGTCTATTTTCTTGTTTTGCATGTTTTCAATACCATACGTTTTGGGACTCTCATACAGAGTATTGAGAGTCCCAAATCTTCGGACTAGTACCGTGAACACAGCGATTTGGAATACCCATACCGGAATCTGATGTGACGTCGAAATCACGAACCAGGTATACAATATGAGCTTAGTTGAACATCAAATCGGGATATGATTTCATGATTAAAAAAAAGTACAGCTGCCAATCCCTTTGGTTATTCTAAATTAAAAATCACTGTAAAATCACAGAGTAGGATACATGCATTCTTCTCGGTGTTTTCCCCAACGCCTCTTATTTGGACTTTCCTTTCGTGAGTACGCAGTAATCATTATAACCAAACCTCTCGTTTATATTTCTGCACGTCACCTGACAATAAGGTGAAAAAATAAAAACAAATGTGTACACGTGCGCGTTTTGAATGTTGTGTTAAAAACACGAATAATAATGTAATAATAAAATAATAACGCAATTCACAAGATTCTAAATGTTCAGTGGTCAATGTATTAACTTTATCTTGTGTCATGTGCATTTCGCGAAAAGGGGAAACAATTGAATGATGGAAAAATGATTTAAATTGTGTTGTGAATGTTGTGTTCAAAAGAATACAATTTAACCCATATGGTGGTAACTTTTCCGTAGTCAATCATGCTGTAAATTGTTTGAAGTGTTCTGAACAAAGTGCGGATTCGTAGTTCCGAATCCACACTTAACTAAAGATCCGGACGTACATGTAGATCCGAATCCACGCGTTTTGTCCAGTACGAAAGATTCCTAGATACGAACCATATATACGAACCCACAGTTTTATTAATAGTGTGAAGTCATACTAGGCCTAATGGTTAGGTCAGACAATACACTCACAAGCGTGGATTCTTAATTTACGCATTCACTCGGCGCGTAGGCACCTCGTGAATATCTAAATTACGAGTACACAGTTTCTCGTGTTTTCTCTTTACTGCTATACGAAGCATTGCTCTTTTACTCCATCTTAACTCCTTAAGTCTATTGTTTTCTTGTAATTTTTTTCTCTCTAAACGCTGCCCGTGTACAACTATAAAGGTACAGTTTTATTTATGCAATAGCATTTCATCCTACGAATGTAACTACCCATAATTTCAGGCCATAATTTTACAGATAATTTTGCTTGCCATAATCATTGTCGGAATTACTGTGTGAATAATTATGATGATCACAATCATTTCGGGAGTCTCTGTTCCCTAGTTTTTTTTCTTGTTTCGTATTTTAACTTGGTAGCCCATTCAATGTAATCCACTGGTCTCCCGTGGGGCCCAGTAAAGGGAAGACAATGTGAAGAAATTACAGTTTTAGATGTGGGAGCAAAACCCCAGAAGAATATTCTGAGGAAAACTGACGGAATCACCAGGCAGGGACTGAACACCCACTCCACATAGGCCCAGCGGGAATCGAACCAGGTCACAGCGGTGGAAGGCGAGGCAACCACCGCTACGCCAACCTGACTAACAGGTCCTGGATCGCTCTCAAATTTTTGTCTGCCCCATCGAGAACTCAAACAAATAAAAGATGATTAAACTGCACACTCATACGTAATAATACAAACACAAACCTAATCTGGCTCACTGACCTAACGGCTCTTTGCAAATATGTAATCGGGCGTGCACCAGATAAAACAGTAGAATGACGCAATAACGTCAGGGAAGCCGTGCCCTGTGATGGGGGCGGCAGCGGTTATTCCTATTGAATGAATGCATTTCTTTTTACTGATACACTTTAATATGGACACAGATTAACATAATGATAACAAATTAACTTTATGTCCTGATTGGCAAACTGTAGCAGCTTCTGTATTAAGTTGCCTGTGCATGTGGGAAAATCCAAGGAATAAGTGAACATGGTTGAAAAATGGAACATTTACAAGAATCACAACTACAACTAGAACTACGTCTGTTCGATGAACAGAACACAGGTTTTCCCGCAGTTTAAAATAATATGCCTACTTGTAAAAAAATACTTTAAGAAATACTTTGTCAAATGTGTGTATCAAATGTGTGTATTGTTGATGTACCCTAACGTGGCGCGGCCCCTAACGTGGCGCACTTTGATTTTTCGCATGTAGCGCCTAGCTAGAGCAAAAGTTTTCACTGAAATTTCACAGAAAGTGAAATTTCATCAAGTTATAAACACTCCCGTTCATAAATCGCGAATTTATTTACCCGCTACAAAGTTAAAAGAAAAACTTATTTTGGCGTGATTTTCCGATTTTATTTTCAAGTGCAAAGTGAACCCTTTGAAAATGCCCCGAAAAATAAGAAAATAATTTTGTGACAAACATCTGGCTGGGTATGTAAGTAGAGATTATAATGATTTATCAGAATTTATCAAGTTTTCAGAAATTCTTAAATGTGAATTTGGAATTTTCCGAGATTTATTTTAGTGCGCCACGTTAGGGAACACTCCGCCAAATTGTGCCCAATTTCCGGACGCCACCGTTTTTTAATTTTAAATAAAATTTTAGCTTAAATTTTATGAAACCGAAATTGTTCACAGAGGTTAAACAGCAAGCATTAATAAGGTAAAAGTACCAGTATTTCACTGCATGAATTTGAGGTTTGTCAACAAAGAGGTTTGGCAACACTACACGAGGAAATTTGGGTAAGCTTCGAAGTGCGCCACGTTAGGGAACACGACTATATATATAAGAAAATGTAAAAAGTTTATAAATTAATGCAAAATATTAGGTGAGGACGTCATCATGAAGTCACTTCAGATTTTGCATACTATTTACAGTATCTACCTACCCACCAAGATTCAAGTCAATCAGACTTATCCTTTAAGTATTTTGAAAAAAAAACCGCATTTGTAATGACGTCATCGTGACGTCACACACTTAGGTAAAAAAATGGTGTGCATATACTTATTACCTAACAAACCCAACACAAAAAAATAATTTTTAATTTAGCATGTTGGGTTCGAAAGGCAGGTGATAAGCTTCAGAACTTCAAAAATCGATATAAAAATCACACGATGACGTCATAATGACATCACTTCAACACATCCCGGTCTACCTACATACCGAGTTTCAACCCAATCGGAACTGCAGTTCTTTAGATATAGGGTCTTAAAGTTTGCAGATTCAAGATGACGTCACGTGACCCATAATGACGTAATTAAGCCGTCGCTCTTCTTCACATAGGTTCGGGTTCATTAGAATACGAGTCCAAAATGCCATGGTGAATAAAACGTGTACAAAGTCTATGGGATTTGGGTTAGAACCATAGAGCTAATTGAATATAGCTATACGGTTAGAACAAAAGGCAATAAATGAAGAAACAACAAAATCAGACCAAAAACAAAGCTTTTCCCTTTTTAAGCGGAAAAGCAAAAAGGAAAAGGAAAAAAAAGAAACAAAACAAAACAAAATCAGAACAAAAAGAATAGCAACAAGCATTAAAACAACAACTGTGGCTTTAAATTAAAGGGGACAACTAAATCTTTCATGTGGTATGCCAGTGGGATGGAAAGTAACTAAAATAATTAGTTTTGTTGTAAAAAAAAGAAAACCTGGGTTTTTTTTTGGGGGGGGGTGGGCTAAAATCATGGATTTTTGGCAATCGTTGTTTTAACATGCAAAACGTGAGTGGTTTGTTTTTAGTTTTGCTTTAAATTCAGAGAAAAAAGTTCAAATTCTCTGCCATCAGAATTTTGTGTGATTGATTATTAGTATATTTTGAAAATAGTGAAACTTGTACCAAAGTAATTTATGGTATGTGCACGGCCAGAATGGGAAATGAGATTTCCTGTAACACTCTTGCAATGAAAAGTTTAGTAGTTAAATAGTTAAATGGTATACAAAATGTATATTACTTTTATCAAAACATGTCCAGTACATGAGGAGACTTTTGAATCAAGACCTCCAGAATAGAATGCATGTCTATTTTGTGTAACGAAAGTGCAAAGTTTAAACGGTTGCCATCCCCCCCCCCGAACAAAACAATAAGCTTTCCACTTTGTATTCATTATGTTCAAACAGACTAAGTTACAGTGTACAGATAAACAAGTCTGACTGTTGAAACCAATGCATGAAGTTGTGGGACTCTTTTGTGCGTCTCAAAGTGCCTATAATAAAAATGTAACGAAAGATACCATGGAATTGCCAATCTATAAAACAACGAACAAACGCATTTCTGAGCATGCGCACTGCCACTTCGAAAGTTTAAGTATATTTTAGGTAGACCTGATGTTTTAAGTAAGATGAATAATCTTCGCATTTCGTATAGGGCTCTCTTTACCTCTCGTTTGGGTCGACGGCAATGCCTCCCGGTTGGTCCATATCGTCACGCAGGAGAATCTTTCTGTGTCGGCCATCGTAACTCGCTACGGTGATGTGGTTCAAGAGAGAATCGGTCCAGTACAGGAGCTTAGACAACCAATCAACGGCAATGCCTGTATAGTGTATGGATCAACGTAGTGCTGCGATTATTATTATCATTTTTTGTATCCCCCCCCCCGAGACACAACATCAGCCCGTGTGCAGCTCTACCTCTTTATACTTTAGTTTTTTACACTTTTATTTAACTATTATGTCGAAGAGATTGAGGCATTACTATATTTGGCATGATAAACCAACTGATATTTATTTTCAAATACGATTTTTTTTTTAACACCATGGACAACCACTCTACATGTTAAAGTTCTGATGTATCGCTTACCTCGGACCCGGCCCGTCCCTCCCGCAACGGCCACGGCGTTCTCGTTGCTTCGCAGCCTCACGCTGTACACCGTGCCGTCCTCGCCCAGCGTGCCGTAGAACAGCCTTCCCTCGCGGACGTCCACCGCCAGGGACGCTGCCTCGGGCAGGTGGCGCAGGATGCACTGACCGGGGCTTGCCCCGGGGCTCGCTAGGGGCACGTCCGGGAGGTTGTCCGGGTACATGCAGATGCTGTCTCCGGCAACGACAAATAACTTCGGTGGCGGTATCAGTACATCCGAGTCTATAGGATAATGATGCAAAAGTATTTTTCCGTAAGTCAACATCAACATTGGATCGTTTCTTGTCAACAACAATTTCAAAATCAGTTTATCGTATTTAACTCCATTTCAAACCTTCAAACATTCATAAGAAATACACACAATAAAACCATGAAAACGTAACAAAAAATATGATTATAAACAAAGGCTGTATAGGAATACATGCATGTATAGCAAAGTATTTTTTTCATCTAGCGAAAATAATCCCATCACGTAAATAGGGGAAATGTTTTCACGTGTGGAATAATTCTCGACAAAAGTTGGGCGAGTTAGTGCTTAATGTGTTACAATGTAATGTGTTTAACGTGAGAAACGGTATAAAGGCTCTTTTAAACCCAAATTTGGGTTTTCGTCCTTCTCTGAATTTTGAATTCTTCTTTGTCTACTCTTAATTTCATAGGCCTACATGAGCTTCGTCGCCTCCTGTATCAACGAAATCGATCCCACCGTCTCTAATGATTCCCCTTAATGGTTCTATGAATTTTTTTTTTTAATGAAGTTAAATGACGGAACCAAAGTTCCGTTGACAACTCACGCATGTGTAATGCTTGACTCTAAGTGCGTTTATCCAAATAAATTGAAAAAAAAACCACCCTGATTGCGGCGTTTTCGAGCGTGTCCTGATGGCATTTTCGAAAATTCGGTCGTGTGCATTTTCTTTTGCACGCAGACTCTGATGAGTACAATAGCGCGTGTAAATGAAAATACAACCTACCACGGAGACACGTCCCATCTGGAATAGCATGGTACCCTGGCTGACATAAGCAAGTGTGCCTGTTTCCCCCTCCACCGACGCACAGGTACTCGCACGGATTTATGTCACACCCAGCTGAAAATAGGAAAAACAACTCCACTTTAAGCATGTAAACAATAAATCAACCGAGTTTCTTAAATGTCAGGAAGGCCAATAATTTAGGAAATGGGCTTGGTATAGTCATTGTGACCCACTTATTGCTATACAAAATGGCCGCCATTTGTGTCGCAAAACCTCCATTACTCGCAGTATACAACATGGAAAAAGTCAACATCCTTTTGTAAAATTGTACTCTGTAAAAAAAGGAATTGAATATTTGGTAGCGAGCGTTTTGTATTGGCACTTGTTTAAATGATGGTGATCTACAATGCAAAATTCTCGATTGTATTTATGTTTGTGAAATGTTAACACCGAGGGAGGGATAATTCAACTGTAAGCCTTTATAGCACAATTATATTACGATAGAATTTGACCACGAATTTCAAAGCTGGAAATGTATGTGGCTTGTTTAAGCCTCCCCCAATGTATATCTCTTTATGATTTGTTGAATGAAACACGGGGTACTATACCATTAATTAGGCCACCGGTGCGGTGTGGAAGTTAGACTCTATTATGAAATACGGACTCTTTGGTTGAATTGCGCATGCCTGTTCACATCATTATAACGAAAAGTCATTTGTGAGGGTAACGTATATGCAATACAATCCATTGGGTGAAACAGATAAAGAAATTTACTGACAGGATTCCAAGACGTAGTTGTTGTCGGCGTAAGTGGTAATGCCGAACGGCCTGCGCACTCCGAGATTAAAGCTGAAATAGTGTGAATAGACCCCGGCACTCTTCTGGTAGCAATGGATCTGATTGGTGGAGTCGGTTACAAAGAGATATCCCTAAACAGAGGAAACGAATTTCAGCAGTTGTCAAGATCTCTCACAAAAAATACCCAACTTTCACTGTGCTAATGGCAAGTTAACTCAACATACAGTTTTAGTGTGGTACGGTTCGGGATCGTCAACAGTTACACATGTTAAAAGTGAAAGTTATTTTCCTAAAAATTAATATTCAACAATGTATGTTTTATTCCAACCAAAACAATCCTTCTTTTTCCCCTTTCTACCATTTGGCGTCTGCAACCCTTTGAAAAAAGAAAAAGAAATCTATATAAAAAGCAATATTTTGGGTACATGCAGATTCCACTTTGCGGGCAGACTGGCTCTCGGTTCGTACACTACAGATGATGATTTCCTGATGGCAACTGGCCTACCCTGCGAGAACGAAGTTATTGTAGGGCCGCAAGTAATCCGAAATTTGAAATGTAATAATTCAATAACTAAACGTGGGCCGATGTTTTGGTGCGATGTCTCATGCAAAAGTGAATACCTTTTTGAATAGAAATTTGGAGCAGCAATCTATTTTTTCCCCGCAATGAAACTTGAAATTAAAAAAGGGAATGCAACTTTAATATTTGTTGTTATACCTCTGTCTTGAATACTGAATTTTTATTGGCCTAGTTAAGATTATAAAAAGTCACGGCACACTCCCTGTCCACAGGGAGTGTGCTATGACTTTGTCGTACGGTACGTGCACGGTGTGAAACGTTTGTATCGTTGGTACCCACGCTACTTTCACCATGTTTTCACAAATGAGTGGGATCAGTGAACTAGCAGACGATCATCTGTTTCGAGCACGCGACATGCACGTGAGTTGACGCTTGATTGTTATGATTGTTGTGTTTACTGCTGTTTGTTTTCGTGATTTAACATCAAAATCCAATGAATCCAAGACAAACAATTGTTGACTGCTGTGATGTGGGATATGACGTTTTTAACACCCACGGGGCTCATTCCTTCGGGTGTTCAAAACGTCATATCCCACATCACAGCAATAAACAATTGTTAATAATACCTGGCAAATATTTGGTGTGAAAAGACTAAACATACTAAACACTGGATATGACAGTTTCACACTTTGTTCTGACAAGCATGTAGAACGAATGCACTAAAGGGTGGTAGTGCAACGTGACTCGGTCTACTTGTTCCTGTTCTGTCCTTATAAGAACATGTACTTGATTTCAAAACTACAAAACCCTTTTTTTGTGGGGGTATCTTATGTGCCTTTACCTTGAATATGGTCAGGTCACTAAACACGTAGTGATTGTAGTCAACCCTGATATGCTCTGTCAGCGATTCGCCGTCGACCGACGCAGAGAAAATGGAACTTGTGCCGCTAAAACCGTGCGCTGTCCAGAACAACCTGCTCAAAAAGTTCAGAACAACCTCACAAAAAATCAACAAGCAAAACGTGCGAAGAGTTGCAGGGACATTAAACCGAACAAAAAATCATAAAGTCCAACTGTAATAGATGCAGGGTCTGAAATTGTCCTGCGTGTCTTGCCCCGTGACGCGGGTCAACTGATTTAAATAATGACACGCGCAAACGCTGGCATAGTAGAGAACCATGCAAGCCAATTAGTTTAGATGTATAAGAAGGAAGATGCGTCACGCACGGTGCGTTCCAACTGAAACATTTTCAGAATCTCTTGACTGTCGAAGCAGCTGTCTTGATGTCTGTGTATGATGATATTCAGTCTCTTCTGGAGACCTTTTAGAGGCCGAGCTATACACAGGTCAATGTGAATAAATATCCTCATATACAGGCAAAAATGAATTTACAATGTATATCCTCAGGCAGAAAGAATATCGTCCATTTTCAATAATCCGGTGGCTAGAGCCAATTTTAGGTGAGATTGCACCAAACTGAGTACACTTATTGTATAGGTCCCTGGAAGACATTATCGGTCCTATAACTGCTAATATAACACACGTTGACTGATAGTATAGTAACATTTACTACTTTATTATTGTTACATGATTGGTTAGTGATACACTATCAGTCAACTTTTGTTATATTATCGGTTAGGACCGATAGCAGTTGACCGATAGTGTAGTACATTCTACTACACTATCGGTCAATTTTGTCTTACATTATCGGTTAGTGAAACAGTATCGGTTAATAATCTTACATTATCGGTTAGTGATACCCTATCTAGTTGATTAATTATTACACAGTTGTAACAAGTCGACTCCCTTGTAATAGCTCATCCAATGTTATCTAATTGTAGCTAGTATATGCTGGACTTGTAAATTGACTGTTTCATTTACCTGCTACCGGACTTGTATTGCGGACTGGGCTGCTATTTTTTCCCCAAACGAGATCGTTCAATATAAAAGAGGGCGTTCTCTCTGCGTTATGCATATTCATGTTGTCCAGGGCTTAGAGAATAAGTTATATAATCAGGAATAATGGTGTTGAAATCATCGACGATTGGCAGCTGATTCGTGGACTGGTTGGAAGTAGTCCTGATTTCTAATCAGTTGATCCGAGTTTGAATCTCAGTGAGCGTTTTTCACATCTTCTCATTTTACCTTTTAAATAACTAAAGTGAGGACGGAACATTTCTACAAGACGTAAAGCCTTTCTTGGGTTTGTGTTATGGAGAACAAGGCATTAGATATGCATGTAATGGACCAATCAGAATGGCAAACGGATGTCGTTTGGGGAAAAAAAGATTCGCGACCACGCCTATTTAATTGTGAAAAATGGTCAGAGTGAAAGTATGAACTTGTGAATTTATTTTCTTTTTGTAATAAAAAAATTGGGATATCTATTACCTGTTGTTGGGGTAGTCCACTGTCAGTCCGACCGGGAAGCCGCTGTCAGCACCGATCAACACCTGGCGGTCACGTCCGTCCAGTCCGCTCCGTTCAATCCTCGGCTTGCTGCCCGTGTCTGCCCAAAACAACCACCTGGAGCAGATAAAGGCCCCGATATTATAAAAAAAAATTAACTGCTTCGAGTGATTGACAATAACATTCGCGCTATACGTGTAGTACCTCCACTCTGTATCAAAGGGCGCAGGGTGATATCTAATTTTCAGGTGTCGCCAGACTAATTTTAAGGGAGGGGGGTTTCAACAAAATGGACCTTTTAACTAAATAAGTTCATAATTATGCAAGTATGCACGCATTAATGGACCTGGTGGCAAAAAGCGAAAGCGGTCCATTGAGAATGCACAGGGCTACAAACATTTGGGTCATTTTCTCCCAATTTGTCCAGGATTTGTCGTGTTTTTTTTTATTAGAAAAACCCCTTGAATCGCCATACGCATCACTCTCTGGCCTAAGTGTTTTTTTTTTGGCACACGATAACAAGTGCGCGACTGCACAATGTTGCTCTGGCTGTCTTGCATAAACAGCTGATCGTGACTGTCAATTAAAATAAGGATTTTCCATTACAAGGCAAAATAATAGTGACCTTCATGACGGAACTCTGTCCTCACTATAGTTGTACGCCCTGGAGACTCATTAAACTGACAAAGGCCGAGTGACTTGTTAAGTTCTGGAAGCTGTGCTGCCACCCAAACCTTCGTCCCGTGCGCACTAGGTCGAAGGAAATCAGCAGGGTTCATTTCCGCACGAGTGAAGATAATATTAACTTATTACGGAGAGGCAAATCTCATGTGCCTCCGAAGAAGGTCTCGTTAAGACCGCAACGTCAGGCCAGTTAATTTGGCTGATTTGTGTATTTCCGGTCAATCCAGTCAGTGAGCAGTTTGCAGCAGCTTAATCATTTTCATGAAAACAAAACATTCAGGAAGGGAGTTTTCGTCGATTTGTTATCCAAGGCAGCAGTCAGACAGTCACTGAAGTTGAATCGCCGCAACCCGATATTAACATTTATACAACACCTGAATAAATCCCCGTCATCTGATTGGTGGATCGTTGATCACATGTCATTGAATTATTCGTACCAACGCACGGCGCGCGCGTGGTGCGCAGCGCACAGTGCAATGGAAGTACTATTGCACTGTGATTAGAAGTATCATTGCACTGTCACTGCACAGTTTGCCGAAGGTGGCGCTGTGGTGTTTAAATTGGCAATAAGTTCTGAACTTATTGAACTGTTTAAGTTCTAAACTTATGGACAAATTTTTTATTGAGATAAATTGAATATGATAGTTCTCAACCCGTTGAACAGTTTGCATAGATTAAATATGATAACTCTGAACTTGTCAAACTTGTAAACAATTTTTAACTTGAATAAATTGGCTTTTAAAAGTCATCCAATCAGATGACGAGGATTTATTCAGTCGTTATATAAAACAAATAATGAATGTTTCACGTTCGTGCAATTGAAAGAATAATTTCATTCGGTGACGATGAAATGTTCCATTCCACTCGGCTTCGCCTCGTGGAATGGAACATTTCATCTGTCACCTCATGAAATTATTCTTACCATTGCACTCACAAACATTCATTATTTGTAAAGTAGTTTTCGGTGCAACTAAAAACTTAATCTTATTGTTGACTCCACCGCGCAATCCTTCGCATGCAACAACAGTTTTTATATAACCGACATACAGATCCTTGTCTTTTGATTGGTGGAACTCAGTTCAACTCACATCACGTGATATTCGTTATTGCTCCCATTCACGCCGTGGCTCAAAAGGTACTATCCGCCCATGGGGAATGGGAAATATTATACAACACCTGAATAAATCCCAGTTATCTGATTGGTGGATCGTTGATCACATGTCATTGAATTATTCGTACCAACGCACGGCGCGCGCGTGGCGCGCAGCGCACAGTGCAATGGAAGTTCTATTGCACTGTGAATAGAACTTCCATTGCACGGTGTCGCTGCTGCTGGTGGTGGCGCTGTTTTAAATCGAGATAAATTGAATATGATTGTTCTTAACCTGTCGAACAGTTTGCATTAATATAGATATGATGAACTTTTCGCACTTTTAAACAGTTTTTAACCTGAATAAATTGGCTATAAAAAGTCAACCAATCAGATGACAAGTATTTATTCAGGTGTTATAAAAAACAAATAATGAATGTTTCACGTTCGTGCAATGGAAAGAATAATTTCATTCGGTGACAGATGAAATGTTCCATTCCACTCGGACATTTCATCTGTCACCTCATGAAATTATTCTTACCATTGCACTCACAAACATTTATTATTTGTATACTATTGAACAGTTAGGATCATGACGCGGTATTTGTGTGCAAATGCATGCTGGTGTGCGCGTTCAGCGTTGCGCGTAGCGCGTATTGTTCCAAAGAGCCAGCGCTACAGCGTTGGTTTCAAACATTTTCGTGAAGGGGTGATTTTGAAGAGAGAAATACATTTTTCTCCAGTTTTGTATTGAAATAAAAGTTCAAATATATCAAATGACAAGGATCTATATGTCAGTTATATAAAACAAATATTTAGTGGCTTTAAATTGTGAAATGGGAGGAATATTATCGCTCGGTAAAATCCGGACTTCTCCAGTTCACTCGGCTTCGCCTCGTGAAATGGAAAAGTCCAGATTTTACCTTGCGATAATATTCCTCCCATTCCACGCTGAGCCACTCAATATTTGTATAACATGCGATGGCAGGGAACACATCTGTATTCTGTAGGACGGCAGACTAATCAACGTTAATGAGTTCCATATGCCAATCCTCCAAGCAGGAAAATTGGATTGAAAAAGTTTCCGTCTCAGGGAGAGACAAGCAATGAGTGATGAAGTAGTGGCACACGTTTTTGTTGACTTTTCATGTGCTCCTCAAGGGAATCACCTGATTGGCCATACTGTGTACTGCACCTGTGTCTTGGTCTAGGTCATCCATCGGCACCGACCGAATTTTATGGCCAATATGTATATAAGCCAGAGCTTAATTTCAACCTCAAGCAAATGTTAGACATGGGATTAACAGTGTAGTCCTTTGAAAATTGGATGAATAAAACCGAACACACACACTCGACAGGTCGCTTGTGCTTTCCAGGATGTCGAACGTTACTTCAACAGACAAAATTGGGTCCGTAGCATCTGTCTTTGACAGTTACAGCGAAAAGCAGTTGTTGGCAGCTCTGATCAGTCTTGTCTCATTCGCCGGTGTGCTGGGTAACAGCTCTGTCTTGCTGGCCGTGGTTCTCTCCCGTAAACCTCGCACAACCACCAACGCTTTTGTGGTCAACTTGGCCGTAACCGACCTCATCGCTTGTCTGAGTTTGCCCATCATGGTCTTGGCAGTGCTGAGCGAAAACAGAGAGAAGCTGCTCGTTTCAGAGAGTCTTTGCGCTTTGCAGGGATTTGTAGGTGTCGTCAGTATCGGGAGCAGCTTTAATAACATTGCGTCAATCGCCGTCTACCGCGCCTTGATCATTCGTGGGAAGAACCGGGGAAAGCAAATCTGCTCGTATAACCGCTACGGTCTACCACTTATGATCGGTGCAACCTGGCTAATCCCCCTGGTAGTTGGACTCTTGCCCATTGTATCGGAGTTCGGCTCGTACGAGTACGATGATAAACTTAGCACCTGCGCCTTCAATCCGACGGCCGAGGGCTCTGGTACATTCACCACAATCATGATTGCCCTCTACTTCCCTATGCAACTCCTTCTTACTTTCGGGAGCTATGCAGTTATCTTTTATACTGTGAGGAAGTCTGCCAGAAGAGTTCATCTTCCTGGGCAGCCCGGTGTTGCCGTTGTTGGTGGAATCATGAGGCTGCCTCCACGACCAGGAGCACCCAGGCGGCGACATTCATCAGCCCACAGAGATGCTCCAGCAACCAACCAGTTGCAGGTGCCTGCTCCGGATCACTTGCAGTGGGCAGCACGTAGACGCGGGGCATCAGCCCGAGCCAGGCATCAGCTTCGTCGTAACACTAACATTAACCTTACTCTGTTTCTTGTTGTCTTTTTCTACATAGCGTGTTGTTTTCCTTTCTCGATATTGATGGCGCTTCTCAAAGACAAATCCCAGAAAGTTGTTCCGTTTTTGGCTGTGCTTGTTTGTAGCAACAGCTGTATAAACCCCGTGATTTACGCGGCCCGGCACCCGGATTTCAAGACAGTCATCCGCTGCATCATGCTGTGCAGACCCTCAGGGATACCCATGAAATCGTCTTTTCTCAGGAGCATACTCGGCGTGCAAGGACTATGAGATCTACGATTCGTCAATGCGCACAAGACTTAACTTTCGATTCATGTTTAACTCAGATGGACACTTGAACATTCTGTTTTCAATTTCAATACTCAGTAAACTATCATTTCTATTGGAATTAGAATATATAGAGGTATAACTAAATGATGAGATACATGAACATGCTGTTTTGCTTTCAAACATTCACTTAATTTGACTATCAGTGTCAAGTACAATGGTTAACGTCCTTTAAAAATAAAGGACGGACTCTTGTGATTTTGTTTTAAAGGGTCCATGGAGTGAACTTTTCTTAGGAACATATTTTGTGCAACTTTCTACTTCTCTTAAATGTACAAACAATATTTGAAATCCCTTCTTTGGTTCATTTTATTGAAAGGTGCACTTCTTCAATCACTTACATTGTCCATGCTTTTCCGAACAACTGAGGGCGTTGTTGATGATGTCATTTCAGGAAGACACTGTTCAGTTTTAAGAATTTTCTGTTCAAATTTAAACCCAAAACTTTGCTTATTGAAAACATTTGTGAGAAAGGGTTGCTCATTGGCTACTTATAAGCATGTACTGACACAACAGCGAATCACCAAATAAAATACAATCTACGACTGTCCAGCAAAATATTCAACATTCTTGCAATGATATTGAATTGAAATGGCTGTACCGTTCAGGTTTCTGCCTGAAATGACTTCACCCTTCTACTCACGAATATGGAAATTGTCATTAGCATAAACACCAAACAGGCACCAAAATACCATTGCAAGTTGCAAAACGAAAATTGAAACTAGAGTTACATGTATATGGTACACAAAGGTGCATTGCCTTTAAAGGGGGCTGTGCCATTAGGGAGACAGTTATGTGTCTCCCTAATGACCGGTGTCTCCCTCTTTTCAAAAAAATTACGATAACGTGTCTCCCTTATGGTCATTTAGTAATATAACAGGTTCTTATAGCGCTTTACATTATTATTACCCCTGATCTTTGGTTAAATTAAACATTCCAAATACCATCTCAGCTCCCTGGGGAGTATACAGCTCGATGCTGCCTGTTAGGCGCAAGGAAGCTAATTCAATCACAATAACCATCTCTGCCCTCACAGATACCCATTACTCCTGGGTGCATGGGTGTGGAACGTACCAATTTATTTTGTTACCGGGTAAACGTGATTTGATGATGTCGTCAATGCATTATGTGATGTAGTCAATACATTATGTGATGTCGTCAATCCATCATGTGATGTCGTCAATGCATTATGTGATGTGGTCAATCCATGATGTGATGTTATCAATCCATTGTGTGATGTAGTCAATCCATTATGTGACGTAGTCGTTATGTGATGTAGTCAGTCCATTATGTGATGTTGTCAATCCGTTATGTGATGTAGTCAATCTATTTTGTGATGTAGTCAATCGATAATGTGAAGTTGTCAATCCATTATGTGATGTCGTCAACTCATTATGTGATGTCAATCTATTATGTGTTGTTGTCAGTCTATTATGTGATGTAGTCAATCCATTATGTGATGTCGTCAATCGATTATGCGAAGTCGTCAATCCATTATGTGATGTCATCAATCCATTGATGTGATGTCGTCAATCCATTATGTGATGTAGTCAATCTATTATGTGATGTAGTCAATCCATTATGTGATGTAGTCAATCCATTATGTGATGCAGTCAATCGATTATGTGATATCGTCAATTCATTATGTGATGTAGTCACTCCGTTATGTGATGTAGTCAATCTATTATGTGATGTCGTCAATCCATTATGTGATGTAGTCAATCCATTATGTGATGTAGTCAATCTATTATGTGATGTCGTCAATCTATTATATGATGTTGTCAATCCATTATGTGATGTAGTCACTCCGTTATGTGATGTCGTCAATCTATTTTGTGATGTAGTTAATCCATTATGTGATGTAGTCACTCCGTTATGTGATGTCGTCAATCTATTTTGTGATGTAGTTAATCCATTATGTGATGTCGTCAATCTATTATGTGATGTCCATTCCTTGTGTGATGTCGTCAATATTTTATGTGATGTAGTCATCCATTATGTGATGTAGTCAATCTATTATGTGATGTTCCTTACTGTGGTAACATTTTTTTTTCGTGCACAGGATGGAAAATGACTATTTTACATAATTATTGGCATTTTCTCAGCAACCCAGAGTGCTATTTTCATGATTTTGTCAGTATTTAAAAGAAAAAAACTCTAAGCTTTAATCTGATACCAAGACATAAAAATCCACCGATCCTTTTTCTTTTAAAGGTAAATGTTTTAGGGTTGCATTTTTGGGGGTCACCTTGTATACATGTGAAGAGTTCGGCTGTATTTTGTTAAATGTATAGTGTTCTATTACGTCGTGTCAGCATTATGATGATATTTGTTATCAAATGTGTCTATGAAATGTGGTATAGAGTTGAATCGTAACAGCACCTTAGGTATTGCAGTATAGCTTCGATTCACCATATTACCTACAGGGCAATGATCTGGACCCCATTATTACAGAAAATATTAAAAAATATGTAGCAATTATCAAAAAAATGCAGAGCAAATGAGATATGTTATAATTATTTGGTGAAAGTTTCATGTATATCCATTGTACATTTTGAAGAAAAGCGCTAGCAAAGAGCACATGCTAAAAACACTCTGACCACAGTTTCATGGTTCAACAAATGTATTGAATCGCGTACTGATGTGAAGCTATGTATAGTAACAAATAAAAACCTAGTCATGGTGACTGACTCACTTGAAGTTATTGACACATTTAAAAAAGGCAAAACCAAATTACCGTGTGCAGACTGAAAAATGAGCAACTTCAATGAAAATGGCATAACTCCTTACCACAACCACTAATTTGAAAAATTCAAAATAACTGTGGAAGACAATGTTTGCCTTCACTAAATTTGTGAGCGGGGGGGGGGGGGGGGGGGGGAGGGGCAGGCCTTGAAGGGGGGGGGGCCTTAGTCACTCAGTTGACGACTTACCCTCGGATGGGGTACACGGCGATACCGCTGGGGCTCTCCAGTCCATCTTCTACCACAGTCCTGACTCTAGACCCGTCATAGTTGCTCATCATTATCCAGTTGTAGGCTGCGTCCGTCCAATAGACGGTCCTTGCCAACCAGTCCACGGCGATGCCGCCCACGGCGGACGAGGTGCCGCGGTGGAGGGGCTCTGCGACCAGCTGGTCCCCGCTCAGCTCACCGTGCCAGACAAGCTTGAGCCGCGGGTCGCTCCAGAAGAAATCCCGGTTGTGGTAGTCCACGGCCAGCGCGGTCCAGTTGGCCGGCCGGTACGTGAGCATGGTGTTGGTCAGGATGCTACCGGAGCTGAGGTAGTCCAAGGGGTCGGCGGGGAGGCTCTGGAGTTTGGCCGTCCCGTCTTCTTGATTCTGTTCTAGCCAGGCAATGATTGGTGCATCAGGGGGGTCTATACGAACTGACGATGAACAAAATACGAAAGCGGAAAGATTTGATATTTGAAATTTGACCACTTCATGTACACTTCTACAAACTGCCCACTGTACTTCCGTATACCCCCTTCAGCAAAATCAAAACATCTAGCCATAGAGACATATCTCGAGTCGACATCTACAGATATTTCCCTTAGAAAAATATGACGAAAAGGTTTGAAAAAAGAAGAAAGACTTCTATACCTGATTCGTAAAATGCGCTGAATCCTGCCCCGGTTAGGCTCCCGTCCGTGATGAATCGTAATCGCATCACGTTGCCCGTGGATAACACCGGGGGTGGCAGGGATTGGTCCTGCTGCCCGCAGTATCGGGGCGACAGAGTGGAATGCCCGCTGTCATCGTCCGGAATGATCTCCACATAATCGGCTCTGTAAAAGATCAGTCAATGGGCTTACACTCAATAATTTCCCCCTTAAAGTTATCACCCAAAGATATGGCCAGGAGCCATTAACTACACCCCTCTCTCTCAATAGACATCGGCATTTGCCCGTGGTCTCCTCCTGAAATTATACACAGTTGGGATCCGCTCCGCTCCCACCACAACCCGTCTTTCCAATGCAGCCGCTTTCGGTTCAGTTCGTCGGTTGTACCGCGAACCGACGTATCGCATTTTTTTTGTGTTTCGAGAAAAGCCGATTTAAAGATGGTCATTATTTTGTAGGCTCATTCCATGTACTCCCTGTGTAAGAATTCAAAATGTTTCGTTTTTGCTAGTAAATTATAGTTTGAACTTTATCGTATGCAATATGCAATCCGTGTGCATCTGAGTTGCTTAGTTTTTGAGAAATTCAGTTCCAAAGTTATTCGTCACTTCGTGAAACAGATTGTTATCATGTTTATCGTATGCCATACAACGCGCGTAATAGTGGCCGTGTGCCAGATACGGAGATACGGAGATACGTCGGTTCGTGAAACGCTGAATTCCAATTTTTCATGTCGACGCTCCCTTGTGACGTCATAGCACTACGGGAATTAGCGTGTAAAGCCGCGTATCGGGATACGCCACTTCGTGGTGCAGCATTTTTCATTTTTTTAGAGGTACGCCGCACAGTCTAATTAGCGTTCTAATTAGACTGAGAATGAACACTTTGATGAAACAATAACGTTAATGACAAAAACTCAATTTGGCCAAAAATCGAGATACGCCGGTTCGTGGTGCGACCGATGAGTTGTGTCACACCTTGACCATTCTCGGATGTATCACTGTATCCCCTATCATTTTTTTTCTCAAAAGATATGTGCACAAACACAAAAGAATACAAACGAAACAACCGAATATAAGTACAAGTGACGGGAGGCATCTTCAGCGTGTGTCAATAAAAACGCAGGAACAAAAATATTAAGAATATAAACCACCCCTATTCATCATAATGTTAACCCTCTTTTCAAAGTACCTTTCCTTCTCTTCACTATGCTTTTTATCCCATCTCATTTGGACAATCCTGTCCAGAGATAGAGTACGTTGAAGAAGGATTATAAATTCCAAGATTTGTGAAATCACACATACCTAATGAAAGGTTTGAATTCAGTACAGGTGAAAAGTATTGGCGGATCACAAAGAAGGACATGTGTGGCAGGATTAGGCTTACATAATCCTTTAGTCCACAATCAATGTTATTTGATATGTCGGAGGCTTTGAAACAATGATAGTCCAGTTATTAAATTTAAGTGATACTTATCATCAGTTGTTTCAAAGAAAGTTTTGTTCTGGTTTAATTGTCTTCAATGCATACCTGCATTGTGCATAACTGGTCGTTGTGTTAAGGTCATTGAATCAGACCAACCCGCTTCAGAAGGGCTTCACAAAACTTGTCATAATTTTTGAACCAAAAGTCCAAATTCCACCAAACAAAAATCTTGTCAAAGATGAAATTATGGACAATCAAATCCTTATCAAATTAGGCACACCAGTAGCATAATATTCTCAGAAAAAAAATCGCTTTGAATCCTGCGTTTTTATTGACACACGCTGCGCATACAGTCAACAAATCGATCCTCTTTCCCTGCCTTGCCTTTTAAACAGGCTAGACACCAACAGTCAGGTCATATTTCAAGCAAGCACAGTGACTAGTCAAATTCAATCAACAGGCAAAAACAGAAAAGTGGTAAGCACAGCTGGCTTATCAATCATCTACAGTCAAAGCATAGCTGTGTAATACATAAACAGTCTCATACGGCCAGTCAATCCTGCTTATATGCTGGGAGCGGTCTTGAAACAGTCGCTTGATTGATTTAGACTGAAACGACAACTAGGCACAGAATGCATGTTTGCATATAGGAGGGTTTTAAATAACCGTTTTGGAATAATCTCATTTGGCCTTATCCTTTGGCATTTCCCTAAATCCAAGGACAAGATGAGCAACCACACCTAGTTTCTTTGTACCAAGCCTTTGTATTTCATGGAGGTCTTTCTTTTCAAATGCATGTTCATCACATTTGTAGATTTCACAACAAAATTCAACAAAGTTGAAAACGATCCTCTGTGTAATATATATAATCTCATTTGAAATTTCTAAGCAGGACATCACAAACCAGGCATGTACATGTACATGCAAAAACAGAAAACAGCATTATTATTACAAAGTTCACTATAAAGCCCATGTAAAGATCATGCGAACTAATTAAAGCTGTAACTTAGACCTCTTCTGCGATCGCCCATGAAGACATTATTCAATAATGCATGTAAATGTACCAGTGGAAGTGAATTATTTGGTTCCAAATTACAAACAAAAAATAACAGAAAACAAGGCCATGAGGTCAGAAAACCTGATTGACCGTAAGTTTCTTTTAACAGTACGTTTCTTCTACAGACTTCTGTTTAAAGAAAAAAATGTGACAAACTAAAAAATGCGTTGTGACGAGCTCTTGGGCTCGTCACAGCACATAACCTCCGCCAAGGAGCTTATGCTTTCATCGGATTTGGTTTGTTTGTTTCTTTGTTTGGTTGGTTGGTTGGTTTATTGGATTGTCTGATAACAAGATAACTCAAAAAGTTATAGATGGATTTGCATGACATTTGTTTCAGGAGTGGTAGAAGTACAAATCGATTAGATTTTTGAAGTGATCTGGCTCCGGGTCTGGATGCCGGATAAGTTAAGGATTCTTTCTTATTTATGTGAGTATTTCATGTGGGTGTACTGGCAAGCATGTCAATAGATGGCGCCCTTCAACACTCTTGGTCGTTTCCCATCCGGGTAGTTCTCTCGCTCCACCGAAGGGTCCCACATTGGCACAATATGACGGGCAACTCAGCCTTGGCGGCGGTTTGCGCTCTATGTGAGTGCATTCTAGTGTTCTAATAGATTGATACCAACTTATCTTTAATTATGAAGTTGAATACAGACACTATCTGCAGGGTGATTTCAACCTGCGACCAAACACTGTACCAGCGCTTTACTAACTTAGATTGATCAAATTATTGTCTCGTGGCCCGGATTATCCAATAGGCACAGTAGGAACTGCCTAGGGCCCACGAAACATTCGGCGACCTACGAAAATACCACATCCCCACTGGAATGTGAATCCTGTGGAGACATCTCTTTGTCCAGTGTGCCATCAAACACCCACACACCCAGCTAGACACGACTGTTGCTGGTACAAATCGAGGATTTTCTATTGCGCCTCTTCCTTTTTTCCAAAACGTTTTAGGGTCTGTCTCAGATGTTTCGATGATTTTACCAACTGACGCTTAGTGTACAGCATGTAGGCATACATGTATAGGCCTTTTACGTATAAATTTAAAGGGGCACTAAGTCCTGAAATTCCCAAAAAAATTATGTTTTGGATTGTTTACCTAGCCTATTACAAACATCTGGTTGAAAGGAAACCAACCTAATGTCTTACCGTTCCCGAGAAAGGACGAAAAAAAACCCATAGGCCTTTTACGTATAAATTTAAAGGGGCACTAGGTCCTGAAATTCCCAAAAAATGTATGTTTTGTATTGTTTACCTAGCCTATTACAAACATCTGGTTGAAAGGAAACCAACCTAATGTCTTACCGTTCCCGAGAAAGGACGAAAAAAAAAACCCACACAAAAAAACCCGCTTGTTTACATCGGACACGACGGAGTACAAATACGTTTTTTTCGTGTCGTTTGCAGTGTACGATATACACGTTGTGTGTCTCGGGAACAGCGGTGACCAATCACCGTCAATGCAAAGAAAAGTGGACCCCGAAATTCGTTCTCGCACGCATAATACAGGAATAACACACAAAACGCCCAGTTTTAAAGGATAGTTGTGTGGATGTTTATATCCTACTTTAAATGTTATTTCCGATTAACATCATCTCGTTCAAAGCGCGTTTTGTAGCCCAATTGGGCTGTTCAAGGACCCAGTGTCCCTTCGTGTAAAGTATGTCGTTCTAAAGCACGGTGGCAATTTGGGCGTCGATCGGAAATTTGTAGCCTACATGTGATTCTATAGCTCAGGATGGCTTATTCAGTGACTCCAAACTCGAAAATGATGCTTAAAATGGTGATCTTTTGGATACAGTGGTCAGAAATTGCCCCGAGATCTCACCACAGAGCGTCTAGCATCCTTTTTTTTTTTTTTTTCGAGTTGCCGGCCCGCAAGAGGGCCCCGAAACCCAAGCTGTTAGGCTTTGTACTCACATTGGTTCTATCAAGATACACATGTTTGTACCACCCCCACTTTTGAGAATGCCCTTAATTGGTGCCAACAGGCTTTAGCGCTAGGACCTATACCAGTTTTCCCTGGCTTGATTTGTGCAGCGCTTTGTACTTCAATAGCATGAATTTGATGCCCAGGCGGGAAGGGCTTCATACGGAACACTCAACACATGGTGCCTAGAACCTACGAAAAAATTAACCCGGGCCTAAATAATTGTCTCACCGGCACACGCTGCTGGTCATGGCCTGCAGGTCCAAAGCCGAGAAGTGGAGTTTGACGCGGTGGCTCCTGGGCGCTACGACGGTCCACTCGCAGCGAAGATTGTCCGGGTATCGCACGGGGAAGCCGGGCAGGATGGGAGAGGAGATGACCCCCGACCCGGCACGGAAAACTCCGCCGCATTCCGCTGATGGGGTCGAGGTGCCGTTACCCTGGGAGGCCACTTGCTCAGGAGCAATTAATCTGCGGAGAAAAAAAATATGTCAGTGACAGATGATATTGTTTGGATATACATGGATCTACGCATACTAGCGCACGGACAGCCTACACGTGCGTACATATAATGATGTACGTACGTCGCGTCAACCCGGATTAGCGGCTGCAACAAAGTGGCGAGTGCGCGTCAGGATGCTGCGTTATTTTTACTTGCCGCAGCCGCCGTTAATTCCCTCATGCAGCCAACAGTTTGACAGTCTTTAGTCAAGGCTAAAAAAACCCGAGGGTTTTCAAAGGGGTTTCCCGTACTTAAAGGGACACTCCGTCCTGGAAAGGGCCTTATATGCATACAAAACGCGTTTTCACGGAAAGTGATATTTTATAGTTGGAAAGGGTATTTTTTTCTCATCTTTTCTCATCAAAACAGTGAGACATTTGGTTAATTTCCTTTCAACCAGACAGTTGGGATAGGATAAGTGGAGTTTCATGGCCGAGCGGTTGAGACCACCGGACTCAGCTCACGTGGTGTTTCTGATCAGCAGACCCGTCCTGGTCTTGACGCTTGTGTGCAAGACATTTAACCATTATTGCTTCGTTCTTCGGATGTGTGTTGTGTAATACATGTCAAAGAACCCAGCAACACTGATCGCTATGGAGCTTCTGGCAGTGGCTGCAATATGCGCCGCAGCACCGAGTAAATCCTTATAAGGTGCTACATAAAATGGGTCTCATAATTCCAATACTTCATTTACCTGTCTTTAAAATAAATTCATGTAGCGCCTTGAGTACCTAATTGTTAGTAGATACGCATACGCTATATAAGACTCCAGTATTATTATTTATTATCATTTTTAAAAGTAAACAATATATATATAAAAAAAAAAATCTTCGGTGATTTTAGGTCGCTGTATATCCCTTTAAAGTGTTTATAGTAGGATATGCCAAGAGGAAATGAACCATACTGCCGAGTCCTGCTCAATAGATATTAATATTGTGTACATATATGTACATGATGAATTTACTTTCAATAGCTATCATGTATACAGGGTGAGTAAAAAAAAAAATGTCAGGACCATATTTTGAATGAAGTTCTGCATGCCACTGTCACATGAAAATCCGACTCCTATGAAAATCAAACCCCTATTTCCTTATTATTGGTTGATCTCTCGCACGTGACAGGTCACTCTCCCGAAACGATCCTAAAAATAGTATAGTATCGTACTCACGCGTGCGCAGTACTACAAATGAGTCCAAATTACATGGAGTCGGATATTCACGCTACTTTCAAAATCTCCGATATGAAAGCCCAATAAATAAGCTTTCATTTAGTATCAGAATCATTCACAATACTCAAGTACTTTTCAAGTTACGGAATTTTGAACACAAAAACACCGTTTTAAATTTCTATCCACGGGTCATAAGTGTTCTTTCAGCAAAACAAAAACAATTCACATAGGGATGTAGGGGCAGGCTATGTGAATAATTTTCGGCTTACATGCAAGAATACCTTTTGATCCATGGACAGATCTTTGAAATTGTGTTTGTGTTCAAAATTCCGTAACTGAAAAAGTACATGAGTGATTTGAATGATTCTTGTACTAAAAGAAAGCTTTTTAATTGGGATTTTATGTCCTAGATTTTGAAAGTGCTACATGTAGAACTTCATTAAGTGATTGGTCCTGGTCAGTTGGGTTTCCTTTTTTTTTTCTTTTTACTCATCCTTTACATGTAAAGGACAATTTGACACACACAGGGCACTGTGCTCAAGTGGTATGATGAAGCATGTGGTCGAGATGTTTGTTGAGCAAGTAATTGAAACTGCCTTCGACGTACGGTTTCAGAATGAGGTTTGAGGCCGGATGCCCTTAAAACACCATGGATGTTCAAAATGCATCATGGTTTCTTTTATAATTCTTGAGTATCGTTAATAAAAACGCACGCTGATCGGTCAGCTTTGTACTGCACTTCTACTCGGCCACAAATCCTGACAAAATAAGATTGTTTTCTGCAGTTCTTCTATGGTTCTGCTGTTATCAGTGGCGGATCCAACATTTCATGCATTTGCGGAAGGGGCCGGCAGGGGGAGCCCTGGGGATGGAGGAGGCGAAACCCGATACAGGAGTGGGCATATATATGCTTTGCTCATTTGGGTGAAAATGTCTTAAGTGATTAAATAACCAGTTGGCAACAGAAGAAACTGGGAAGGAAAAAACAAGACTCCTCCTAAAATATTTTTTTTAATGGGACACACAAAATGATCGGGGAGGGGGCCAGGCGCCGTCTGTTACTGCCGTTATAGGCCTAAGGGTCCGTTTATCAATGAGACAATTGCTTATTATATAGCCTGTAGTTTCCCTAAAATTCAGGGACCAGTGTAATATGTGCAAAGTGTTGGTATAATGCCCCCCCCCCAAAAAAAAAAAAAAAAAAAAAAAAAAAATCATGGTCACTACAGTTGGCATATCGTCACGCAACGTCCCGGGTACATGTGCATATACTTACAGAAGACTCCAGGCAAACCACACAAATGCTCGGCAAAGAAGTCCCGATAATTCCTGTGTAAACATGACGCTTGCTGTGGAGCATTGTAGTATCCGCATTCTGGTGAGTGCTGTTCCAAGAACTCTGCAGAAGGATGACGTATGCAGGCCCCCTACGTACCAGCCGCTGTTCAACTTAAAACTTACTCACGGACAAAGACGTCTCAACTTGACTTTTGCCCCCTTGCGTGCTCCACATACTCTCATGCACGAACGTCAGTCAACCAACATTGATACAATACACCGTAACTGATTCGAAAGATATACTGAACGATTTACTCCAATCACATCGGATCCAGGTGAAAACTTTAAAGCAGGATAAGAGATAGAAATACATGTGTGTATGCGGATAAACGTCAAAACAAACTACTGTGTACGTCTAGCTACATGTACACGGCTCACGCATCACGCCGTCTTATTTGTGTGGCCTTGCACTTTGTTTTCTGACGATGACATGCGCAGTTGAGAAACCATAGACTTGTCAGTCAGTCCCCGTACGGATATATGGACAGCTTTGGTTTTCACCATTTGAAGTTGTGTATGTCGTATACATGTATACGTAAGGTCAGGATAATCAGTTGTGCACAGAGTTGCAGACCCGACCACAGGCTACGCGTATTCACTCGAAAAGCTTTGTTTTTCGTCATAAAGTATGTGCATGCACACTAGAATATGAATTTCACTTTTAAAATCGTTTAATTGTGATGAAATAATTGAAAATATTGAATGGAATTTAACTGATTGAAAGCTTGGGATCTCCTATTTGTGTTTTTCCCCGTTCTGCAGTCCGAAGAAATTGATATGTGAGAAAAATAGTTGTGGTTTAAAATTTGACTCAAAACTTGCAGTTGTTTCATTTGGACAAAATAATGCTGAGCTTGACGAGTCTAGAGACTTGACTAACTTGATTTCGGACGGATGCACCATGGCCGATGCACCCATGGAGCTCAGCTATAGGCTAATATTGAAAGGGCCATCATATAGCTCACCAGTGTCACTATAGCATCTATTATTTGAGATTGGGGAAATCTTTCTTTGGAACAGTGTATGTTCTCTAGGCTCTTTTTTCTTTCGAAAGATCTTTATAAGTATTTTTTTTCACTCAATGGTATAATTGTAATAACAATTAGAACATTAATAAAACATGTCATTTTTTTTAATGTACATGTATAAGTCACTAGACATCCAATGTCATTCAGGATCGATTATGGTGCATATCTCCCGATGTTCGGCATGTTAAAACATTGAAATTGTTTCATTTTCCTGGAGAAAGAATGTAGTGTTTAGTGACAGATTCCTTCAAATCTACTATTTTATTCTTTCCATAGCAATTTAATATATGCCATTTGAATCTATTGTGATACCGAGGTACGATTGAAGTAGCAATTGCCCTTGGATGCCCCACGGGGGTCATGTGAATGTACCGATGACGACAAAGTAAATATAATTGTTGAAATTTACTGGAAGTAATTTATGCTTAACTTTAAACATAAATGTACCCAAGTTTAATTCATACAGCTCACTGAATTTCCGTATTTGTAATTCTGCAAATAAGGGAGCTGTATGTTCCGAGAACAATGGTGTTGTCATGATTCTTCTGACAGCTTTCTTCTGTAATAAGAACAGTTAATTACATTGTGGCAGGGGCGGCGGAACCCCCGGCACTTGCCCCCCCCCCCCCTCCCCAGATTTACCCAAGTGCTCCTCTTGCGGGCATAAATGTGCCCCCCCCCCCTCGAGCACGGATGTGCCCCCTCGTTTTGAAGAGCGCTCCCTATTTTGGAAGATGGTACCAGACTACCGCCTCCCCCCTCACTATTTGATTTTACGGAGACCAAGTGTCCGGTAAAAAACACAAGTGTCGACATTTCAGCAGTGATGTGGCCTCCCTCCCCCATAAAAAAAATGCTGGATACGTATCCTGCTGCACCGACGGAACTTGAAGACGCCTTTTACGGAGAAAGTACGTGCCCCTTTTTGGTGATGCCCCTAGCCCCTCTGTTTACATGTGCGCTTTCCTATGAGAGGGAGCCGGGACGTATGCGTCCCAACTGGGTCTGATTATGGGCACAAGTAAATATTTATGCGTGACTTCATTAGGTCTTAGGACTGAACCTTCCTTCATCGACAATTGGCTATTTTATGGTGGCCCTGCAGGGACATTATGCGGTCGTGAATATTTTTTGCGACGTTGTGAATTTATTCACGACCTGCCCAGTCGTGAATAATTTTGCGACGTCGTGAATATGTTTGCGACGTTGGGAATAATTATGTTTGCGACATCATTTTTCTTTTACAACGTCTTGAAAATGCACAACTGTAGTAACGAATTTTGTTGTAGCGAATTTTTTTTCAGTAGCTTGGAGGGTATTTAACTAAACGGGAAATACAGGGCGAACACATGTACCAAGGTACGTTGCAAATATCCGCTGTCCCATGATGCACACTTTTAACCCTTTAAATTACTGGGAAAATGTTTACGACAAAAAAATCACGACTAGTCGAGAATTAAATTTTTCCGGACTATAGTCGTGAATTTATTCAGGACTGGTCGCGAAGTTATTCGCGACTAGTCGTGAAAAAGTTTACTGCGTCGCAAAAATATTCACGACGTCGCAAAAGTATTCACTGCGTCTCGAAAATGTTCACGACTAGTCGTGAAAAAAAACATGCACGTCGTCCCAAAAAACATTCCTGACGATCGGTTATGTCCCTTTAGGGCCACCATACTATTCATTGTATAGTCACCAATGCTGAGCATGTGGCCTTGACCTGATAGTCCATGCAATTGTGGTATGGAACGCCATACGTACCAATTTATGATGTTACCGGATAAAAGTTATTTGATGATGTCGTCATAATTCATCCATTCCGTGGCCAATTTGTTGTGATGTTGTCAAATATTATGTGGTGTCGTCAATCCATAATGGATTGACAACATCACATGATGGGCTATAGGTTGTTGACGTATATGGATTGACAACCTATAATGGATCGATTAAATCACATTGGATTGATTACAACACATATAATGGATTGAAAACATCACATGAAGGATTGACAACATCACATTATGGATTGACTGCAGCACATAATATGAATTAACAACACCACGTGATGGATTGACATCATAAGATATAGATTGACAACATCACTAGTATGGATTGACGACTTATACATGTAATGGATTGACATCATCACATAATGACAACATCACATCAGTGACATTACATGATAGATTGACTACTTCACATATCGGATTGGCAACACATAATGGATTATTGACTACAAAACACTGACGACATTACATAGTAGATTGAAAAAATCACATAATGCTATCTCAATATGGATTGACGACTTCGACACATAATGGATTGACGACACCACACATAGCCAATATAGGCTTGTGTGAGAACACACATGTAATAAATTGACAACATCACATAATAGATTGACTACACTTGGTACGTTTGGCGTTCCATAGTATACTTGCACATGTACTTGCACATGTGCAAGTGCACGCACGCCCTACGTGTTCACAGTACATGTACTGTACATGTACATATACAATCATGTACATGTACATGTACATTGTACACGGGTCATTATGCGATACGGTGCGTGTGCATGTTCATTGTAGATGCACCTCCATAAGGTACGCCGACGGACGGGTGTGTGAGGTATGTTTGTCGACGTTTTTTTCCTCAATACTTTCTCCGTTGCATTCACATTCATCCGTCTTCAAATCTGGCAATATTTATATGCACCCACTATGTTCGGATACTCAACACCATATGCAATGTCTAGATCTTTATACCTCGTTATCCACTTCTACCTCTATGAGTCGGGTTTTCTGTCAGGTGTAGCGTGAATATCCGACTCCATGAAATGTGGACTCATTTGTAGTATTGCGCATGCGTAAGTAAGATTATGCTATTTTTAGGATCATATTGGAGAGTGACCTGTCACGTGCAAGGGATTTAACCAATAAAAGGGGGAATTAAGAGGTCCGAATTTTATATGACACCGGGATACCGGGAGGGCAGGTGGGAGATAAAATTACGGTCGTCGCTAGTCCGAAAAATTTGGACTCTCAATGCCGTGCGATACAAGAAAATAGACTGGCACTTGAAACAACCAGTCCAAACACAGCTTTAGTTCTGCATCAGTTACTGTGCCAGGTCTGCACAGGAATTTTGGCAGGGGTGTGTGTCATCGGAATTTTTTTTTGAAATGTAGACAGGTTTTTTTTTCTCCGGACACTTTAGCCTCCAAAAAGAAACTTTAGAAAGGGGAGGGGGGAGCTCGTTCCATACTTTCAATGGGGGCGCTGTTCAAATCCGACGAATATTAACACTATATCACAGAATAGTGTACCCCTTAACCAAGCTGGTTCTGTCCGTATTTGTGCAAAGGCGGACATTATCCCATAAAACAAAAATGGGTGTCAGAGCAGGGGGGGGGTCGATTTTTTTTTGCATGAATTTATGTGGGAACAAAATTTATTTTGACAGAGCTGGGGGGGTTTACCGCCCCCCCCCCCCGGATCCGCGCCTGCAAACGAAAGATGTGGCATGTTAGGAACGGGTGAAAACACTGCCATTTATAATCTGTTGTATCTGTGGTTTACATGAATGGATTTTCATCACATTTTCGATGTGATTATATATATACACAAGAGTACAAATAACATACTCCATCAACATGGAATGCTGATGTTGGATACTTTTTTCAGAAACTAAAAGGTGTCCGCTTGCACAAGCTTTGTTTGAAATCACCTTGTAAACTCGTAGTTGGCATAATGCATTCGCCTTTGAAAGGGGCCTACGAGGATATTGTGTTCTGATTGGTATACACCGATACCCCACACGCTCATGTTGTGTTGGATCATTCTGATGTCCGTCTTTATTCCTCGTAATGTGGCTTTCCTTGTCGTGGGCAAATCCCCCCCCCCCCTCAAAAAAGGTGGTTAAGTTTATACCCATTTCCCACCATGCTTCGCCAATAGCTAACGTACTCTTCGAGGACACCGTGGCAAATCTAGTTGGTCCTCGCTTTGAACCTGACCGATCTCATTTGGCAACCGTGTAAATCAAATGATTGAGGTTTTAAGAGATGTTTATGAATCATGACAGATAAGTACATCATTCGCGAACCTCTGAATATGAGTGCATCGGAGGCTTTCAACTTGTACAGTCTGTCACAAGCCAATAATTTGGCCCATCAGACCAGCGCTTATCTGCGGTTTACTTGGCATGAAACAACAGAGAATAATTCCCCCTTTCTAGATAGAATGTCAGTTCATCGCAGGGTACTTCCCCTGCTAATGCCAGTACCCATCAATACTCCTGGGCAGAGAGAGGCAGGTGGGGGTAAAGTGGCCCAAGGACACGGTAAATGGCCAGCAGCTGGATTCGAACCCCTGACCCTCTGATCATGAGTCGTGAACCATAACCACTGTAGGCCTGTGGCCACCCAAGTTTGAACTTTGGTGTACCTTAAATCATACAGCAAGGTCCTTGCTCTATGCTTAAATGGAGCGTTCGTTGCATGCGCTAACTCCTAAAGTTCTGACGAATCCCACACCCCCTCTTCCCACTGACTCCTCTCCTTGGAACCCAGGAAAAACTATTTTGATAGTTGACTTGAAATTAACCACATTGTCTAACAGAAACAATTCATGTGAAGGTGTAATTGTTTTGTATCCGTTTGTTTTTCACAGGAAAAAAAAATGATGAACGGTACCGACAGGAAAATGGAGAAAGCTTCGGACAAGGTCTTTTTCTCGTAAGTTTTTATCAGTTGACGCATACATGGGAATGACGAAAGTGGCAATTTCTTATTCTTTTTCCCCGGAGCGGGAGGAGCTAAAACCAGTAAAAAAAGGCTTATAACAAGTCAATAAACAATCCCAAGAAGTGATTGCAATTCGGGCGATTCACATTGCAGTGCACCACCAAGAGTTTAGGGTCATTGCGTATAAATGGTGATATTCTTCAAGTGAACTGAGCAATTTCAGTATTTTCTTTTCATCTAAAAGTGGCTTATGAAAATGGCTTTCCAGTCATTATTATGTTTGGCGCTACATACCTTTTTTTAAATATGACATATATTTCTCGGGGTTTGGGTTCCGCTTGTTTTTTTTTACTCACCCTGTACTAAATACACTAAATAGAATTTACAGGTATCTTACAGGTTTTCTTGCCTTATTAGGAATTGTTCACTAAATATCGAATATGTATAATACAGGATTGAAGGTGTCTCGTCCACTCTATCTAGCGGCAGGGCTTGGCAAGTTAATAGAACGATCCGATTTCATAATAACTCTGTGGGCTGCTTCACTGTGGCCTTCCGGTCCATGCCCTGTCCACCCACGCGGACCTTGTCGCTAAATTCACCATTCCTTATAAGATGTGCCTCATTCCCAGAAAAGTGGTCCTGTTCCTTGAAGATCAACCCATACAACATTGTATTCTTCCTTACCGAAAAAAAAAACATCTCTAGGTAATACATATAACCTAATACATGTGTTTGAGGTTTTTCTGGTAAGGGCAAAATCACACTCACTTGTATGCATTCTCTTTCGTTAACAGGTCCTACGCGAGTGTCAACATTCACGAAAACATGGTTCGGGATGAGAGCAGGACCCAGGCCTACAGGTGGGGAACTTATTAAGGGTTCCAGACTAGTCTATTGCGTGGAATTAATTAGGGCTCGCGTGAATAAAAAATTACTAGGCCTATAATGTCGCGGAAAACTGAGGTCCGAATTGTTGTCAAGTCCATATTGCTAGTCCCTCCCCGGGTCCATCACTAGTCCAGCAAAAATTCATCACAAGACAAAATTATTAGAGTCAAATCACCAGTACCCTAATTGGAAGTGAACAGTAATTAATCCTAGAACTGACGATTTTTTGTGGCACCTAACGGAATGTGGCTGGATTGCCACATTGTCATAAGATATTATTTGTATAATTTGTTAATACTGTTAATTCTCTGTCCACAGAAAAGCCATCATGCAATGCAGTGACCTGATCAAGGACAAAGTGGTCGTAGATATTGGTTGTGGAACGGGTAGGTTTAGTACTCATACTTGTATATTAAACATGAGTACATTTTTTTAGAACTCGTACTCCTGAGAATGTATACCTACAAATACTCGTACTTATAATAAAGTAGGGCCTTATACTTGTACTTACATACATACTCATCCAAAATGTAGGTCTACTCTAGTACAGCACCGTTGAAAACTGCATGTGCTTTTTTTGAAAGCCGTACTCGATAACAAAAACGACATTTTGGTCACGATATTTCCCCATCGTTGTAAATGTTTTGAACTTAACCGCTCGCAAGAGCTTTTTGAGCAAAATGGCACATGTGAAATTCCATCCAAAAATGTTGTGCTGTAATAACACGACTGATTTAGTGGAGTTAAAAAGATGTCAACCCAATAATTTTCACGGCTGATCTTACCAAGAACAAAACAAATGAACTCCCTATATATGGTTGTGCCAACAAAAAAAAAGGAAACGCACTTTTGACAGAAGTGTTTGCCTTCTTACTTAATTTCTCTGAACTGTTTTGTTTTTATAAGTAAAGCTCTTTAACCATACATAGTAAAAGAATCTTTTAAAACATCGCAAGAATAGTGTTTTTATGCTTATTGAGTACGAGCCACCAAAATCACTGCACGCGTGAGTCCAGTTGGGTGTATGTGTCCAGTTGAGTGTGTGTTCAAATCAAACTCTGGAGCTCATCAAGCGGATATGATGGAATAAAGCCGTCCGTGGAACAGATTTGGCACAAAGAATTGTTAACTCTACCATATCTCAGAGACAAAATATGCATTTGCAATCATATTTTCGTCACTTATGTTTAAAGATTAATATAGTAAAACCATTAAATTGAATTTTTGAAGCAAACTCAACAGGTAGGTGAAAATTGCTGTCAAAAGTGGTATCTCTTCTGTTTGCACCAATGTGTAGATAATGTGGTCAAGTGTTTTATTTACCTATAGCAGCCACGTGCGTCCGGTCTGTAGGCAAAAGTCCAAAACAAAAATAATTTAAACAAAATCCCTTTTGTGTTGCTTGGGGACTAGTTTAGTACCATCACATATATATTTTATACATTGGAATATTTATTCAGATTACAAAGCTGAACAAATATACATCTAAAAATAAAGGCCCTGCAGTACACGATCCAGATTAGTTACTTTGACTGACACGATATTTTTACTGTAAATGAACGCAGGAATTCTGAGCTGCTTCTGTGCAAAAGCCGGCGCCAAGAGAGGTTAGTATATGCAACGATGCCAAACCTTTGTTACGAGTATAGTTTACAAATTATTAATGAGATTTAGTTATGTATATTAACTGATCTCAACGCAAATTCGTTTTGACGCATTTCAAAACATCGCCCGTGGATTATACGTTAATACAATTGGCGTAGTTAGTCAATTCGCACTTGAACATGTAAAACTCTAAAGTGTTGAAAGACGTCCTAGGGTTCATGTATTAACAAGAATGCATAATTTGTTGATCTGTACTAGGGTAGTATAGGCCTATTCTCAAAGTTGCTAAACAAGAAAAACCGCGACCATGCAAAAGCCATATGTACTCATTTCCATATAAAACCAGACTGCTTTAGGACAGAATTATCATCATTATGTTATTGTGGATGTAGAAGGACCATCGTGGTTTCTTTTGTTTTCCTCGTGAATGAGACGATAAGTGATGGTGAATAGTTTCCTGGATTTTGTTTGTGAGATTGAAAAGCAAATATTGAGACTAATGATGGGATCAGATAACAAACTGTCAATACAAATAAAGACGAAAAGGGAACCAATGCGACATCCTTAACCCCTTCCAAACCTCACCCGCCCCTTTCCAAACCTCACGCGCCGCTTCGAAACCTCACCCACCCCTTAAAACTTCAACCACCCCCTTCCAAATCTCACCCATCCCATTCCGAACCTAACCCTCCTCTTCCAAACCTCACCCACCCCTTCCTATGCCCTTACCCACCCCTTCAAACCCTCACACACCCCCTTCCAAACCTCACCCGCCCCTTTCTAAACCACACCAACCTCTTTTCAAACCTCACCCGCCTCTTTTCAAACCTCACCCGCCGCTTTGAAACCTCACCCACCCCCTTACACACTCTTCAGCCACCCTCTTCCAAATCTAAGCCTCCCCCTTCCGACCCTCACCGGCTGAGGCTCTTCCAACCCTCACCCACCCCCTTACAAACCTCACCCACCCTCTTCCAAACCCCATCCACCCTCTTCCAAGCCCCACCCACCCCTTTCCAAACCTCACCCAACCCCTTCCAAACCTCACCCAACCCCTTCAAAACCTCACCAGCCCCTTTCCAAACCTCACCCGCCCCTGTCCAACCTCACCCACCCCTTCCAAAACCCATCCGCTCCCTTCCAAACCTCACAAACCTCCAAGACTGCTTACTTTGCACTATAGCCTTCATATCATCATCGATTTTGAATCACAGTGTACGCCATCGACGCTAGCTCGATTATCGAGCAGGCGAAGCTGGTCGTCAAGGAGAACCACCTAGAGGGCGTGGTTCAGCTGATCTCCGGCAAGGCTGAGACCGTGGATTTGCCCGAGAAGGCCGACATTTTAGTCAGCGAATGGATGGTGAGGCAAATTTTAAATATTTTTCATTACACTCTAAAAATTCCCGGGTCAGATTTAACCCGGAATCCGGGTCTAATGGTTCCTGACACTTTTCCCGATCAAATAACCTTTTTTCTGGTTCACTCATTTTCCGGGTCATTTTGACCCGGAAAAGTGCTATTGTGACCCGGAAAAGTGCCATTTTCAACCCGAAAATGTGTCAGGTCCCATAGTACCCTGATTCCGGGTCAAATCTGACACGGAACTTTTTTAGCGCTGCAGGATTAAACTGTACAATAATACATGCTGTTAATAATGAAATGTACATGTATGTGCTGTCATGATTAATGGTGGATGAAATATCGTTGGGGTCATTCTATAAATTTGGGTCTACTTTTTTTCATATCCCTGTTACGTCGGACATCTAAGATCTGATAATTCTAATGAACTCCATAATGCATTCTTCATTCAAGAATTATCATGAATACCAGACTACCTACCAAACGAATAAACAAATCGTTTGGATTTATTCTTAATGATACGTGAATGGCAAAACTCAAAGAACCCTCCCCTCCGACGTAAAATGGACAGGACAAATATCTTACCTTAGACCCTACATTTATAGAGTGACCCGTTTCAATCTCATGACACAAACGTGACTGGCTATCAAAATTACTATTTTAATTAAGGTCAGTCAAACGGTTAATCAAAATTCAGCACCTTTGTCCAAGTTTGGTTGGTTCAAACCCCTCTTTGAGTCGCTCTTGATCTGTTCTTGGTAGCGTCCCGTGAGTGCAAAAGTTTGTTCTGAAAAGAAAAATTATGGGAACATTGCTTTCTTTACAAACATTATTTACGAATGGTAACTTTTTTGTCATCTCCATAAGTTCTTAATGAAACGATGCCTATTTGCAAATATAAATCGTGTGTTGTAAGATATGGACCGAAGTCCTAAAAGACGAGTTATGCGGATGCTGTATAAGATGTGACCAAACATTTTATAGGATTTTTCTGACTGGATATTTGAAAGAGGTTTTTTTTTCAAGGTTCTTACAACTTGTATATTCTTCTACAGGGTCATTTCTTGTTGTTTGAGGGGATGCTTAATTCTGTTGTGGTGGCAAGAGACCGATTTCTGAAGAAGGTTTGTCCGATTTTGGAGAACAATTTTGAATTTGAAATTACTTGAATTACCATAGCTGAGGCCTAGTTCAACAAACACTTTGATTTGATAAAACAAATTTCTTTACTGCCCAATAAAAAAGACCTGTACAGTTAGTGCATTTCCGGTGTGATACAGAAATAAACATAGGCTCCGTTTAATTCTTATCATTCAAGTTATTTCAAATTCATGCGTATGAATTGTATTATTTAAAAAGGAATTTCCTTGAAAGATTGTCGTGTCATGCTGCTTACGAAACACAAAACTTCTCCGAAATCTCCACCTCTCGTGTATTTCTACACAATTGTTCCAGAACCACTTGCAGATTTCTTTTCGGAATATTATAGGTTTTCCCGGCCAATTTTCTACAAATGTTCATTCACTGAAAATCGACCAATCATTTTCATCTTAATTTGAGAATCGCTCTGAACACGCGTTTCATTTTCGCTACCAGAGCAAGTGATTCCATTTCAGTTCAATCAATGAAGTGATTGTGCAGCACCTTTCGTTTATGTCCATTAAGATTCGTTTACAAGTCTTAGACTTCTTTTTCGCTTTTAGAGGGCGATTTCAAACATTCACCATTTTATTTCACTATTAGTTTATGCCATCGGCACCAGATACAATTAGGGGTTTCTTTTTCATTAACCGTAAATCAAATTAGCTATACCTGAAATCAATTTAGAAAAGGTATGCTTGCGTAAATGAATGCACATGTAACGTAATTGGCTGTGAGTTTCTCAAAACCGAATGCATGAGCAATGAAAACGATCGAACTTTCATTGAATTGAAATGGATTAAAGACGTGCATTCAAATTCAGACGAAACGAATGACCGATTTTCAGAAGTGAATTTACATTTCAGGAAATTGGCCGAGAAAACCTATATTCGTGTTAACCTTGGAAAAAGAGCTATTCACTTCAAGTAAACGAGTGGTACTTTTTCTTTTAATTAGGGCGGTCTCATTCTGCCCTCCAAGTGCACGTTATTTGTTGCGCCCATGGACTGCAAAAGGATGTACGATAGAAGGTGAGGTACCAGACATGCGGGTTGATTTCCATACATGGATATCACTAATGTTTCCCTGCAGTGAATTGCAGCCTTCAGATGCGATGACATGTCCTAAAAGGTCGAATTATAGCAGGGGGCAAAATAAGCGTTTACTGAGAAAAAGACAGAATTTTTCAGACCAGTCTCATAGGGTTTGTGCACAGGTGTCCGTTGATGTTCAGGTATGGAACTCTTTCTTTAACTTGTAAACATTCCTTTTCCGATTGTATTCGATGGACTTTTCGTTTTCGTCCTATTTGTGGTGTATCCTGTGTTTTAAAAGAAACAGCTGCGGTTCCAAACCTTTCTTTCCGGATGGGTTTGGAACAATTGTATTCATTCACTTTTTAAGAATTCCTTTCTGTATCATGTTTGTACATGTAGTAAAATATTGTTACATGGTACAAAAATGACACACCTTTTGCCAGAATGGCAACATTATTACGGGAGGTACGAAAGTTTGCAATGAAAAATTTAACAGCCATTTACAATTTTTTTCTTAAAATAATGTTCAGATATTTTCTTCGGTTTCTTTTTCTTTGACTAGGATTACATTTTGGTCTAGCACCAAGAAAACCTATGACCTGAGCATGGAATGCATGATCCCCTTTGCTAAGAAGAACCTTCTGAGTGAGTGACCCTACCGGCCTTATAACTTTTCGTTTGCTATTAAACCGACATCGCTATTTGGCTCATACCATACTTGACTAATCTCCTTGAATTCCTTCAATTAACTATAACTTCGATCCGAAAAAAGTAGTGTTGGTTTATTGATTACGAGATCATGAAATGTGCAATGCTGTTTTTTTCCTAATTGACTGCACATATACTGCATTTCATTTGCACAGCTTTTTAAATCATTTCTCATTGAGGTAATTCTGAAAGATGGTGGTTATCATTATTTGAGAATCACTCGCGGAGATATTCTTACTCCACAGATTCTGTGCGCAGAGAGGACATTCCAAGTGACACCGTGATGGATCCAGGCCAGCCGTTTTACGATCTTGACATCAACACTGTCACCATCGAGGACCTGAACCGTGTCGAGGTACGGGGCCTGTGTCCACCCTTGAGCTCCCCCTCCAGCTCCCCCTCCTGTCCCCTCCTGCTAAGTATTCGCGGAAGGCATGCGTGAGCCTTCTGATGTTAAAAACCCTTTCAGTGCCCCCTCCAGGAACTAAGACCCACTTTAGTCCCCCCCCCCTGCCAATTGCACCCCATTAACACCACTGTACAGTAATACTGCTAGCTTTATACCTCATGCAATATTTATACTTCGATAACTTCGACTCTGGTGGGGTGGGGTGGGCGTACGGGGGGCGTACGCCCCCATAAAATGTTGGTGCCCCCCAGTCGCCCCCCCCCCCCGAAAATTTGGCATCCGGAGAAAAGCACAGCCAAACGAGTTACCATGGTCAGCTGGAAGAACATTAAGTCCCATTTTCCGCGATGTTATGCATATTTTTCACCAAAACTCTTTTTTTTCTTCGCTAGTGGCTGTTTATTGTAACGTCCCTTGCAAAGCGAAAAGCGGATATATAGCCATGATGAACGTTTTGAACTTTCACATCATTTGTTAACAGGGGAGCTTCCAGATGACATGTGACCGGACCACCAATCTCACCGGGATCGCAGTCTGGTTCGATGCGTACTTTGAGGCTCCGAGCAAGGATACCGTGGTGCTGTCAACTTCACCATTCTCTCCGTGAGTAAAATGAGAACATAAATCATCAGACTCAAAAAAACTAATGCAGAAAACCACGAAAAGCTAAAGTTTACATACTAAATGTCCACAAAGCAAGCCGGATCTAAGTACATTTATATTCACAAGCGACGTTTGACACGTTCAATTCAAAATATAGGTCGAAAAATGTCCGAAATTTCCCGAACATGTTTTCGTTGTCACTTGGATATGTTTGCAATAGCTGAGGTGTTTCTGGGTGCCACAGGCCAGCAATGCATGTAATGCTTGTTATAAGCCTTGAACATTTTGAATTCATCAAATCGAGTATTGCATTTTCGACATGTGGTACTAGGCGTAATGCCTATTATTTGCATCTAAAGATGATTTTTAGTGTAGGGCATGGCGTAAATTGCTGCGTCATTTTCTGTGTTTGAACGTGGCAATTACGGACAATTTAGAGACGTCAGGGATCATCGGGTCAAGGGACCAGACCACCTGAGCACTCTTGAGTAGTTGCACATTGCCACCTGTTCCAGCCATGGACAATCAGAATGCGATAGAAACCAATAGTTTCATATGTCCCCCTACAGCCGAACTCATTGGAACCAAGCTGTCCTGTACCGTGAAGAGGGTCTTCCAGTCCAGAAAGGTGACGTCATCAAGGGCAGTATGACGATCACTCCAGCCGACAGGAATGAGAGGTATTAGCTGTTTTCGATTGTAATGGATGCAGTTAGGAGATATGATTTTTTATTTAAAACTAATTGATTAATTTAAATTTATTTTCACCATAAGAAGCCAAGGAGCCGAGATGTGCATTGATCTACAGCCAAAATTCCATGGCTCTCAGAACTCTCTAATACAGACGAATTTGAGTGTATAACCTTTATTCATGAGCTCGGCGGACGGATTTTGTGGCCTTTTTACTTGGTTGCACCCATAAATGCTGAAGGTTGCAGATTAGTAAATAAACTGCCATATAACCCAGTGATAAATATGCCCACTTCCGAAATTCAGGAAAAAATACCGCAACTCTGCAAGGTGTTCGACACACAGATCGGCCTATTTCATCGTCTTTCATTTTCTGTTTAATTGAGAAAACTCCGTCCAAAGATAATCACCCCTAAAAACTTTAGTCCTGAATCCAATCGCCATTCTGAAAAAAAAAATATATATACCTGTGCGCCATTGCAAATAGAGCAATTTTAGGGCCTCATTTCATGCGAATTTCTCAGATCTACAGGGTGGTTCCAAAAAAATTACACTTTTCTTCAGATGCAGATTTCTCAAAATTGATATTCCTAAACTGCAAGATCGAGGTGGTATATGTGAAAACGGCGATGAAAAAAAGATTAAGTAAGGGTAGCAGCCATGCATTTACGGAAAAATTGTCAAAAACTAGTTTGTCCGAATCTATGGCAGTCATGTAGATTACAATTATTGCAATTATTTGTGTGCACAGTTTTATTGTGTTGCTAGTTTGTCCGAATCTAAGGTATGAAGATTACAATTATTGCAATTATTTGTATGCACAGTTTCATTGTGTTGACCATATCTCATAGACTTACGTGGGGATAAACTGGGTTTTTGGTCATCTTTTTTTAAATCATCACCATTTCTTAATTTAGCCTTTATTTTCACCGCTGTTTTCATCATATACCACGAAGATGCTATCCCCAATTCCAGGAAATCTGCTTCTGAAAAGGTGTCAACCTTCTTGGGAGCCACCCGGCCTGTACGAGCTCGCAGTCCTGTTCACGTCTTCATTGTTACAAACCCTCAAGCTCATGGCCCACAAAATGCTCTAATAGCAAAAACAAAATGAGGGCATGCAAATCGTTGGGCAGGGGGACATTTTTACCTAGAGGAGGACAAATTTACCTAGGTAAAATTGTCCCCCGGACACATTTACCGGGTCACGAGCCGGTAAATGTGTCCAGGGGGACACATTTACCAGGGGAGACAGAATTACCTGTCACACGGGCGTTGTAAATTTCAGGCCTATTTACTGGTCTGCAATCTGAAACCAGCTCCTGAAACCTCCCACCAATAACTTAAATCCCACAATCGTTACTGGGATACATCATCTCATTAACATGATTCTGTTTGTTCTCAGGCACTTGGATGTCAAGCTGAGCTACCAGGTCGGAGATGGTCAACCGGAGGAAAAGATATACAACACTTGGCAGACCCCGGGGCCTGTCGAGATGTATTAGACCGCTAGAGGTCGCACTTCAAAATGACCAGAGCCCTGGACTGCTTTGCAGTGTGCATTCTGGCTTATCGCCGTATAGGGCACAGTTTTGGGCAACAACTTACCCATCAACCATAGAAAGTCGTTGCTGCAGACCAGTCAATAAATTCCAACGGCTGCTTCAGAATATACATGTAATTCAATAACAGTCCTGTCAGGTATTTCATAATTTTGGTTTTCTGTTTTTTGATGTTTGCAAATTTGTATATTCCCTTTAAGAACATTTTCTATATTTTGCGAGATAATTTCGATCTTTATATAGGTTTATACCTTGTCCAAATCATGTGTACTCCTTCTGGGATACTTTCCATGCAAATTCGTCCTTATATAAAAACCTGTTAGAATTTGATATAATGACTTACATCGCTATGTATTCTTGTATTGGTTCATCGGAGCTTTAAATTATGATTGGCCTATTGTATTTGCACCAATATTTTTCTAATATAGTATTACCGTAGCCAGCATGAATTTATATGAGAAGTATATAAGTGAATATTTATTCAGGGTTGTCAGTCAGTTACACTGTGCAGAGTTTGTCGGTCAAATAAAAGTGGTAATAATCCACCTAATCAAATGATGCATCTTTTATTTTTCAAAGTTTATTTAATAGTGCCTTTTATTCTCTGTGAGAACAAAATAAACAGGGTGCACTTTTTAAACTAAGTTTTACAGTATGTCCCAAACAAAAGTGTCCGTCCGACTGTTTTTTTGAAATAACTACAAAACCGTGAAGTCAATTTTGAAAATGTTTGATTGTGCAGATACTAATCCTTACTTATATATAAGTTTCATTGAATTTCAGTCGCACATCACTACACAATTATCAATTGATCACAACCACATTTTGGGACACTGAGCCCAAGTTAGTCATAAAATAGAATTTTGCGTCGGGATGATGTAAATCAAATTAGGTTTTGCCCTTCACCGACGTATAAACACTGTATACTCGGTATGTTACCTTATTTTTTTTCCAACTTTCACTTGAGAGGTAACACACTGAGTATATAGTGTTTATACGTCGGTGAAGGGCAAAACCTAATTTGATGAGCCCAAGTTCCTGGTCGTCATCAATTTCAGTGCTGTGTTGTGTAAAGTGTGTAAACGCCTGCACGTTCTGAAACAACAAGGCTGATGTGGTTTGGGATTGGAATCATTTGCCTGGCTATCAGTCATCATGGCAAGACCTCAGTTTAATGTTCAAGGGCAAATGATTCCAATCCCAAACCATATCAGCCTTTTTTTATCACAGCATGCAGGGTTTTACACAGCTCACGTAACACAGCACTGCGAAAGTTAGGTTTTCCAATATATTTCAAATGCTGACACGTAAGGACTTAATGAAGAAAACTCTCAAATGAAGAATAAACCAAATTTACGATGAAGGGTTTCGACTGACAATCAGTTGCATTTATGGATGACGAATATTTCCATGTAAAATAGGCACTGACCAATGATCCGGTTGTGGGTGTATTTTCAGGCCGACCTGACTAGTTTTCGAGTTTTTATTGTTATCACTGTATCTTATAAGTACATTATTTGTTGCAACTATCGGTGCGTGTTTTCCGAGTACAGCCACGGGCATAATTTATGTAGTTATGCACTGCAGTAGATAATGTTGCCCAGAAAGCGAATGCAGAAAACAGTAAGGGCTCCACTTCAACTGAAACCTTTGTGATTTGGTTATTTATTCCTTTAATTGAATCCTCAAATCGTGCATCTCGCTTCGGAAATCAGCTGTGTTCCAACCGAACGCAATTACCGGGAACAAGCCAAGTACGCAATCGAACGACCCTCTTCCGGCATCTTGAGCGAAATTGAAGCCGTGATTATATTTCATCCCGCATTCCACTCGACCTTCCCCTGGCTGGCTGGCTTGCCAATAAACGCCGTCAATTGACCCGTCACTGCCGGTTCAGGCGCAACCCTCCCAAACGGAACATCATCCCATTAATTGCAATGCTCGCTGATCTCCGTAATACACGAGCACGGCTCATCAACCAGGGGCGCAGTTTGGCAGTCATCCATTCATAAATACTCGGGGAACGTGGCGGGAATTCTGCGCGGTTGAGTTTGGCGAGCTGTGTGCGCGGTGTAGTACGCCAGGGGGCATTTATCGCCGGCTCTGGGTGATAATCAGCTCGCTAGCGCGGTACGGTGTAGAGACCCCGTGAGATGAGCCGGACATTCAATGGTGTGCACGACCACGTGAATTGCAGAGAGCGTACACTGCAAGTTTTCCCACATACGCGTATGCATGCTACTGTAGAATAACAGACTCATCTGGGAGAAACAGACGTTAGCCTCAAACACGGTCCTTCTCAGATTGCATCGAAACCCTTATCTGGATGAGAGAGAAACCTGCAACATGGAAAGACCAGAATCGTTCATCGTCCCCGCCCGCCGCTCCCAGTGGCTGGTCAGCGCTTTGGCCTACGCCTTTGGTCTCGACCAGGGTATCGAAAATGAAGTCGTCGTCCTGGCCACCGGCATCGATCAGTACATTCAAGAGATATTCCACCACTTGGACGTGATAGGCAAGGATCGAGTATCTCTCCCCGATTTTCAGACACTATGCGAGGTTATCGGGTTTCAGGACTGCGGTATGAGTCCAGTGGCCGAGGAGCCCTCTTCGCCCAAGGACCCGTCCACAGAACTTACTTTCAAGGAGTTCCACTCCAGACTAGTCCAGTGCTTCATTGGAGAGGATACAGGCGGTGGGCCTGCAGGAGACGGCGTCGAGAAGAGGTGGGACAATCACGGGAAGTTCGTGGAGGCAGAGGTCAACATCTTGCCCAGGAGCGGGCTGAGCGTTCGCACCATGTGCACGGAGTGTTTCCAAAAGCGACCGGTGACAGAGATTTATCACTCGGTAATGTTCAAGCAGGGCAAATGTTGCTTTCCTGGGGGCAGCTCGACAGAGGTTGAAACTTCAAACTTAAGCGGTGCGCCTTTTGAGAGTCTTGGTGGCTCGGTATCTACTTATTCGACCGACTGTCAGTGTGAAGACCATCTTTGTGGCAACCTGCCAGAAGTGAGGAAGTTGCAACAGGAGAATGACGGGCTGAGGGAGATTATCGAAGACATGCGCCAGGCCCTGCAGAGCAGCGATGCAAGGCACCTGGCACTCCTGGTGTCCCTCCGCAAGATGCAGATGGGGTCACAGGACGGTCGCGGTCAAGCAATCCCACCGCTGCCACCAAAACTCCCTGGACACTGCTCCATCCGTCCGCAGAATGCAGTCACTCTGTCTCGAGAGCTGAGCAGGCTCCGGGACGACAGGGACAGGCAGCTGGAGGAAGCCATCAGCTACACGCAGTCCCTGGAAGCCGATCTTTGGCAATCGAGACGGAACCAGGACCGCCTGGACCAAACCAGGGCGGTGCTTTTGGGTCAGCGGCAGTCTCTATCGCAGCGCTTGTGCTCTGCCAGGGAGACACTTAGCAGCGGGTTGGAGAGGGTCCGGAAGCTGGAGAAGCAGATAGAGAGGATGGACAAGGTGCAGGCAAGAGCAAAAGAACTGGCGGAATGGAAACCGTGCGAGAGGTAAGATGTCCGTCTTTCGGGGTCTTTTAGGGTCATTATCACTGTAATTATTGCAGTAGATCTATGAGACATATTACAAATTCCATGTTCTGTTGAGAAATTCGATTTAACTGACTAGAAACTTTAGTTCCTAAAACGTCTGTAGTCTGGTTGTTTCCAAATGTTGCCAGTTAAAATTGCCTCATGTAATGCAACTTGGCCCTTGGGGTGCGCCAAGAGCGGTGTTCTTTAAACACGAGGTACGCGAAATTGAACATATGGGAACAGAGTTGATAGTCCGACGTTTGTTATATGTTGCCAAGAAAGTTATTCCAACAACCCACATGCATCAATCTGTGGTTTTGTTCATTATGTAGCCCATGTTTTACTATAGTCACCTCATACAGTCGGTAACTAACGCCAAACATACAACAACCAAGTCATTTTGTCATGTTTCACAATCGAGTAACATCAACATTTACCATCCCACGTGGCACACAAATTGTATTGAACGTTAGCTATGTGATGAGTGCATGAGAGTCAACGTTATGTGACGCAAACACAGGCCAATTCATTGAAAGTGATGTGGTTAAACCAATCTATAAGAAAAGGGACGTTTCAGCTTTGCATTATTTTCTATACAAGTGATCAATATTGTTGACATCTCGAAAACACAATTAAAACATCACCATCCAGATATCTATTAATAACTCTTTTGACTTAGTTACTGTAGGGTAGTCTATTGAACTAAACACTGCAAAAAAAAAAGAAAGTCCACACTCATTGGAGGCCGAGGGGTCATAATGTTAAATCTGATCGTCTTATGATGACGTCATTTATATAGACCTTTGGGGCATTTTGTTAGCTACATTTTGATACCCCATTTTGCTACTAAAGACAGTAAATCGTCCAAGATTGACAACGGTTTATAAAAATTGATGCAGTTTGAAAAGTTTAAAGATTACGTGAGGAGAACTGCTATAAGGGCAAACACGCGTATAATTTTCCCCTATCGACTGCAAAGTGCCCGAACAAAAAGCGCGGGTAATTCAATGTCGGTGCCTTACATATCTTCTTGGTCTTACTCATTCTCCTTGCAACCAATGGAAGTATATAATAACTTCGCTGATAGCAACGTAACCGCAGACCTACATCGCAGATAGATGATTGAAAGAAGGGTCTTCGACTCATTTTTTAGTGGATTTCCAGCATTCACAACTTTTGAAAATATGCTAAATCGTCCCCTAGTTTTCAGTGTCACACGCGCGAAGAAACAGACGCAAAAACTAACTAACAGTTGTACGAAAAATATTTTGCAGTATGCAGGTTTATCCACTCTTTTTTAAAATTACATTAAAAAACTATTTTTTAACGATTTTTTAAAAATTGTTTTGTCCTATTATATACAATTAAGACACAATAAGTAGTTTGAATAAAAGTGCTGTAATGACTGAAATGTATGTTTAACTCGAATTTAATTGTACGTTAATAAACAAAAATAGGCTTCCACTGCAACAAAAAACAAACAAAAAAACCCGAAAAACTTTGACACCCATATTACAGAGTCCGACCAACCAGGAGCCTAAATAATTATTAATAATTCTATCATCCTGTAATAAGTTTATCTGTATTCATGTAATAAACGCTACCGACATGTGCTGTTTGGCTGAGTCACCCGGTACGGGAAAGCTACACACACCACCTCACGCTCTCGGGAGCTGAGAAGTGCGGCCTCATTTTGTCAGCTCGTTTTCCGGGCCGACCTCCTTGCAACATCTTATCCTTATCATAATCTCACCGTCGGCGCGAAGGCGGCGAGGCTAATTGAATCGGCCGCCTGGTCCTCGCGGTGCTGCGTAGGTGATGGAGTATTTAGGCGAATGATCTGTGGAGGAATTTTAGCCAATGTATTTTTTTGTTTCCCCTGGCGCTCCATCGGTGATTCTAACCACTGATTGGGATAATGACTTTGTGGAGTATAACAACCCGGATCGAATTATAATCTGTACATTGCATTTTTTTTTAATTGTATTTGTTTTTGCTTCAACTTTTAGCAAAGGTTAAACCCCATGGAAATATGGATTTCGTTCATAAATGAAATATAATAATAACAAAAAAAAAAATCATTATTTTCAACAGGTCCTGTCCAATTAGCCCAACCTCCCCTCCCCACCCACCCCCTCAAAAAAAAAACTGTTAAAGTTGTCACTTGACAAAAATTTACCGACTTGTTGGTCTATTTCAGAATTTAGATGATGCCTTTAGAAAATCCGACGATATCTCTAGATAATCCAACCCAATTTAGTTTAGCGATATCTAACGTGTCTCTTCAGAGACAGTCAGCCAAATACTTTGTTATTCAAACTTCACAAATACGATATTTTCAGCTTTGAAATATTTGGTGAAAACATCGCATGCCCTACGTAATAAGTTTAAACATTTACTGGAGCACATTCTTAAATTCAAATTCCCTGAAGTTTTCAGGCCTAAATGCCCACTAGAAACAAAGACATCACGTCAGTGGTCCATTTTCATAATCAGTCCCCCCCCCCCCCATTTCCTTCATCAGTTTCTTCATTAAGCATTGATAGAGCGTGGTTGAACGCAGAAAACAGACAGACATTTATTCCGGTCCAGTGGAAACGCACACGAATCATTAAAGTACTCTCCCACTAAAAAAAAAGAAATAGAAAAAGCTACTTTTAAAGACTTTTTTTGCCTGTAGGTGAACCATATTAGCGCAGCAAAAAGCTGAAGTGCATTCGACGCTACTTAAATTCTCTTAAAATAATAATTGTCTGCGTAATTCTTGTGTGGCCCATTAATGACTTTGCCAGGGGCATTCAGTACATAAGCAGCGACGTTAATTTTAACACACCCCGTTTTATAAATGTCCCTTCCCTCGTTTTTGAGGGGGGAGGGGCTAAGAGCTCACTTGAATGGTCAAAATTAGCCAAACAATTCTTCTTGTTTTTTTACTCAAGTGAAAATGATGACCTTCGACTCCATTTTGGTCATGTGTCATGTTGGGGCTGGGCTACTGATACTTTTGACAAAATTTGGTCAACGTTTATTAATAACTAACTTACGGACTAAACGGAGAGACATGATGATATATGTTGAGCTGCTATCCCGCAACTAAAAATATATGTGTATACACGTCCCCATGACGGTTAAAAAAGTGGTCTTTCTTCTACTCAAATGTACCAAATGTAAAGGACCATTGCTTGCATGCAAGCGCACGCTCATGTCCTGGAGCGAATGAAAACTCTTTTCAATATTCGTACTTGCAAGACTGTCAAAGAGAAAGATTTATTGGTACGGCGTGCAAATAGGGTCGCGGGGGAAAAAGCAAACACTTTTACCACATTCGGCCTGTAGCTCTTTTTGTGCAGTGATCTTATGTTTCTTCTTTTGCTTCATAAGTAGTGTTTGCTTGGGAAATATGTAGAGCATCATGATGTAGCAAAGAGGGTATTTAAAGAAGAAAGACATGCCTGCAGATACACTGAAAAAAATTGCCTGGGTTAAATTTACACAAGCAAGGGTGAAAACTGCAACTACCAAAAATTGGGTTTTTCTATACGCATTTGTTTGGGTTGGAATTTCTGTTTCATTCAACCAAAAGTTGTACTCACACAGGACCAAATTGAATTTAGTCTTGTATGACCACAGGTTCTGGTTGAATTTAACAGAAATTCTTATCCAAACAATTGCGTGCAGAACAGCCCAATTTTGGGTAGTTGCAGTTTTCACCCTTTCTTGGGAAAAATAAACCCAGGCAATTTTTTCAGTGTACATGTGCATCTTTAAACACTAGTTCTCAAGCCTTTAGGCCTATAATTATTTGAACAATGTAAATGTATAAAACGAGGTGCCCTATATTCAAAATGAGGCTTTTTTTTTTTCAACATCAAGATGTCTTCGACATCAATTTTTGGAGGAAGCAAACGCACGTGGAGCGTACAGCAATTTTGGGAATTGACAAGATCACCGTTAGAACATTCTGGCACAGTAATGTTGTGATATAATTTCCGGACTCGTTGTCTGCGCTGAAGCACCTGTTTTGTAGCATGGGAAGAAAACATTAAGCAGAAAAAGGGAGAAAATTTTTGCAATCCCACTGCTGTTGTTTTTCTCAATGAATTAAGTGTTTTTTTTTTCATTGGAGTGGCTGGAGTGCCATTTACTGGCACTCCAGCGTTCTTTTGCCAAGACTGCGAACTGTTATAGGCAAATCAGCATAAAACTCTCTGGTTAGCATAATTAAATAGTCCGTGCATTGAATGTTACACTAGAGCTTATTTGTAGCAACTCTCTATTCCTCCGAAATATATTAAAACTGTGAGACATCCCTTTTTGGTATTTCCTTCTTTTTTGCGAAATGTACTTTTCAAATGTTTAAAATGTTCCATGTTTTTCCTGACAACTGAGGGCGCTGTTGCTGTGATGTCACTGAAGGAACACACTCTTCAGATTAGGGTTTTCCTCTTCAAATTGTAAACCCAAAATTCTGCTTATTGGAAACATTAATTTTGTGCATGAAGTTTTCTTATTGTCTTACTGACATACACTAAAAAACCCAAATGAACCACTGAAAGCAGAAATTAATATAACCACAGCAAATTCGCAAAACTCTGATGATTTTTTTTGTGCTGAAGTAGATGTACTGAAGTTCTGCCTAAAATGACATCACAGTTTTGCTAATGAATATGGAATATGGCCTATTTAATTTGCATAAAAACCAAAAAGGCACCAAAACGCACTATTTGGAAACTCCAACACGAGGATTACAAATAAATTAAATGGAACACTTTTTTCAAGAATTGCATTTTAAAAATAATTCCAATAGACGCTTTCAAACACGTAAAATCTATTATGGGCCTTAAAACAAATGAAAGATGTTCTATGAAAACACCCTCAACAAGGTTCAAATTGGCCAGAAAATGCGTTAATTCTTTAAAATACTGTTAAATTAAAGAATTATATAACGCAGAGTCTTTAACGAGAATTTCAGTTGC